AAACAACAAAATACAAATGACCTGATTCAGGAAAGATCTGGTCACATTCACAGCCCATCTCAAAAAACATTTCCCAGCTAATTTATTACTATGTCATACCAGGAGTTTTACCTGGTTAGGTTAGCCAGGAAAACAATTTCCTCCCACCATTCATTCTATTTGTATGATCAACTATCTCAACATTTTGACTTGCGTAGTTTGACTTACACATCTAAAAATGTATTTGCATATCTCAATTTGAGATAGTAGGCCTATCGACCTTTCTATTTTTTATTTTAAAACATATGGTGACAGGAATGGGTTTCCATAGTTTTATGTGGCTCAGTGCAGCCGGCAGGCGGCAGCTACTGTCACAATTTCAGAATGTAACCGGCTGTTGCTGCAATTTCAGGTTAAATCAATAAAAACAAGTCTCAAATATAAGGAGAATATTGATACATTTTAGCCGTTTTCAAAAACATTGCTCTGCTATTGCCATTTATACCGTAGTAGTGTTGAGCTCAACGAGACGGGTGAGTGTCTGAGTTAGTGCTCCAGATGTGATAATTTATCAAGTTTACACAACAGTATGGTCTCTCGAAAATATCAATTTGCTATCGTCAATGTGAAAACAGTCTAATGCTCACTTTGCCTGGAGAGGTAATACATTTAAGGATGATCCACTTTTCCTAATCGAACAAACCGCTAGAGATGGACTCCCCACACTTGTGATTTGATGTGAATGGTGACATTGTGTGTCCTCTCCTCATTAACAACAACAGATGGCTGCTGCCAACTCTGCCACTCAGCCTCTCCACTAGACTACTTCATGGGGATCTCCGTCTGTACCACTGCCCTCTACAGATTTGAGTTGAAGTGGCAGTGTCCACTGCAGTCCATGTCTGTTCAGCTAAAGGTTTGTCAGCCTGTTCTGACCAACTGTTCCTCTGGCTAAAAGCCTGTCTGTCTGTCTGTGTGTTCATCACATTAATTTGTCTTGTGGTGTGTTGTGTACCTCCATCAGTGACATTGTCTTAACTTATTGTTAACATATCGTCCAGCTCTCTCTCTGAAAGCTGTGATCATTCAGGAGGTATTTATGGCCATGATGTTGCTTTGTTTTGCAATGGGGCAATAAAATATTCCCAGGCCAGCGGAGGGTTGTGCTGCATAATATTGCATGTGGTTTAGGTGGTGTCAGTCGTGTTGTAATAGGCTAACTGTATTACACTGACTGAGGCCTGGTAATGTTTTGTATTAGACTAGGTAGTGTGACAGGGCACTGTGAAATGATTCACATGTGGTCCTGTACAGGGATTGGGAGGGTGCAAAGGTGGCTGGTTCAGCTGCCACATGCCTGGACAGACCTTACTAACAGCTGTGGGAGCGGCTGGGGCGGGGTAGGTTGTCCAGAGGGAGTCAGTCTTTCTCAATATGCCCATTGAGCTGAAGCAGGGCTGGAGGGGCAACACTGTCTCAGCTGTCTGGGGCTGTCATGGCCAACTCCCCGAGTCCCTGCCCCCAGTCCTCAGCCACCCTCCGCACCAAAGGCACACACCCATACTGGCACTCTGACAGGCACACGACGTACCTCATGCATGACATGCCAACTGGTGTGGATCAATCTGAAGATGTCCACAGCCTCACTGAGGAATAGTCAGTAGTTGTAAAATGAGGCCTGAGGCTTATGCTTTGCCAGACAGTGGTTGTTGTTGGTTAGTGGTTCATATTTCAGATCAGCTATTTATTTTCTATGATTGTGTTGAATGAGTTTATTCAATGATCTGTGAATGAGTTTGGATCAATCAATCTTATCCTTAGATGATATAGAAAATGGACTGAAATTGAATTAATACATAGAAATGTGGCCATTATCTGACGGCAACTATTTAACACTTCATAAGTTGAATTTCAAATGTTCTTCAGCTCTCAGTAGGAAAGAGGCTTGAAGGTGACTATGTATAAAAGTATTGCGGCCTGCACTCTGTAGTGTATGATGAAAGTGTGATATGCTGCAGCAGTGTTGTTCTGACATGAGGCAATCTAGGCCTTGTAGCAGTGCCCTCTTGCCCTCCCTCCATCCCTCCTCCTCCTCAGTCTGTTCAGCCTCTCCCTAGAGGCTATGAGTGGGTCTCAGCACGTGGCACTGGGGCCCTCTCCCATAGGACCACTAGAACGTCTATCTGCTGTGGACCTCAAGACTGCCCCTACCCTACCCCACGCTCTGTTCTGTTCCTAAAGGGGCCTCCACCACAACTCACCTCCCCAGTGAGCTCAGCTTTCCTCTGTCTGACACACACAGCAAACCCCCCTCTCTCTCTCCCACAGTGGTCTTTCGCCACGGAGAACCATGATCATGGATTTACTTCCCTGGACCGGCCTTGGAAAGTTTGACTTCTGAAAGCCACATCAAAAGCTGAGAGTGGAAGCCTCTGGGTTGAAAAGCAAACCCAGCCCAGCGGGAACCTATTAGTAGTGCTTCAGACGCCCTAAGTCACTCAGGGTGAATAAATAAAACGTGTGGGGGGTCTCAGTGACTCCCTCATTCACTGCCTCTGTGGAGAAGTTTAGAGAGAGGGAACTGGTCAGACGTCTGTCTGTCTGTGGTACTGGGAGTGCCCTGGCTGACTGGGAACAAAGTGGAAGATGTACTGGGAACTGTGGCTGAGCCAGTTGACGGCGACCGACCTGCAGCATATGCTTGTGGGGAACAAAGGTGGGAGAACATTACGTGTAGACGGGGCAGGGTCACACCTGACGTCTTGGCCACTTTAGTCCTCAGGAGATGTCTTGACAGATTTACTATACTGCTTCCATGTGGTGTACTGTGTATTGACAGAGTTTGCTTGCTGAATATTTTGAATGGAGCACTGCATACTTGAGTAGTTTGTGTTTTAGAATGGCGCACTGCATACTTTAGTTCAGTGTGTTTCCTGTTTTACTCCCCATTTCACACGTTCCATCATTAGGCTGGATTTGGAGATCTGGGCTGTTTTTCAACTATTTGGTTCAGATGCATGACTTCATAGTTGTTGAGGCCAAGCTGGAATTCAACTCAATCTTGCACAGTGTGTATCCTGACTTATCGGACCCTATTGTTTTTTTTATGTCTGTGTAGAACATCATGGTTAAAAGGAAGTGTAATAGGAAGTAATGATGCCTTTCAGTAAATTATTTACTGGTAACCATTTAGCTACTGACCACCACAGACTCCCTGATGCTTCCAGTCACTTACTGTAAATGTATGACTTGGGTGTAGCCAGCCAGTCATTCTTTTGTTTTATAGGCTACATGAATGAGTTGTTTGCTTTTTCATCTAAGGAGAAAAATGATCTTCCGCCAATAGATTGCTCTCACCATGCCCACTCTCAACTTTCTTTTTTAAAGGCTTCTTTCATCCTCTCCCCTCTCCTTCACTGTCTTTATTTCACTCATATCCCTCTCTCCCTGGCAGTCAGTAAGCCCCATTCAGCAGCTGCCCAGGCATGATGTAGAGGTTGTTGGCAGCTGTTGAGGAGCCTTGTGAGTGAGGCTCAGGCATGTTGTGTGGGCGTGGAGGCCCGCAGTAACTTTCCGAACACGCCGACAGACGTAGCCCCTCCCCGCAGCTCCTACACTCTTTATATACAGGCGGGGGGGGGGGTGGGGAGAGAGAGAGAAGCCAAGTAGAAACTTAATGTAGGATCTAGTCCTCACATCTCAGATTAGTGTGCGTAGAAAGTGAAGTGAGCAGAGTGGACAGGCAGAGTATGTATTTGAGGACCCTTCAACCCAGCAGCAGTTTTGAGGAAGAGTGGGTTAGGCTGACCGGCCGGCCCTATACTGGGGCAAAGGATGTGGACGGGCCTAGACTCTCAGGTAGCTACTCCTTCAACCGGGTTCTTTCTGTCTGTCTATTTGGGTAGACTCAGGCTGCCTATTCATTGGACAGCTACTGATATTATGTTGGCACTGGTAAATGGTAGTCTTATTTCAAATTTGATTTGAGCCGATTGTTAAAGGAACAGAAGAACTGATTGTGGCAAAACATAAGTGGGCGATAGGAAAGGGATGCTGGTTTTGGGTTCTCTAAAAGACAGACTGCATTTGTTTTGTAAATTTGTGTGCGTATGTGCTTTGTTAGGCATACCTGTGGCACTGTTTAATCATGTGGTTGATATGTTGAGGTGAGATTTCCAGAGTTTTTAGGCAGCTTGACTTCTCTGATCCACTCACCAACCACTTTCTTTATCCATCCCTCCCTGTCCTCTCTCCCTCTCTCCAGAGGCCCTCCACCGGCCCTTCGGCCTGGACTCTGCAGCATTGACGGAGGCGGTACGCTGGAGCTCCAAGGAGAACCTGCTGGGTGCTGCCGAGAGCGATCCCAACCTCTTTGTTGCACTTTATGACTTTGTTGCCAGTGGCGACAACACGCTGAGCATCACGAAAGGTATGTACTCTGAAAGAGCTTTTTATCAATAGGCTTTCCAAACAGATACCCTGGTTTCATTTCCTCATCCTGCATCATCACAAACCACTCCTTTATCGAAAGATGACTCGCTCCCAGAGGTATGGGGCCCCTACATTCTGCAGGGGAGGGCAGTTTTTACTCTAGAGATTTCCTCAAAGTATGGTACCATTGTACCATCCAGTGAACTATATTTTTGTTTATTCCAATTCCTTTGTTCTACTTTCTCTTTGTATTTAATCCGTGTCCCTGCGGATCAAACTGGGTAACAAGCTTAAAATAATATTTGTGTGAGAGCGTTAAATTAACTGATATAAAAGCATTAAAGCAATATCTTAATAAGCCGATGCCTGCCTCCACAAGTCGCCCCATGGCTGCTGCCTGAGATGAGGCTAATGCTTAGACTGTGAGTCACTGAGTGCCCAATGGAGAGGCAGGCAGGCCAGCCCTCCCACACCCTTGTTTGGCTCTAATGCACATTTAATGTGGAATCCTTTCAACTGTAATAATAACAGGTGGATAAACCCAGCAGTGGGTGATCAGAGGGACTTAATCACGGTCTCAGATCAATGCCATGCCTCAGACCAGTAATGTCCGCCACCGGCCGCCTGACATTCACTGTTTCCACCCGGAGCCAGCTCTCTGGCTGACCACGGTGTGTCGCAGAGGAAACTGTGTAGTGTGACTGGTTTGGCTGGCCCAATGTTGTTTTTCTGCCTCCGTGGCTGTCCAGTGTCAATATCTATGGCCTCTGTGGCACCAGAGGGTATTGAGTCTGCAGCTCGCTCGGCTTAGCCTGTGATGTACAGAGGGCGAACGAGTAGGAGGATGAGAGAGAGAGAGAGAGAGAGCGCGAGAGGGGGACAGTGAGAAGAGAGGATAAGTGGAAGAAAGCTTGGCGCAGTCCCCTCTCCAAGCTGTACCATAACATCTGACTGTCATTATCCTTTCATTGGGAGCAACTTTGAATGGCTACAGGGAGCTTCCGGACAGCCAGGGAGTGTTTCAGTTCCACAGCCACACAGCTCCTATACAGTACAGTACTGCAGTCTCTCTGTCTCTATGCAAGAGGCACTCCTCCAGTCTCCACTGCTGACCTCATAGGAGGCAAACAATGCAGCAGACCAGGTCACTTACATGCCCTGCCCTACCTTTTGGCACCGCAGTAAATGATGCATCAATGGGGGCTATTTAAAGCCTATGGAGGAGTCAAAAGCGTCAAGCTTCAATCGGTGCTAATGTCCTGAAGTGGCTCTGAATGTTTAAAGATGTCCTTTTACCTGACTCTCTCCCTGTCCCTCTCTGCCCAGGTGAGAAGCTAAGGGTGCTCGGTTACAACCAGAATGGGGAGTGGAGCGAGGTGCGCTCGAAGAACGGCCAGGGCTGGGTGCCAAGCAACTACATTACGCCTGTCAACAGCCTGGAGAAGCACAGCTGGTACCACGGGCCTGTGTCGCGCAGTGCAGCAGAGTACCTGCTCAGCAGCCTCATCAACGGCAGCTTCCTGGTCCGGGAGAGCGAGAGCAGCCCAGGACAGCTGTCCATCTCCCTGCGCTACGAGGGACGCGTCTACCATTACCGCATCAACACTGCTTCAGAGGGCAAGGTAGCTAGGGGTCTGGGACCTACAGATGGTCTGTCTCTCTTCTCTCTTTAACTTCTCTCTCTGTCCTCTCGTCTTCAATCTCTTCACTTTTGTTGTGAAACTGCTTTGTCCCTGCTAATGTCTCTGCTCTGTCTTTTTTGGCCGTCTCTGGTTCCTCCCCATGGTGCTGCTGTCTCTGTCTGTCGTACACATGAATAACCATAACCCTGTGTCTGTCCCAAGGTGTACGTCACGGCAGAGAGCCGCTTCAGCACCCTGGCCGAGTTGGTCCACCACCACTCCACCGTGGCCGACGGCCTGGTCACCACACTCCACTACCCGGCACCCAAGTGCAACAAGCCCACCGTCTATGGTGTGTCACCCATCCACGACAAGTGGGAGATGGAGCGCACCGACATCACCATGAAGCACAAGCTGGGTGGGGGGCAGTACGGAGAGGTGTACGTGGGAGTCTGGAAGAAATACAACCTCACCGTCGCAGTTAAAACACTGAAGGTTAGTCTGTTCTATAGATTGGTGGTGTGATTTGGATGTCGCCTGTAAGATCTCTCCATCTAGTGTCTCTATTTTGTAAAATCATCTATGGGATCATGTAATATGAAGGAGGTGTGGTATTTAGTGGTGGTTGGTCACCACCTGCTGGTTGAATGTTGTATTACATCAACATGAAACTCGATGGAGGCAACGACTACTGCCAGACTGGAGATATGTTCAATCACAGTTTAACTTGTTTTGTTCACCTTGGTATCCTGGTACGAAGATATTGAATAAATCCAGTGAATATTGACCTTTCTGCTTGTTTGACTTCCAGGAGGACACTATGGAGGTGGAGGAGTTCCTGAAAGAGGCAGCAGTCATGAAGGAGGTGAAACATCCCAACCTGGTGCAGCTGCTAGGTCAGTGCTGCTCACAATACAGCTCCACTTACTAACAGCACATGGCATTTCTACCGGCTGTTGGGTTTCCAGGCTCTGAGGCCTGAGTCTAACCTCTGTTGGCTTGCCTCTGTCCAGGTGTGTGTACGTTGGAGCCTCCCTTCTACATCGTGACAGAGTACATGCCCCACGGCAACCTGCTGGACTACCTGAGGGAGTGTGACCGGGAGGAGGTGAACGCTGTGGTACTGCTCTACATGGCCACGCAGATCTCCTCCGCCATGGAGTACCTGGAGAAGAAGAACTTCATCCACCGGGACCTGGCGGCCAGGAACTGTCTGGTGGGGGAGAACAGCGTGGTGAAGGTGGCTGACTTTGGGCTGAGCAGGCTGATGACTGGGGACACGTACACAGCCCATGCCGGAGCCAAGTTTCCCATCAAGTGGACCGCCCCGGAAAGCCTGGCCTACAACACCTTCTCTATCAAGTCTGATGTGTGGGGTGAGTTAGAACCAGATTTTCAAGCACTTCACATGTACTAAATCAGTCAACATCAGTGTGAGCGTGTTTCTCATCCTATGACGGTCTCTCGTCCCTCAGCTTTCGGTGTGCTGCTGTGGGAGATAGCGACGTACGGTATGTCTCCGTACCCAGGTATTGACCTGTCTCAGGTATACGACCTGCTGGAGAAGGGCTACCGCATGGAGCAGCCAGAGGGCTGTCCACCTAAGGTCCACGAGCTGATGAGGGCCTGTGAGTATGGGCACTGCACTCAGTCCACACACTGTACCACCAACACACAGTCCCTCACACTATCATCCATTCACTTATAGCTATGTAACCTAAATTGTCCATGGAGTAAGAAATAACATGACCTTTATTTTGGTTTGCTATCAGGCTGGCAATGGAGCCCGTTGGACCGACCCTCATTTGCAGAGACCCACCAGGCCTTTGAGACAATGTTCCACGATTCTAGCATCTCCGAAGGTACTTGTACGACATACAGTCACATTACTACCCTTAAGGCTTAAACATGGTCGGATACACTTCCCCCTCTTGGAGGCATTTCGCTCTGCTGCCTGACTCCATTCATTCCTGTCAGTTTTGGCACTAAAGAGCACACATTTGTGGATATTAGGGGGAATGGCTCTTAATGGTGCGTAAACATCTCTGTAGGGCCTTTTCATAGTGGTACAGCATGCCTGGTGCCTCAGGGAGAGACGGAGGATGATATTAGAGTGAGGAAAGGGCCCTGTGTAGCTCAGTTGGTAGAGCATGGTGCTTGCATCGCCAGGGTTGTGGGTTCGATTCCCACGGGGGGCCAGTATGAAAAAAAAAAAATATATATATATTCACTCACTCTGGATAAGAGCATCTGCTAAATGACAAAAAAATAAATTAAAAAAAATGTAGAAAGGGCAGGCTGAACTGAGGTGTGGGGAATACAGGGATACTGCAGGGCTTTCAGATAAGCACTATAAACTCTAAGCATTGGTTTCTGCATTTATTCCAGTTAATGAAGTACTACTATTTCTATGTGTATAACGGTCTAATGTAAATGTCCACTTAATTAAGCATTCCTTTCCTCTCCCATGGCTCCCTCTCTCTGCAGAGGTAGCAGAGGAGCTGTGTAAAACTGCCGCTTCTGGCCACGGCCCGTCACCGCACCCCTTCAGCCACGACATGCCGCTGCTGCCCTCCAAGTCGCGCACACTCAAGATGCACGCGGAGAACAAGGAGAACATCGAGGGGGGTCTGGATGGCAGACAGGAGCCCAGCACACACGGCCCCTCAGGTACCCGCCTTGCCCGCCGCCATGCCCGCAGGCTGAGGAGAATGGCTGCTGTGTACCTGGCAGACTGAACATCACTGGATCACCTTACCCATCCCTTAAACGCACCACTATCTTATCTCAGTGTCCTTACACAATCACAACACAGCTCCTTTAGCATCATATATAGAGCTTTCCTCATAATTTATAAAGAGTTACTGTAATGTCACTTATCTAGCCTCATTGATAATATGCAGTGGAGACTGTTGCCATATCCAACCACAACACTTAAAGGTCCAATGCAGCCGTCTTTATCGCAATATCAAATCATTTCTGGGTAACAAGTAAGTACCTTACCTGAAAAAATTTGTCAAAGGGATACAAAAATAGCTTCTTGGCAAATAACTATTTCTCAAGCAGCAATTTTGCTAGGATTGTCTGGGAGTGGTCTTAGTGGGGAGGGGAAAACTAGTTGTTATTTTCAGAGAGGTTTGGAAGTCTCATTGGTCTATTAACCAGGCAGGCCAAAACTCCATCCACTAAAACAGGCTGAGATTTCAGGCAGTCTTTTCAAAGAGCTCTTACACTTAAAGGGCATTATCGTTTTCACAATTTCACAGTATTATTCAAAACTCATAGTGTGGAAATATATATAAAACACAGCTAAATCATGTTTTTGACTGCACTGGGCCTTTTAAAGCATTGCATTTGGCCAAATACCAGATGCAGGGTTTAGATGAAAGGCATTCTCACTCCTCTCCCATATATAATTCACCATTGAGGATCTGCATGACTTTATAAACCACATAATCTCCATCAAATCTTCTTTCCTGACATGATTAGACAAGGCTGGGTAAATAGGCCTGTTTGTACTCATCTGTATTCATGTCTGTGTTCATGTTTGTCACTCATCTTTCATTTGTATTAACATAATGATTGAGGATGTTGAATTCTAATCCTCTTGTCTCTCCTTGTTGCATCCTACACACACAACTTACATATAACACATACAACTCTAACAAACACGAAGAATGACTGCATATGTACCAATACCTGAATTAAAATTGGCTGACCCACAAGAGTATTTTGTATGGTTTTTGAAATGTTGTCTTTCATGTTTTATGTGCAATCAAGTGACAATAAAGTGTTTTTATTGCATGTTGTGTTCATGCGGAAAAAACAAATGCAATCTATGTTCCCGTCAGTCCTTATACTCACTCCTTTCTCACACCATTTAATCCTCCCCATGATACTTCTCCACTACCAGTATGATTGATCAGTGAACACACAATAACAAACACAGCGTAGTTTCTAATTGTATTAATCGTATGTCTGGGATACACATGGTATACACCGTCCAATGAAATGCTTAATTGCAGGTTCCTTCTCGACAATGCGTAACATACATCCCTAAGTTAAGTCGGGATGATGAAGCATGAGTGGTGGTGACAAAAGGGAGGTGGCTTCCTGCCATGCTGACTCAGCTGCCTGGCTCACTGTGGCTCTCATCAATTAAACGTATAGAGCAGCTTCACATCCCTAGTACAAGGTGGCACCACAAATGTATTGAAACAGGAATGTCTCTGGAGAGAGAGAATATGCCGGTTGTCAAAGCAAATTGGCAGCCAGCCTATGAGATTCACCAGTTTGCGCTAATGCAGATTGACGTTGAATAATGGTGTTATTAGTGTTGATAAAAGAGGCTGCAGCTCTGGTACCTGTTTAACTCAATGTCCTCTGTTCTCTGCAGGTCTGGCAGCCACTCTGCTGGCAGGGGATGGCCGGTCAGGCAGCTCTCCTGCTCTGCCTCGGAAACAGAGGGACAAATCCCCCAGCAGCCTCTTGGAGGACTCCCAGGAGACCACGTTCACACGGGACCGCAAGGCTGGCTTCTTCAGCTCCTTCATGAAGAAGAAGTCTCCCTCATCCCAGCTGCAGCAGAGCCTGCCCATGCCGCCCAAGAGGAGCAGCTCGTTCAGAGAGATGGAGACCCAGCCTCACAAGAAGTATGAGCCCACGGCTGGCTTCAGTGTCCCTCCCCTTCCCCAGGCTGACGGCCTGGGCTTCTCACCGTCCCATGGAGAGGGGAACCACGTCCAGTCACGCTGCTGTGGGGCCACTTTTGGACAAAAGTCCTCTGCCAACCACATATCTGGGGCCCCGCCCTCGCAGGTGGGCAGTAGCAGCAGCTGGGCAGGCCTGGCAGGTTTCTTCACCCCCCGCCTCATCAAAAAGACCTTAGGGCTACGGACTGGCAAGTCCACTGGGACCGAAGAGGGGGGTGGGGGGACCAAGCCATTCCCCAGGTCCAACTCTACCTCCTCCATGACTGCAGGGCTGCCTGACCTGGAGAGGATGGCTCTGACTTTACCCAGAAACCGCAATAAACCTCCTCTAGAGCGCACTGCCTCCACCACCTCGCAGCCTGAGAACGGGGCAGCACAGACCTCTGAGACCCTGCTCCGTAAGATGGATGAGGGCACAGCTCAGATCAGGGACCGGCCTAAAGCCAAGCTGCTTCCCCGAGGGGTGGGGGGGAGCTCTGGGGGGGTGAGGGCACCTGGGGTTGGGAGTGAGGCCGATTTGGATTGTCACTCGGGGGCTCTACGGTGTAGGGAGGGTCAGGAGGCAGGAGGACAGGACCGACAGGGATGGACGTCCCCCTCCAAAACAGTGGGATCAGGCCCGTCGGCGGCACCACACAACCACAAGGTTCCAGTGCTGATCTCGCCCACACTCAAGCATAGCCCGGCCGATGTGCACCTGGTAGGGATGGACTCTCAGGGGAACCGCTTCAAACTGCTATCGGAGCACCAGGCAGACCGGGACCGACCACGACTGGTCAAGCCCAAATGTGCTCCCCCTCCCCCTCCAACCCTGCGCCTCATTGGGCACTCCTACAGCGGGGATGGAGAGGAGCAGGTCGTAGGGGCTGTGGAGGTCAACGGTGATGGGGTGAAAAGACCGGGACGAGCAAGGGAAGTGGGAACAGGGAGACCATCAGTGCCACCACCACAAGTGCCTCCACCACCTTCAGCCTCCTCCTTTTCCTCTGCCAACAACACTAACACTACCCCCACTAAGATGGCCAACGGTGCCACCATCACTGCTTCTTCCACAGCCCCCTCTGGTGGCTCTAAGCCTCTGCGTCGGACTCGACAGCAGGCTGAGCGGGTTCAACCAGAGAAGATCAGTAAGGAGGCTCTGCTGGAGTGTGCCGAGTGCCTGAGAGGTGCCCTCCACAGCAGCCCCGAGCCCTCCTCCAGCAGCCAGGTCCTAGATGCTGGCCACCAGCTGCTAGACTACTGCTTTGGCTACGTGGACTGCATCCCACAGATGCGGAACAAGTTTGCCTTCCGGGAGGCCGTGGGCAAATTAGAGCTGAGTCTGCAGGAGCTGCGGGCATCGTCCTCCTCTGGAATCGGAGGGGCATTCAGTGGCCCAGGACCTAGCCCTGCTCTGGACAACTTGCACATCTGCATCAAGGAAATCAGTGATGTGGTTCAGAGGTAGCCATCGGACCCTGTCAAAACATTTTTCTTTGTATTCCCTTTTTTATGTTTCTGGTTGTATTAACATTTTGGGGACCGAGAACAATCTCAAAAGTACCTCAGAAAATCACTACAAATTGGATATCTTATTGTTTACAGTGGAATCTTTCTCAAAAATGCCAGTGGAGAACACTGATCTAACCTTTGTACATAAACATTGTTGATACCAAACTAGATGTGGTTCAATTTACACCAAGTAACTGTTTTGCCCCAAGTTCAAACTTTTCCACCAGGTTTTAAGGCCTTTCTTTTAACCGAATGTGGAGTAAATCAGCCAGGTATTCAGTCCCAGAGTGTTGGTAAAGAACAAAGTCAGTTTGCATATGTGTCATAGTCATCATAGCCATAATTATTCTCCACTTTGTTTCTTGGCTGAGTTACTATCTTTGGTTTATTCTCCTGGCAACTATGAAGAGTTCCTGTGACAGGAAGTCACTGTTCAAAACTATTGTCACCTGGAAAATAGATGAGTGTTCCACTTAATCAGGTCTACTTTCTGCCATTTGATTTGGTTTGATTATTTCTGGAATATTTTCACTTAAAATCGGAATGGAAAATGTGAGTATTTTAATATTTATGTCCAAATTCCCTTGCACATTTATCTAAAATGTTCGGAGTTTATGAGAAGAGTGAGGCGAGCGCAAGGTAGCACATGGGCAGGTGGTTTGGGGCAGTGTTTCTAAGTGTCCTTGGACAGTGTTGAATTCCCTGTGGCCCTTTCCCTCACTGCCTATAGATTCTTAAATTATTGAAAATCTGCAAATACAGCCACTCCCTGACAAAATACTAATCTCAACGCAAACTGCGGTATGTCTCTAGCAAATGAGTGATTTATTTGTACATTATTTGGTTTTAACTTTAGAATGTCTTTATGTATGAACTTGAATTTAAATTAATTATAGTTTTTTATTAAAAGCACAGACATATTTTTAAAACGTTATGTAAATATTTGCTTAATTTCATATCCAGGAAAAGGTTTAAGGTCACGTTTGCTTGGATAAGTATTTGACTATGAAAATAAACATTAGTAGAAAGTTTATTGCAGGACTGAGGCCCCCAACCCCATCTGAACATCTGCAAAATGAATGTATTTTTTTTTCTCGATCATGTAAATGTTGGACCGTACACCTGTAAGAGTTTTGTTATCATCTTCCTTTGAGAAGATGAGGTGTTTAATCTGTTGAAGTTCTCTGGTCATTTCAATACCAACATCAGTGTTCTGTTTTTGATGAGCACTTTGGGGCCACATAAATGAGTGAAGATGACTAATATCCCTTTTAGACGCTTTTTGATCATCTCTACGCAAACATTTCCATTTCATATTGTTGGAAGTCATTTCATCCTGTTTGTTGTATTGTGCACAAATAGCAAGTGTCACCCGTGCCTGCAATCCTTTCTCTATAATAATTTGGCTAATGTATCAAGCAATCAAAACAAAAAAAGCTTGCTTATAACGGTGTGTCCCTCGACTGAAAATTCTCCTAATGCCCACTTGAGATGTTGGAACCGTTGGTGTACACTGGATAAAGCCTATGAAGTAGTAGACATTGATTGGTATATTGCATTTCGTCTTAGTATAAACTCTAGTAGTGCCATTTGACATCCAATCTTTTTTCACAGTTCATTCCATGTCTGTTCTGTGGTACACAACCTATCTAATCCAGCAGATGAGCTTCAGTGTCTCTGGTCATTCAAACGTCGTCTTGACTAATAGGATGTCATGAAACCAATTGTTTCTTTACACTGTGAGGTTCCAAATTATATAAAGGTATTTCTTTTTATTTTCTTGCTACTGGATACAGCAATGTTTTTCCAATGATTCATGGTGCCTTTTGTGAAATATATTGTATGTATAGTGCACTACTAAGTCAAGAAACGGATATACAGCGACGTGTAATTGTAAATATCTTGTGCTTTGGTTTTCAGATGACACATTTTGCCATGAGATTGTGGCCAAGTATAAATATCACTACAACATACATTTATATTACTGGGAGTAAATTAAGAGTCTAACTTGAAAATAAAATGTGCAATTTGTCTCCTATATTATAATAGATGGACTGATGGTCAAATACAGCTTGTTCTTGGTCTGATAGTGGTCCATACTTGTGATCCCATATAATTCTGTCTCTGACAGTTGCAAAATAAGTGTTTTATTTCCAACAAACTACACAAACATGAGTCTGGTGCACTTCCCCAAAGCTGCTCTGTAGTATTAAGGATCTGAACTATTAAACTCTCTGCATCCTCCACTTGCTGTCTGTGAAATTCTTAATGACTGATTACCAATTTGGCCTTCCATTATTTTGCCTGTCACCCTTGCTTATTTATGCTTAGAACATCTCTTTCTTATGCTTTATTGCCAAACTGCTCAAGTGAGACGAGTATCCCATAGACTTGTGATTGTCTCATTTGTTATTGTTGGCGCAAGAGTGTAATGATCAAGGCTTGTCACGCTACGAGAATTAGTTTGCAATGATTGCAATAATTTTGCTAACAATTTATTTCATTTTGGTTCATTTTGGTTCAAGTGCGCATCAATTAATTTCTACCCAGTTTGTGTTGATGATGAAGCTATTTGTCCTTTATTTATTGTTGCTGTATTTATGTTGTACGTCATGTTTTGGATCCTGCAACTTTTCTGTTTGATCTGAACAGTGCTGAAGAAATAGTATGTACGCATCATATACCAAAGGCCACTTCCTCTTCAGTTCTATGAGTGCAATGAGAATGGAATACACTTCATTTTGAAAATGTGAATTTAACAGTGATAAAAATGGCAGAGGTTAACATATTAACTTTTTTATTTAAAGCTCACATAATACTATTTAACTGTGAAGTTCTCCCTAGCCATGTTTAAATTTGATGTAAATAATAAATATAATGTTGAACAGTTCTAAGGTCCATTTATCTTTTTGATTTGTGAAAATTCTAAAGATAAATAAAGAGAGCGCAACCTCAAGCCACCAGCTCAATCCTTGCCTTGTGTTAATCAGATTAATACATCTGAATGACCTGTGATGCATTTACTATTCCTCAGAAGGTCAATATTTAAAGTACACTACTGTAAATAGAATATAATTAATGGGAGGAAACTAATGATATTGATTGAAACATGATTATAGCCCAGGGGCAGTTAGGGGTTGCATAATTTTGTGGCATGTGATTCAAACCTTTCTTAATTTAAGGCACATCCTGACCCTGGCATTAGATTATATCGCATCTGCGCCTGGAACTGTCATCTGAAATATTTTAATGCGACCTTCCTCCGTTACATACCTTTTTAATTTTGCTTCAATAAACTGTGTATTAGGTTATCAGTGATCATTTTAGTGGAGGAAGGGTGTCTGTTTTGAGTATTTGAACATGGCCATTGAACTCAAAGTCATACAACGGATGTGTGCTGAACCGGGGTACTATTTGCTAAATACTTGCAAACTATGTGAGTATGAACTTTATACTAATCATATTAAATATTTCAAATATACAACTGTATTTGGTATATATTTTCTCTGTTAGGCCCACTCATTTTGCAAACGCATTCTTCTGGATAATAAAATAAAATCTGGAAATATTTCATGGATAATGAACAGATACTGATAAAAAATTTCAGCAACTGTACTATGACATACTTTTTTCAAGCATGCTACCCCATATACTTCATGCTAGGGGCCCACAAGGCCATGCACATACTCATTATGTAGTACTTACTAAATAGTATGGGAGCTATGCCATTTTGAACATGTCCAATGTATTTGAAATCATGAGTGCACTGCAACCTGGCATAATGGCCCAAATGAAGATATAGGCCTATAGTGTTATAATCATGTGCACCTATGGAACATAAAATGAGAAAGCAAAATTATAATTTAAAATGTTTCACAATCTGTCAGCTGTTAAGGATGCTGTCAAGTCTTGCCATCCCGTGACGTGGTAGAAACGTTTTTGTCCATACTGACTCCTCCCCCAGAATATTGGCCAAGTGTAAAGATGGCGTCCATCATGGAGGGACCGCTGAGCAAATGGACTAACGTCATGAAAGGTTGGCAGTATCGCTGGTTTGTTTTGGACTACAATGCGGGTTTACTGTCATACTACACGGTGCGTATTTCCTTGTACTTCATAATGAATACGCGGATAAGCTCCCGGGTCCGGTAGTATTATTTGCTAAAGCTTGTCAAAACCGAGTGCTGGAAACGGGACAGCGGCCTCCCTGTTGGTGCTTTCAAGACAACTGGGAACTCGGGGGTCAAATCATGACGTACGTGAACTTCAGGTTGGAAAGTCGGAACAATAGAAAGATGCCCGAGTTTCCGACTTGGAATTCCGAGTTCGATGACCGTTTTAAAACGATTTTTCTCAGTTGGATTTCGTTTTTTCCCGTCTTGAACGCACTGAAGTCAGAGATTTCCAGTTCCCAGTTGTTTTGAACGCGCCATGTGTGCCGGGAGTTGCGAATCTCAGCTGTCAGAAAAGGGCGGGGACTTTGCGTGACAGATTCATTATTGACCAATCATATCCATGCCAGATTAGCAACTAGCAAATTAAATGCCAGCATTTTCTGTACTTCCTGGAATGATGCGGCCGTGTTCTTCCCTTGTTGTTTGTCTGCAACATTTTCTATCTATCTTTCTATCTAGCTAGCTATCTATTTTTCATGTCCATGTTTTGCTGTCAGTTAGGCTTCAACACTGTTGATTTTTCGAGACATTTAAAGCAACGTAGCAGGAACAATTATAACAATGTCAGCAAAGGGAGGAGACAAGGTTATTTAGCTAACTCATGTTAGTCAGCTCATTGAGTTAACGTTAGCCAACTAGTCAAGTGAAGTAAATACCTAGCAAAAAAAATGTGCCTGCTTAGTCTGCCTGCGTAACAAAAATGTATAGTAGACTTCACCGTTTTGGTCTGCTGTCACCAGAGGCAGAGTTAATGTTAGCAGATATCAAATCACATTTTATTGGTCGCATACACATATTTTGCAGATGTTATCGCAGGTGCAGCGAAATGCTTATGTTTCTAGCTCCAACAGTGCATTAATACCGAAAAATACAAAACAATACACAAATCCTCCCAAATCAATAAATATCAGAATGAGCAATGTCAGAGTCCTGAATTTAAATATATATGTATATGATATACACTACCGGTCAAACGTTTTAGAACACCTACTCATTCAATGGTTTTTCTTTTCTTTTTACTATTTTCTACATTGTAGAATAATCGTGAAGACATCAAAACTATGAAATAACACATATGGAATCATGTAGTAACCAAAAAAAGTGTTAAACACAATCAGGCCTCCACAATCCCCCGACCTCAACCAAATTGAGATGGTTTGGGATGAGTCGGACCGCAGAGTGAAGGAAAAGCAGACAACAAGTGCTCAGCATATGTGGGAACTCCTTCAAGACTGTTGGAAAAGCATTCCAGGTGAAGCTAGTTGAGAGATTGCCAAGAGTGTGCAAAGCTGTCATCAAGGCAAAGGGTGGCTATTTGAAGAATCTCAAATATAAAATATATTTTGATTTGTTTAGCACTGTTTTGGTTACTACACGATTCCATATGTGTTATTTCATAGTTTTGATGTCTTCACTATTATTCTGCAATGTAGAAAATAGTTTTTAAAAAAATAAGAAAAACCCTTGAATGAGTAGGTATTCTAAAACTTTTGACGGGTAGTGTATATAGACAGTATATGAATAGAAAAGGTGTGTACATCAGTAGTTATATAAGAAGTGGGTAAAACCGTATGTGAACATTATTAAAGTGACCAGTGTTCAATGGCTAGGGTAGCAGTCTCTAAGGTGCAGGGTAGAGTACCAGGTGGTAGTCGGCTAGTAACATTGCCATCCCTCTTTTTTATAATTTTTTTTGCTACCTTATCATTGATTGCACCCTTCATAAAGCTACATAGCCTGCCGAAGATGGCACTATTATGCCTTTACATCGTTGACAACCTAAAGCCATTTCGTTCTACCATTTTCAACAGCCTGACCCTGCCACTTTGATGGGTTAACTGAGGGATGGGGCTGGAGAAATTTAACCACTGTCAAATGAATAGAGGACGCATACAGGTGATGCGTTGGTTGGGAATTGTGGGCAGGTGATTGTTCAGGCTGTGAGTTCCCTGCTGATAATGGGCTCCCGCCTATCTATGTCACAATGGGATGCCGGACTATCGCGCCTCAACGTCTGTGGACTATGATTTACGCTTTAGGCATTATAGCTAAGTCAAGAATCATTGGTCATATACACTCAATGGCCAGTTTGTTAGGTATGCTACCCTGTTCACGTAAATGGTTCGCTTCTACAGACAGTGAGTCAGGTGGCCATGGCTTGCTATATAAAGCTGGCAGACAGGCATCGAGGCATTCAGTTACTGCTCGATTGAATGTTAGAATGGGCAAAAATAGTGATCTATGCGACTTTGAGCATGGTATGATCGTCGGTGCCAGGTGCGCTGGTTCCAGTATCTCAGAAACAGCCAGCCTCCTGGGCTTTTCACGCACGACAATGTCTAGGGTTTACAGAGAATGGTGTGACAAACAAAAAACATCCAGTCAGCAACAGTCCTGTGGGCAAAAACAGCTTGTTGATGAGAGGTCGAAGGAGAATGGCAAGAATCGTGCACGCTAACAGGTGGGTCACAAACAGGAAAACAATGGTGCAGTACAACGGTGTGCAGAACGGCATCTCGGAATGCATAACTCGTCAGTCCTTGTCACGGATGGTCAGCAGAAGACCACACCGCGTTCCACTCCTATCAGCTAAAAACAAGAAGAAGCAGCTCCAGTGGGCACGCGGTCACCAACACTGGACAATTGAGGAGTGGAAAAACATTGCCTGGTCCGAAGAATCCCAGTTCCTGTTGCATCATGCTGATGGCAGAGTCAGGATTTGTCGTAAGCAGCATGAATCCAAGGCCCCATCCTGCCTCGTGTCAATGGTACAGGCTGGTATAGTAATGATATGGAGAATGTTTTCCTTGCACATGTTAGGGCCCTTGATACCAATTAAGCAATGTTTCCATGCCCCAAAGAATAATTCAGGATGTTCTTAAAGCAAAGTGGGGTCCGACCCAGTACTAGATGGGTGTAGCTAATAAACTGGCCACTGAGTGTATATGACCATTGAACAGAAGGAACATCATGAAAATAATATGCTCCACTGTGTCCCATCAAACTATCTCACAGGTAGCCACAAATATGCCCCTTTTACTGTCATTCACAAAGATGGGAAGGTTTCACGATACAGGTAAACCCAGTATCCCAATCTCATGCAAGTCAAACTAAAGGTAACTGCCAAAATAAAGGAAACACCAACATACAGCGTCTTAAAGGTTGAGTAAGTAAGAATCTTGTCCACAAATGTACCCACGTTTCTATTAGGCCTATATGTAAATAGTTTATGATTAGCGAATGTAGTTATTTTGTTAAATACTTCTCCCTATTAGTTGAAATCAATTTTTTTCACAGCCATTTTAGCTGTTGTGCTAGCTGTTCGGTCGGAACAGATTCACAAATCATGGGAATTTGTTGCGCTGTACAGACATCATCTCCCTCCGAGGCAGGTGTTGCTAGGCAACCCCCTGCACTTTCCTGGGCAAGCCTGCTCCCTCCGTGGCTAAAGCCAGTGTGCGAAATGGGATAACAAATGTTTATGCTATGAAACAAAATAAATACTGCACTCTGACCAACAAAACTTATTTGCTAGGTTCATGATAGTGTTGTTAGACAAAGCAAGGAAAGAGAACTTCAAAACGTGATGTAGTTTTATTTGAATTTGCAGCTGTTGTTGGTAAGTAATCTGCTAGCTTCTGATATGACTGATTGCATCTGTAATAGGGCGTTGGGCCACAACATGCCGCCAGAAGAGCTTATATATATATACAGCTCTGGAAAAAATTAAGAGACCACTACAAAATTATCAGTTTCTCTGGTTTTACTATTTATAGGTATGTGTTTGGGTAAAATTAAAAAATATATATATTCTATAAACTACTGACAACATTTCTCCCAAATTCCAAATAAAAAATATTGTCATTTAGAGCATTTATTTGCAGAAAATGACAACTGGTCAAAATAACAAAAAATATGCTGTGTTGTCAGACCTCGAATAATGCAAAGAAAATAAGTTCATGTTCATTTTTAAACAACACAATACTAATGTTTTAACTTAGGAACAGTTCAGAAATCAATATTTGGTGGAATAACCCTGATTTTCAATCACAGCTTTCATGCGTCTTGGCATGCTCTCCACCAGTCTTTCACATTGATGTTGGGTGACTTTATGCCACTCCTGTCGCAAAAATTCAAGGAGCTCGGCTTTGTTTGATGGCTTGTGACCATCCATCTTCCTCTTGATCACATTCCAGAAGTTTTCAATGGGGTTCAGGTCTGGCGATTGGGCTGGCCATGACAGGGTCTTGATCTGGTGGTCCTCCATCCACACCTTGATTGACCTGGCACATTGTCCTGCTGAAAAAACCAATCCTCAGAGTTGGGGAACAATGTCAGAGCAAAAGGAAGCAAGTGTTCTTCCAGGACAACCTTGTACGTGGTTTGATTCATGCGTCCTTCACAAAGACAAATCTGCCCGATTCCAGCCTTGCTGTAGCACCCCCAGATCATCACCGATCCTCCACCAAATTTCACAGTGGGTGCGAGACACTGTGGCTTGTAGGCCTCTCCAGGTCTCCGTCTAACCATTAGACGACCAGGTGTTGGGCAAAGCTGAAAATTGGACTCATCAGAGAAGATGACCTTACTCCAGTCCTCTACGGTCCAATCCTTATGGTCTTTTGCAAACCTCAGCCTGGCTGTTCTTTGCTTCTCATTGATGAAGGGCTTTTTTCTAGCTTTGCACGACTTCAGCCCTGCCCCTAGGAGCCTGTTTCGAACCGTCCTCACCGTGCACTTCACCCCAGCTGCCGTTTGCCATTCTTTTTGTAGGTCACTTGATGTCATCCTACGATTGTTGAGTGACATTCAAATTAGTTGGCGGTCATCCCGGTCAGTAGTCGTTTTTGCCCTCTGCCGGTCCGTATCTTTGTTGCCCCCAATGTCTGCTGTTTGACCTTGTTCTTATGAACAACCGCCGTCTTAGAAATTTTAAGGACGGAAGCAACCTGACGCTCACTGTATCCCTCTGCCAGTAAAGCCAGAATTGAACCCTTCTTTTCCTCACTCAAAACTTTCCTTTTCAACTCTTTTGGCATGGTCCATAGTTATTACTTATGAGGTACTATTAACACTTTTTTTTGCCATCCAGCTGGTCCTATTGCAAGAGGATAGTGATGACCACAGCAGTGGTTTTTATACTTTTCCTCGTTAAATAAGATTTGGTTCAGGTGATCACCTAATCAGTACCTAATTTAGTAGAATGAGGTGTGCCTGTATTGGAATTCAACAGACACTGGAATAGAATGGCTGTCATACATGTAGAGATGCTGATTTAAGTAAAATTTGCAGTGGTCTGTTAATTTTTTCCAGAGCTGTGTATATATATAATTATTTTCTTTACATCGCTGCAACTCCCCAACGGGCTCGGGAGGTGAAGGTCGAGTCATGCGTCCTCCGAAACATGACCCGCCAAACCGCGCTTCTTAACACCCGCCCACTTAACCAAGGAGCCAGCCGCACCAATGTGTTGGAGGAAACACCGTTCAACTGACGACAGAGGTCAGCCTGCAGGCGCCCGGCCCCTAACCCGGACAACGCTGGGCCAATTGTGCGCCGCACTATCGGACTCTCGATCACGGCCGGTTGTGATACAGCCCGGTGCCTTAGACCGCTGCGCCACTCGGGAGGCCCCGCCACCAGAACAGCTTCAATGCGCCTTGGCATAGATTCTACAAGTGCCTGGAACTCTATTGGAGGGATGCGACACCATTCTTCCACGATAAATTCCATAATTTGGTCACAGACTGTTCTCTCTGCTACCGCACGGCAAGCGGTACCGATGCACATAGTCTGGAACCAACAGGACCCCGAACAGCTTCTACCCCCAAGCCATAAGACTGCTAAAATGCAAATCAATTTATAACATTTTTGACATGTGTTTTTCTGGGGTTTTTTGTTGTTATTCTGTCTCTCACTGTTCAAATAAACCTACCATTAAAATTATAGACTGATCATGTCTTTGTCAGTGGGCAAACGTACAAAATCAGCAGGGGATCAAATACTTTTTTCCCCTCACTGTAAATACCTACCTCGATTACCTCATACCCCTGCACATTGACTTGGTACTGGTACCCAATGTATATAGCCAAGTTATTGTTATTCATTGTGTTTATTCCTCGTGTTGTTCTTTTTCTATTATTTCTCTTTTTTTCTCTCTGCATTGTTGGGAAGGGCCCGTAAGTAAGCATTCCACTGTTAGTCTACACCTGTTGTTTACGAAGCATGTGACATACAATTTGATTAGATTTTTGTTGATGGTGGTGGAAAACGCTGTCTCAGGCGCCGCTCCAGAATCTCCCATAAGTGTTCAATTGGGTTGAGATCTGATGACTGAGACGCGCACGCACACACCATTTAAACCCCCTATGGTCCTTTGCGACCCGTCTTTCAAAGTCACTGAGATCTATTCTAGCCATGGTAGCCAAAATAATGGGCAACTGGAAATGTTTATATACTGAACGAAAATATAAACGCAACAATTTCAAAGATTTTACTGAGTTAGAATAAAATCAATAAAATGCAATTGTGTTTGTTGGCCGTAGCTTATACCTGCCCATACTATAACCCCACTGCCACCATGGGGCACTCTGTTCACAACGTTGACATCTGCAAACCGCTCGCCCACACAACACCATACAAGTGGACTGCGGTTGTGAGGCGGGTTGGACATACTGCCAAATTCTTGAAAATGACGTTTGAGTCGGCTTATGGTAGAGAAATTAACATTCAATTATCTGGCAACGGCTTTGGTGGACATTCCTGCAGTCAGCATGCCAATTGCATGCTCCATTCAACTTGAGACATCTGTGGCATTGTGTTGTGTGACAGAACTGCACATTTTAGTGGCATTTTATTGTCCCCAGCACAAGGTGCACCTGTGTAATGATCATGCTGTTTAATCAGCTTCTTGATATGCCAGACCTGTCAGGTGGATGGATTATCTTGGCAAAGGAGATATGCACACTAACAGTGATGTAAACAAATGTGTGCACAAAATTGAAGAGAAATAAGCTTTTTGTGCGTATGGAAAATTTCTGGGATCTTTTATTTCAGCTCATGAAACATGGGACCACACTTTACATGTTGTGTTTATTTTTGTTCAGTGTACATGATCCTAAGCATGATGAGATGTTGTAATTTCTTAATTAACTCAGGAACCACACCAGTGTGGAAGCACCTGCTTTCAATATACTTTATCCTTCATTTACTCGTGTTTTCTTTATTTTGGGAGTTACCTGCATCTGCTGGCACTTAACAAATTCAATATGACCCTACACTGAACGACCGTAATAGGGACACTTTTGGTTACGGTGAATGTCATTTATAGCCTAAGTGCCAGTCTTTGTGCTATCATGTCAACGTATTATCAATCATGGGTATACCAAACGTTTGGCTAGACAATGAGCAATGGACTTGGCAAGAGCACAAACAGATCTGGGACCAGGCTATGTCATACTATAGCTATGTCATACTTGCAGATGATATGCAATACTAGGAAACTCACAATTCTGTCTTGCAGTGATTTTTACCAGAGAATCTTAGCTTGCTATCTACATGTATGATGTTCCAGGAACTTTCCACTGATAAAGTTGATAATGAATAAACTTAAACTTGGAGTGGAAATGTGTGTGAACGGAGTATGCGGATATAAAACAATTGTATAGTATGCTTGAAACCTAATTTGTTCTTGTTCATTTTCAGTCCAAGGACAAGATGATGCGTGGCTCTAGAAGAGGCTGTGTGCGTCTCAGGGTAAGGAACTGATTTGGGTTGTTGACCATGCTCATTAGCCTATGTGCTTAGAGGGACAATTTGCACCCGCTGAATAAGTAGCTATTTTCCTAACTAGCCTAATACTGTTCTGTTGTTGTAGGTGTTCTTTGGCAATACAATACAAGGCTATTTAATATAAGCGCTTTCTAGAAGTTTGTGAACATATTGCCACTAGATGGCAGCATTTGATGTATTACTTGTACTTGGAATAGACACTAACAATAGTATTTTAATGAAGCGTTTCCTAAAATGGATCCTAGCTGGCCCATTGTAACCATTTTGTTATTTCTATCCTCAAGGAATTAACCATTATTATATTATTATTAACTTAATTTAGTAGCAAAGCGATCAGAGATCTGCTTTGACTTTGAACTGCAGCTCAAACAGAGGTTTTACTTTTAAAGTTTAAACAAATAGTTAGATAGATTGAAATGTCTTGGGGGAAACCTGTTTGGTATATTTTTGTGTCAAGGCTAGATGAAGCAGGATTTGAATTCTTTATCCTAATACTTTTATGAGTAGAGGTGAGAATTGGGAAAACATACCATCTTTAATTCAGTACCCACAATTGAAAAACGCATTTTAATAACCCATTTAGTGTAAGAGTATCACGTGCGAATATCATCATGTGCGTAGGTGTCTTTGTTTTGTTTTTTTAACCTACGTTTTGGCAATAATTCGAAGGATTAGCACAACCCGATGTCAGAATTTGTTTATTTTTGCCTAGAGACAATGTTCACATTCATGTAAAAAAGACCTTTCGTAGACATCACACACCACACACTCAGCTGCTATCCACAGCTTTGAGAAAACAACAGTTGGCTAGATTCTCTAGCATGCTAAATTGATACCCCTCTTTTTCTTGTTGGTGGGTCAGATGATTGATAATGGAATTAAGAAGACAACATTTCTCATGACTTTCATCTGTTTTGTGCTGATTTTGAAGGTATATGAGCATTCGCATGTTAGTGTTGTCAGGTATAGTGAACATATCTTACTCTGAACAGCATTCTCCTAGATTCATATACGTGTACAAAGTCTGACCTTACGTAGAGTTTTGTGTGTTGTAATGTTTGGGAGTTTAGTCTATCTACTATAAAAAAAAGTGTCTAGCATAAAGTTATTAACTTGCAAGTGTAGCCTGGTTGCATATTGAATTGTGCTATACATTGACTGATTAGTAGCCTAGTTGAGTATATTTCTTCCTTAGTACAAGTTTTAGATAGTTGGGACAGTACTTGTGGATTTACTTATGAGGTGATGGCATTTTCTTCTAGTCCTCAGACACACACACAGGCTAAATGCACACCACATGTATAAACACACACTCAGCCTAGGTTACATTATTTCTAGCCTAATTCTACTCATGGCTCGTTGAATGCCCATTCCTCATTTTGTACCAGTGCCTTTGTCTCTCTGTGTGAAGCCAGCAGCCAGGGCATTGTCTTTTAATGAGTCATCACATAGTGGTTCTCTGTGATAATGGACGCCTACACCTCACCCTCAGTACATGGAAAGTCTTAATGCAGATTTGTGGTTAATTATATTATACATTTTTGACTTAATTAAAAGATAAGCATATGCCTTTCTTTTATTTTAATTTTAAAGGTTGGTTTTGACTAGCAAGCAGGTTTGAGATATACTGTTGCTAGGTGCCAAGCCACAAACAGTTCTGCAGTGATTTTCTTTCCTTCCATGCTGCTGGTCCCCAATGTCTGTCTCCTCTCTACCTGTTCCTGCCTCTCACACTCCACCCAGACACCCGCTCCTCTTTTCTCCCATGCCTCGGTGGGTTTTTGATAGAGCGTGAGCAGGAGAGGGGGATGGTGACGTCTCACTGCCTCCTCTTCCTTTTTGGTTTCCCAGGGAGCTGTAATAGGAATCGATGACGAGGACGACAGCACATTCACCATCACTGTGGACCAGAAGACTTTCCATTTTCAAGGTGAGTCTCTTGTTATTTTCTTTTTCCTCCCGTCTCCCTCACCTCCCACTCTGCTGACTTCCCTGTCGTTTGGAGTGAATCTGTCAATGCTGCATACGGCCGGCTGCTCGCATATAGGCTCTCTTTGTAGTTTGTTCTCTCTCTCTCTCTCTCTCTCTCTCTCGTATGCTCTTTCCTGCCTTTTTAAAAGGAGGATTATTCTGTCGGTGCGCCAACACAAGCAGACACACATCTAGGCATTTGAATTGCTCGTCGTCTCTATGTGGAACCTTCCTTTTCATCAGCAGCATCTGGCAGCTTTGCAAAGTAGAAGTGAAATGGGTAGGGGCTAAAGCAAGATTTATTCCACACCAAGATTATTCTGTAATGGAAAGAAGCGAAGGAGGCTCTTTTTTTTGGGAAGATTACTTGCATTTTCTACCGCCTCTGGGAATAAAACAAATACTGCTGAGCTAAAAGCCGAGCTATCTGCACTGCCGCTCCCCACCCTGAACACCGACACTTCCCAGAGACAGGACTGGCCCCCTTTCCCAGACACCCCTCACCCCACCCCTTTCCCCCGGACAGCAGCTGCACCGTCCGTCCACCCAGCGGACCGCTCTCCTCCAGGTCTCTAACCTCCTCCACCCTGTCACAACCCCATCCTCATGCCTCCATCCCCCCCACTCCCGACACAGCCACCACTACCACCACCAGCACGTTATCCACGGTGGGCCCACCTCCACCTCCTTCATGCCATCTCCCATTGCTATGTTCCGAAACTGTATGCTGTGGTTCTACAATAGGAAGGGTAAGGAGATGTCTGCATGCTGGCCTCTGTTAGCAGGTCGAAGGGCATGACTTAGTGAAGCAGTGATAGTAGCCTTTTCCTACGTATTTGGGTTGGTGGTTTTTGTAGCTTACCGTTTGCTTTGATTTACTGTGTTTTCTATAGCGGTTGTATATCGTGGAAGACGTATCATATGTTTCATTCACTTTTAGAAAATATGTTTCAAAGGCTTGATGGTTTAAAGAAACAATATTATGGACGGTTGTTTCTAAGAGGTGCATTGTCAGGTCACCTGTTTAAGATTATGTTCGCTAAGGTCATAATTCTATGATATTGTTATCAATCTGATTCAATTTGAAATTCATATGTCAAGTTGTTCGAGTTATAATTCCTATTTCTATGGTCATAACTAAGCCAGTTTTAATTTTGTCATTTGGTCTACTTGCTCTATTATGCGTATTCAGTAAATGTCATCTGAGTTCACCCTTTAAATGATGCAGCCCTGAAAGACTTTTGGATTCCTAGCTCTGGGGGGTGAAATAAAGATGCTCCTCCAGATGATGCCTCCAAGTTGAAAAGCTATTATAAGATTACGTAGAAAAGATGGGAACTTCACGGCCATTTCACAACCCATCTGTCAACCAAGCCTATGGGAATTATTTTCTATCACCAACATCACAACAAGGAACATACTCATTTCGACATGAAAAGGATACCGAAGATATATGCGCTACTCCAGATGTTTCCTGCTGGAGATACATTACTCAGGATCCAGCTGATGTTACACACATTTATTCTGGTGTGTTGCTGTGGCTGGCAGGCAGGCAGGGGGGCTGTGTCAGAGGAGGACTGGAGCAGAGCATGGGTGAGGTATGGGGCAGCTACAGATGAAGGCTGCAGAGAGAGAGGCTCTGTATTTCTATTTCGAGGATCGTCCATAATTCATCAGGCTCTTTTTCTGGCGGAGCATCAGAGCCCTTCAACTCCCCCTCCCCACTTCCACAGCACACCTCCCCGTGTGCTAAAGAGCTCTTTACCTGGCCCCCATACAGACAAAAATGCTTAGCCTGGGAAACTGCTGAATGCAATGGCCAAGCCCATGATGAGCAGGTTGCCTGTTGTAGAGAGGGGGTCTAGTGGTTCTGGAAATGTATGTATGATCATACCCAGTCTTTGGAGTATAGCACTGTGTACACTCAAAGGGATGTATGACTAGGTATTGAGCTTATCTTGGGGGATAGTTCATCTGTATGTAAATGTGTGTGTTAGAGAGGGGCTGTGACTGGAATGGAGCTGTGATTCCTTGTCTTCTTACCTGTTCCCCAGGGAGCTCCTACCTCAGCACAGTGACCGCACAGCCACAGTCTGCTGCAGCACAGTCTGTAACTAGGAAAGAACATCTAGTCTTTGCTTTCTTCCTGAAAAGAACATGCATTCATTAGCACACACAGAGATTTACTCCAACCCCTCTCTCTCCTCCAATCAAGATACTACTTTATTGTGTTTACCAAAAACTGCTGTGCATCATACCATCTACATTCTCTCTCCTTATTATAAAACATTCCATTAATTCAGCCAAATAGGGGAGGCAGAAGAAGTGAACAAAATATGATTCACATCCTTTGAAGGAAGGCAGCAGAGCAGTTTTGATTGGTGTGTCTTATGAATGTGAAAATACGTAACCAGAGAGGAAATTGAATTATCTGCTTGTTAGACACACTGCTAGCGCCTGTGTGACTGCTGTCACCTTGCTGAAGGCTTTCAGGTCTCTCCACCGCCCCCGCCTCTATCTCTCTGGGCCTGGCTTTCAGTAATAAAATGTGCTCTGGAGAATGACCGCTTTGTGCACTAATGGCCCAGGAGTTAATAATAATAATAAACGTTGCTTTCATCCAGAGGAGCCACCTACCTTCCTGAGTAGAGGGGGAGCATTAGGCCCTAATTGGGTTGTGGGTACGTGCCATGTCAGGGCCTGTTGGGCTCTGTGTTGAACACTGAGGCGCTGCACAGGTTTATGACCTGCCTGGGCTTCAAGACACCACTGTTGTTAATGTAAAACAGTCATACGAAGAGTTCAGATTTTCCAAGTTCATATTATATAAATGAAGAAAATTGTAACCACGAGGTCTACCAAACTGAAGTGTTTGTGCTGTACAGAACAATTTGTTTTATTGGTCTCAAAGTTACGTAAGTGTTCAATATATTCTACTGTTGTTAATGATTTGCTGTTGCTATCACTTCATCAGCAATGTCTGTAGCCTATATCTCACTTAAGACTGACCCCAGTAATGATGGCTGGTGTTATGACAGACTGTGTATTCCCTCTGCTGGCTAGATAGGAGTGACCATGTTTGTCATGCACAGTAAATATCACACAGGGATGGCACAGTGTTTACTTGCAAGTCACAGATAGTTGTGGAACTGACCAAACAGTGCACCCTTACTGTCACACGAAGAGCTTTAGGTAGAAGGGAGATTCTTCGTTAGCTCTTTACATGCCATGCAACCAAGTAGTAAGTAGTGATCTTTCAATCTAATAATCTAGCAAGCATCTTTGTTTTCCCTATTTCTTTGTTGGACATTGATTTGACACCAACATACAGTATTTCACACAATTCTTTGCTTAAAATACAGGATGTTGTTTGTTTTGCTCCATTCTCACGGCAGATTGACCCTATTACTGTTATGGGGTAAACACAAATCTATAGAAAGGTTTTGCTAAGAAAAGTGTGCCTAAATTAAATTAGCACAGACATGGAGGTGAGAGGGTGGTGAGGCAATGCGGTGAGGGCTTGGCATGAGCCCTGGCTGCCTCTAATGTCTTTAAAAGCGTTGGGCTTTCATCCTGAGCTCTTATCCATCAATCATCTGGGTACACTGTATTTTACATGTCGATTAAACCTCCCCAGGCCCCCGTCACCTCCTGTGATGAAATACTGGATTGTCTATTATGATTTAGTTGTTTTTGTCTGTTCCTTTTTTAATATTCAGCTTATTCCATGCTTTCGCAACGCTGTTTCCTTAATTGCAATCAGAAAACGATCAATTATCAAATGTTTATGTTCATAACATTTCTCTGTTGATGAAATGTGGCAAACATTTATGAAAATGTGTCAATGTTCCCTTTCAGATTTTGGACTGTTTAACTTTAACTGGATAGACATATTTAGAGGGATTAACCCACAGACTAACCCTCCTGTTCAATTCCCACAGCCATCATTCAGAATAACAGGATGACTCAGGCTACTAATGTTTTAATTCATTTTACTAACTCTTCATTTCAAGCTTTATCTTCTCTCGGCAGTGGCGTGTATTCATAGATGCCAAGGGAAGCCAGGCCTCCGAATTTTTATAACCAAGAAAACAACATCAATAATTTATCTTTCATCTCTGTGTTTCATCATTTTCCTTCAATTCGAAAGAGGCTGAATGTATCTCAACTGAGAAGGTATCAGAGCGAGCAAACAGCGTCCCTCTGTCTCTGTATGTCTAGCCCATCTATCTGATGCTGTCTGGTCAAAAAGAGTATGATATTGTTGCCGCCTGTAGCATTCAATGCAAGGAAAGCCAGCGAGCATTTGGGCTCCCTTGATAATTCTTTAAATAAAATAATAGCCAATCAGCGTTGAACTAAACTGAGTGAGCTCAACTGTGAGTGGTCCTGGCTCAGCAAAACAGGTGTCAAGGGAAGCCAGCTTGGATTGGGTTTCACATCAATCACATCACAACAATAGTCATATGTCATTGACAGAACTTGAATTGTTGCATCTTGATGCGTTATCCTCCTGTGGCTAGCTAGCTAAAATTGTCAATATCCCTATATTAGTCATGGATAGAGATCGGGATTTGGACTTGTGGTTTTACTTAATTCTCGGTGCTGGACAATGATTATAATGACGATTCAAATCCAACCGTAAATTCATACATTGTGCCCCTGGCCTGAGAGGATGGAAGTGCAACATGTAGCTAGATGTAGTAGGCTAATGTTAACTAGCTGGCTCATCATTGCCCATGAAAGGAAGTTAGGCAACCGAGCAAGCATTTAAGCCATGACAACAAAAACTAAAAGCGTGTAGCCTACTGTATGATAGAGTCATAGGCAGTTTAGGAGAAATGAAAGAGATGAGGATGGCATTGGCGTGTCTCTACAAGTAGGGTATAAGTCAACATGTTTTTTTCTACTCACACACACACACAGAAATCACTAACATGGACAGCCACATCATTTAGCTTACGTTGATTGGACTAAATTGTTTATGGTATCTTTTAATTGTCACTATTAGACTAAGCATAGGTGATTTGATGATGTTGAAATGGTGCTGGAATAGTGGAGGCAGCTCCTGTTTTCTTTGCGACTTGTGGTAACTCTCCTGTGTTTAGAAGTCCGAAAATGTCGGAAACATTAACTTGATTGGCCATGCTGTAGGTCATGTAACTGTTTGTTACATGCAATATGCTTTGTGGACAGATGTTTTGTGATGAAACAAATGTGTGGTTGAATTTATTCTGCCGCTGTCTTCTTATTGTCTCGGCCTTAGGCCTATATATCATGGTGGTAAGGCATTTGAACTAACAGGTTATAGAGCAAACAACGCAATTATCACAATGCAGGTTGTAATATGGAAATTACTGTCTCTCTGTCCCCTTGATCTGTCAATCAGATATCCCTTTCATACTAAGAAGTTTTCCAGGCAAATTTACCATAGTGCCAACTTTTTTTCCGCCTTTTCTTTTATATCTGAAAGGTATTGCCGGTATCAAAGCAAAAACGTTTATTTCTGCCTAAGGACCTAGTAATCATTTCGGTAAAGTTCTGCCTAAGGCTTAGTATGAAACTTGGCGGTAATGCTGAGGCGGCCTTTGGCACGCACTACGCTCTTACGCCTCATGTCCACCAACTGCATCATACATTTTGCATTCCGGGGGAAGTCATTCACTGTCAATAGAGCAGTCCGCAACGCTACGTTGGGGATGCCGCACAAGGCTTCGGTGCGTTCTGTGTATCGCATGTTTTCAATATTTTCAACTCTTGCGTTGCTTTACTGTGCAAACGAAAGTACACCCACAGACTCCAACTGGCTAGCTATTAGCAAGTTGAAAAGCGAAGCACATGTGCGTCAAGTACGGAAAATGCGTGCTAGACATCTGGCAAAACAAAATGCATATGCATCTGGTGGACATCGGGCATTAAACCCTTGATGGTTGCTAAGCAGCGCCAGTTAACCATCCTCCTGCCAGTTCTAAACTTTGCGAAGCATGTCACTTCTCCCATCTCTTCGCATAGGCCACCACTAAGCATGTACTGTTTTTTTTAATCCACATCTGGCTGGATCCATAAATAATTGCTGTGGGAATAAATATCACTGAATTTGGAAAGTATTGGAATAATGTAGGTTAATGCAATTCCAACAAACTCGCAAATGCATCGAGTCATTGTAATACATTTGAAGCAATAGCCAACCCATGTGTCGTCAACTAGATGATAATTTCAGCACGGCTTTGATTGGGACAGCTCCATCACGCTACTTTGAGACAAGCGTTGGGACTCGTCTTGATAAATCAATTGATGTCAGATTTTTGTTTTCACTGCATCTCCGTTTGGGTGTTGGTTAGGCTACAATTTGGCTGGGAAAATGTTAGCTAAATTGAGGTGATTGCTGCGCATTATCATCTTGTCTAGTTGGCTCATTTATTAGAACATTTTCCATGTACCTAGGCTGACTTGTCTGATAATCAATCAATGTGATTTTGTTTCACTGAATCTCCATCTGTGTAGGCTATTTGGGTAATTGGTTTCTGGCTGGATAAATAAGTGGAGGTGGCATAGCTCATCTATTCGTTTGCCCATCTGTCACTGATCAGAAACATTAAGCATGCAATAATGTAGCCTAAATCAAGTGTAGGACTATTATGTTGCCCGATCGTGTAAAGGCAACTCCAAAAGCCCACGGAGGTTGTGAAATATGAACACCAGACTCGCATGCTTTTGGAAATAGGATCGGTATCATGATGAAGATGCACTCAATTTTAATGCCTGCTCCCCAACGAAGTGGAGAGAGTGTAGAAAAGAGTTGAAACGTGGATGGGCTCTGTTTCAAAATATCACTGTAATCGGGGTAGGTGTCTTGTCGGTTTTAATGAACAAAATAATGAACTATTATTTTCATTAATTTGGATGTAATATACTTAAACTCAAAATATGCCATTCAATTTTTTTGAAGATACATTTTATTAGTCTTATAATATTTATTAGGACCTGCCTAAACAAATTAATAATGGATTTCTTTTTGATGGTGTATATTCAATGGATTTATTAAAATAGATGCCCAACCACATCTGCACACCACTACTACCACTCTTCCCCGGCATGCCCACGGAAGGTATAAAAGGCATATACAGGCAAAAATGTGGTAAAAATGGGTCTGTTTGTAAGGGGGTCATATAAACATTGCCCAATTATTTTTTTACTGGCAAAATACCGTAAATCCAATGTGGAAGCAGTAAGAGTATAGAGGTTCCATGGACTCTGGGCTTGTCAGTGTAAATATCAGAGGCTTTATTTGCTCTGTTTATTTGCCATGAGGGTGCAGCCTAGCCTGGCAACTGGCTGTGTCTCTTGTCAGGAGACCTGCCTTCCTACTCTCTCGCCCAGCGACGCACCAGAAGGGTTACAAGAACCCCCTCAGCAACTGCACAGCACAGCACAATGAGCACATAGTTAACTAGTTGGGCAAGATGAGCACAGATGAGGTGCTCTAGTCCTTGTTGTAGCTATTAGGTTATGCACTCCGTTGCTGTTGTAATAATTCCCATCTGTACTATGGCTCATCTGGTTTGTTTTGTGCGGTTTATCTCTCAGCTCGAGATGCAGATGAACGGGAGAAGTGGATCCATGCCTTAGAGGGGACTATTCTCCGTCACACCCTCCAACTGCGGGTAAGTCACTCACTCACTGATATGTTCAGACTAGCTTCACACTAGTGATGCTGGCTGTGCTAGTGCCATGCCCCTGAGTTCAGCTAGAGAGGAGAGAGATATTGATCAACATATTTACATGGGAGTAACTTTGGCTGTTGTGCATCGTTTTTATTTTTATTCAAGGTGTATGTGAGTATGTGTTTTAACCTTAAAAGAAAGACCATAATGTAGTATTTCTTAAATTTACTGTTTTGATTACTTAAGACCACAGGAAATGATAGAGGAACTGTTGAGAACATTGAGCAATAGCAGTTCATGTTTAACCTTTTGGAGCGTATTTGTGGAGGTCTTTTGGATGCCGGAAATTGGGATACAGAATGAATATCATGCCTCTGTCAGCCTCATCCAAACTAGTAGCACTGGTCCTCATCAGAGAGCGGGTTAAGGAGTCATCTGAGAATAGATGGAAATTAGTTCTCGTCTCCTTCGCTCCTTCTGTGCGGTGTGCACTGCCACTGTGCACCTTTCCATTTACACACACACACACACACCAAGCCACTCCCCCTGCCACTCACAACAACAAAGATGAGAGATCACTTCTTCCTCTCTGACAAGCAGTTTTAACTCTCTATTTGCATTTGAGGTTTGGTCCAACAGAATCAGTAATATGGACACCGAAACACATTGAGACATTATTTTACTGTAATAGAAGAGAAGTTAAACTTTTCTCCACTCCTCAAATTGCGCCCAGAGCAGACTACTAAAACGGGGGTATCAAGGAACATTGAGTACATTTTACATGTACACTAATAATTTGATATTAAATTGATTATGGCAGTAGACCGATTATGGAAATAGTAATGTTAACCCCTTACTCTGTTTATCTTAATCAGCACAAGGTCATAATCAAAGTAAGCATATGCCAATTAAAACACCTGGTTTTCTGCGCAATCTTTAGAGTTACAGTGCATTCGGAAAGTATTCAGACCCCTTGACTTTTTCCACATTGTGTTACGTTACGGCCTTATTTTTATTTTTTTTATTGTTCTCTCATCAATCTACACACAATACCCCATAATGACAAAGCAAAAACAGGTTTTTAGAATTTTGGGCAAATTAATAATAAAATAAAAACGGAAATAAGACATTTACATAAGTATTCAGACCCTTTAGTACTTTGTTGAAGCACCTCTGGCAGGGATTACAGCCTCAAGTCTTCTTGGGTATGAGTCTACAAGCTTGGCACACCTGTATTTGGGGAGTTTCTCCCATTCTTCTCTGCACATCCTCTCAAGCTCTGTCAGGTTGGATGGAGAGCGTTGCTGCACAGCTATTTTCAGGTCTTTCCAGAGATGTTCGATAGGATTCAAGTCCGATCTCTGGCTGGGCCACTCAAGGACATTCAGAGACTTGTCCGAAAGCCACTCCTACGTTGTCTTGGCTGTGTGCTTAGGGTCGTTGTCCTGTTGGAAGGTGAACCTTCGCCCCCAGTCTGAGGTCCTGAGTGCTCTGGAGCAGGTTTTCATCAAGGATCTCTCTGTACTTTGCTACATTCATCTTTCCCTCGATCCTGACTAGTCTCCCAGTCCCTGCCTCTGAAAAACATCCCCACAGCATGATGCTGCCACCACCATGCTTCACCGTAGGGATGGTGCCAGGTTTCCTCCAGACGTCACGCTTGGCATTCAGGCCAATGAGTTCAATCTTGGTTTCATCAGACCAGAGAATCTTGTTTCTCATGGTCTGAGAGTCTTTAGGTGCTTTTTGGCAAACTCCAAGCGGGCTGTTATGTGCCTTTTACTGAGGAGTGGCTCCCGTTTGGCCACTCTACCATAAAGCCCTGATTGGTGGAGTGCTGTAGAGATGGTTGTCCTTCTGGAAGGTTATCACATCTCCACAGAGGAACTTTGGAGCTCTGTCAGAGTGACCATCGGGTTCTTGGTCACCTCCCTGACCAAGGCCCTTCTCCCCTGATTGCTCAGTTTGGCTGGGCGGCCAGCTCTAGGAAGAGTCTTGGTGGTTCCAAACTTCTTCCATTTAAGAATGATGGAGGCCACTGTGTTCTTGGGGACCTTCAATGCTGCATACATTTTTTGGTACCCTTCCCCAGATCTGTGCCTCAACACAATCCTGTTTCGGAGTTCAACGCACAATTCCTTCGACCTCATGGCTTTGTTTTGGCTTTGACATGCACTGTCAAATGTGGGACCTTATCTAGACAGGTGTGTGCATTTTACAAATCATGTCCAATAAATTGAATTTACCACAGGTGGACTCCAATCAAGTTGTAGAAACATCTCAAGGATGTTCAATGGAAACAGGATGCTCCGGAGCTCAATTTCGAGTCTCATAGCAAAGTGTCTGAATACTTATGTAAATAAAACATTCTGTTTGTTTTTTTATACATTTGCAAACATTTCTAAAAACCTGTTCTCACTTTGTCATTATGGTGTATTGTGTGTAGATTGTATTGTATAAAAATGTATTTAATACATTTTCAAATAAGGCTAACGTAACAAAATGTGGAGAAAGTAAAGGGGTCTGAATACTTTCTGAATGCTCTGTGTTAGGACATGTAAACATTTGCTAGCACGAGCAGCGTGAGCTTCCTTCTTTTGCGCAAGTGAAGTGAGTTCGGGAAAAACGTAACCATTTCTAATATTTATACTTTTTCACATACACAGTTTGTATGTCCGAACTCCGAATCAAATAGGTTTCACAAAAATAACATGGGCACTGTGGTATAACGTTTATTTTGATTGCTGATTTTTCTGCATTTGTCAGTTCCATCAGGTAGCCAGATTTCAGATGTGTCCATGTAAACAGGATTATTAGGGAAATCTGTCTTCTTGTAAAGCATGTAAACATTTAAATCAAACTATTATGTTAATCTGACTATTCACAAGAATCATATTATTGTGTGCATGTAACCGTACTCATTGATTCTGGAAAATGTATGCTCAGTTTGTCGCACGCAGCATTGCGTTACCATGTACCGCTAGCAGCATTTTAGCCAAAGACTGTTATACTAGCTGTCTAGTCATTTATTAATGTGCAATAAGCATAAAACACAATTATGTAAGGAATAGGCAACTCTTTCTCATTCTGAGAAATATGGTAGGCCACTTGATTTCATCATCTGAACAAAGTGAACAGGCTAGCATGCTGTTCAAACAGTTGGAGACAGACATTCAACTGTTCTACCTTGTTAGCTAGCAAATATATCCAAGTTCGGGTAAACTTGAAATATAAAGATTAGCTGGCTACTCACTAGCACTTGGGCTTGTGCTTGAGAAATTGTTTGACCTGTGTTAATTTTCTATAATGCCTACTGCAAGAAGTTAGTCATTATTAGTGAATGTGCATTATGCATGGTTCTGGTTAAATCTGTAACAAAAAGGGCTTTTTCATAGACAGACTTGAAAGCCAGATCAGTGATTATTGCAAAAAAAAACATATAATTTCACAAGCCCTGAATTCATTAGATTATTGCTGACTGTTTTAAATGCTGTGTATTTGACCTTTTAATTGTACAACAAAGCTTATTTGGAGAAAACATTATAAAAGCTTTTTGGGGTTACTACATGATTCCATATGTGTTATTTCATAGTTTTGATGTCTTCTCTATTATTCTATAATGTAGAAAATAGTAAAAATAAAGAAAAACCTTTTGAATGAGCAGGTGTTCTAAAACTTTTGACCGGTAGTGTATATCATTAATTTACGATAAATTTGAAAAAAATGTAGATATAATTTTTCTGCCATATTGCCCAGCCCTAAAGAGTTTCCCTGTGTGGTTAGGTGCACAGGGAGCTTAGTTGGGCTGTTGGCTGGTAATGGACAACATGTTTATCTGTGAAAGCCATATATAGAGTGCTGTCTATTAGTCGCTCTATGAACTGCCAATTTCCAACTCTTAATTTAATCTGTGCCCTTCGATTGGCTCATAAATATATTTTCTCTCACCTCCCTTCATTCTACCCTCCAGTTGTTTATTTACGTTCTGTTCCGCTTTCCTTCTCTAACCCACTCCTCCCCTCTGCCACCCCTCCTTCTGCCTCACTCTCTCCCCTCCCCGCCCTCTGTGGAAAGAAAAAGAACACTGCTTACTGACTGCGTGTATCTGCCTGCTTGCAAACACTATGTCAGCATGCAGTCATAGTGACATCATGTGACCTGGAACAAATCAGAGCCCTGCTTACTCTGTCAGACATGCATCTGCCCGCAGCTTTATCCAATCAGGGCAGCTGTTGTTGCTTGTCACATAGGCTTGTGCTGCCTTTTTTTTTTGTTTGTAAGAAAGTCTGTACTTCCTGTAAGAGAGAGAAGGATCCTGGATTAACTTTGCCTGTGTATGCTGCTGCTCAGCTGATGTAGAACATACATGTACCAGACAAGTTTGGTGTGGTTTCTGCTGGCAGTCTGGAAGAGTGGAGAGCACAAGAACAGCCGTGTGTTTGAGTAGCGGAGGAGAGAGGAGCTTTAGGGTCAGCTTTGGCCTGTGCAGTCTGACGAGGCATGTCCCTCAGAGCTCGGCATCCTGTGAGTACCACACTGGAGGGAAACGGTCGGTTGAAGTGCGATGATGCAGTCCCTAACTGGGTCATGCTGTGTGGAAAGCCAAATGGGAGGGTTTCCAGTGTCTGGTGGGTGTGGGCAGTGGTAGACTAGAATAGGGAGGTATTGTCTGGTTAGAGGAAGCTCTTTTAGCCACAGATTTAGTGAACATGCCGAAGCTGCAGTCTCTAGCCTACATGACCGTCCTCTGGGTTTACAAGCTGCTCTAGTCAAGCAGAAAGATCCCCCCCATCATGGTAATATGAACTTGTGTAGACATAACAGAAATAAAGAGCAAGAGGGACTCTCTTTTTCCGTGGTTTGTTTGTAATGCAAAGGCTTTGTCCCTCTGCGATTATGAGGTCAGTGTCATTGATAGTATTTTATTGAACCTCAAATACATTTTTACATTTTAGTCATTTAGCCGACGCTCTTATCCAGAGCGACTTAGTTAGTGAGTGCATACATTTTCCATACTGGCCCCTGTGGGAATCGAACCCACAACCCTGGCGTTGCAAGGGCCATGCTCTACCAACTGAGCTACAGGGGGCCTACATCAGGGGCCCACTCAACAGTGATTGATATATAAATAGTGTATGGTACAACTTCTCTGTGAAAATTGGGATGGAATGATTTTGATCACTGGGGTGGGGGGGTGTTACTCTATTACTCTATTTTATGTGTCTTTTGGAATCAGGTGTTAAAACAATACAGGTGTGAAAATCAATCCATGATGCCAGCACTATGACTGTAGTCAACATAACCATGAGGATGCATTTCCCCAAAGTCGGTTGATGTCGATTTCAGATTCAGAACGAACATTTTTATTTAAAAAATTTTTACAGTGGATTTGATATCTGTCATTCTCTTTTCTGCCTCTTCAGATTTCGTTGATGGAGGAAGAATAAGAGCGAGACCCCAGAGCTAACTGTTTCTTAGAAACAGACATGAAGCTGTGTGGATGTCTGCTTGAACACACACATATAAAAGAAAAACTCCCAGGAGAATCCAAATGCCCTTACTGCTGGGACTTTCCCCACTTTAGGTTTTTAGAGAGGAGAAGTACTATTTTTCTGTTTGCCCCCAAGCTCTAAAGAGCACTAATGCCAGCCTCCTCTATCCCACAAATTTAAAGAGGGCTATTCTTTAGTGTTGCAAAGTGCCTGTTTTTATTTATTTTTGCTCAGGCACCTCTTTGGCCAGCAACAGTAAGCAACTTACTTCTATTGATAGCAAACCACCTTTTATCCTAAAGGAAGTTAAGAAAAAAAGGCCTAGATAAATCAAATCAAATCAAATTTTATTGGCCACATGCGCCGAATACAACAGGTGTAGACATTACAGTGAAATGCTTACTTACAGCCCTTAACCAACAGTGCATTTATTTTTAATAAAAAAGTAAAATAAAACAACAACAAAAAAGTGTTGAGAAAAAAAGAGCAGAAGTAAAATAAAATAACAGTAGGGAGGCTATATATACAGGGGGGTACCCTGTTTCTCAACACTTCAGTTGAGAAACAGGCATAGTCCAAAGGCCGCTCTAGAACCAGAGTAGCACTGAGCAAGTGGTTATGGATATGTTTTAAGAGTTGTAATATTGTAAGGTCAGAATGCTTTGCTTTGGTTAAGAATGAGTTTCGAGGTGTTTCTGAGGAAGTTGCGGCGTATTTCATTTCTGTATTTTAGCCTCGTTGTGTTCCAGGTATAGAAGGGGCTATTGTTGATTTAGGCCTAATGTCATCAGTCAGGCGTCTGGTCACATCTGTTCAGCAAATACATACTACCACCTAATGGATGTTATGCAATGAAATGATCTGTAAGTCTGTGGATAATGATGGTAGCCTAAGGGCTTGGAAGGGGATTGACCATAGGTCAGACTCGGGATGGGACAAGTCTCCCCAACCTCCTCCTGCACACACACAAACACATATTCCGAGTCATGAAGATAAAGTCTAGTGTTCTCTCTAAAACGTTTACAACTTAATTCCCTTTGCCATGGGTTTCTTGATTCAATTTTGCTGATGCCATAAAATGTGTTCAATTAAGTAGGCAGGCAGGCTGCCAGGCAAAGCTTTTATGTAGCCTTTAAACAATGCTAGTTGAACTATTCATATCACTCCACTTACAGTACAATGCTGGAAGCTTCTCCCAAACTGTTGCTGTTTTTGTGCTGCTACAACCTGCCTTTTCAAAGCCCCACCAGGGAATTTAAACACTTTTTTTTTATCTGCCTACAAACTTTCAGAGTAGAGGCAATGACAGAGTAAAATTCTTAGTCTAAAATAGGTTACCAGATGGTAGCAGAAAACTGTCATACCGTGCTGTAAAGTTAGACTAAGAATGTTCTGCTGTTTTTTCCCCCTTCTATTTTAGGAGGCAGAGACAGGATTTGTTCCAAGTGTCCAAGACTTTGATAAGAAACTTGCAGAGGCTGACGCATACCTACAAATTCTAATTAATCAGTTAAAGGTGAGGTTTCTCCATATTTGGGTGACTAAGTATGACAGTGACTTTAATAAAACTGGTGAGTGACTTGTCAATGCATCATCGATTAATGTTTTTTAATTTGGCTCTTGATTTGCATGTATCCTCTTCAGCTCAGATTTAGATTGCATCCCCTCTCTCTTCCAGCTCTTCGACGAGAAAATCAAAGATTGCAAAGAAGAGTCATGTAGAGTGAGTGACATCTGTTTCATCTCTTGTCACCAGAACGATGCCTGATAATGAATGAATCTCAAAGATAATATTTTATAACACTTTATTTTAAGGGTCAGTAATAAACCATTTATAAGGCATTTATAAATTGTGTTCACCATTTATTAATCATTACTCCCACATGAATCAACCATTTACTAATCATTAGTACAATATGTTTTCAGTCCCTAATCTAAAATTAGTGCTATTTATACTTCAAAAATACTTTATAAATGTTTTGAGTGACCAGTGTAATTTCTCACAAAAAGATGGGCATACCATTCATGCAATACCTGGTAAAAGAATATGTATATAAAGTACATGTGTGAATAACTAGCTTACTAAGATTTACAAATGTGGGAGTAATGAGTTAATAAATGGTGAGCAAACAGGTTGTAAATGCCTTAGCTGTGATTCACTTCCTTATTGAGATCATGAGTTTGTTTTTGGTCAGTTTGGAACATTTCAACTCTGTAGCTTATTTAATATGGTGAGGACAATGACCTACTATGTAGTGGTGAACATAGAACACAACTATAGTTGGAATGGCATCATTGCTCGTCCAGTCTAATGCCATGGCTGTGAAAGAGTTTGAACAAAGCAGGTTTCCGCTTTGGTTTCATTGTGCTAATCTTTCTAAATTTACCTAACTTTCAGTCATGATTTCCAAGTCTAGTCAGGTGTTGAAACAATGTTGGAAGTGAAACAGCCATTTGTAATTATGTTTCTCTCCTTTTTTAGAAAATTGAAAATTTGAAGGAAACCACATGTGTAAGTAAAACCCCATTTTAAATGTCCTTATTTTCAGAACCACCTCTTGTCTGAGGTTGAGTGCAGTGTTTTATTGTCTGTGCTGTTTCTCTTTTCAGAGTATGGTAGAGTCCATCAAGCACTGTATTGTATTGCTGCAGATTGCCAAGGTAAAAAGGGTTAATTCATTTGACTGTGTTGGTCAGGGGTTGGCAATATTTTTGGCTCGAGGGCCACATCGGGATTTCACATTTTTTTCCTAACTGATTTGTTTGTCAAAAGCGAGCCAAAAAAAGGGCAGTTATTTGAAAACGTATAGGTCCTTTATAATTTCAACATACTTTCTATCTAGTTTTAGACATTCAAGAGTGGCCTGGAGTGTTTTCTTTTAACCCAAAATAAAAAATACAAAAACCCGCGGGCCAGATCGAATGGGCTCGCGGGACAGATCTAACCTGTTGCCCACCCCTGGTGTTGGGGCTCTCATTGGATTACTGTCATGTCATTGTTGTGAGAACATCACGGTGCACTGCTTGTTTTAGCCATGCCAGTAGTTTTCCACTTGACTACAGCCTGGGTTGTTGTTTATTGTGGGCAGTTTGCTACATTCCATTAGGTTCCATTTTGAGATTTTGGAGAGGTGATTCTCACACACTCGATAATCCTTGAGCTCATAATGCTTTTCTTGTGTTATGTTAGCATAACAAATGCTCTGACTTTCTAAATGACGTGTTTGGTTTCTTGAAAGATAAGCTCTTAACAAGCTCATATCATCATTACATACAAACAGTTTAACCTTCCTCAAGTAACATTTTATTTTCAAAATTTTAAGGATCAAAGTAACGAACAGCAACACGCAAACGGACTGATAGTAAGTTTTGACGTTCTCTGTCCATAAGAAAAATCTAGATCAACCAAACCTCTCTTCTTCTTTTCTGCTTAATTCACTCTCAACTATAGAAAAGAAGACAAATCAAATCCGTAACAATGCAAGCCATTTGATTTGATTAATGGCTTTATTTGGTATATTGCTCTTTCCTTTGTCACGCCACTATCCCCTTTTCCAGCTGAATATCCTTTGCTTTTCTGTTGCTGATAATAGTTGGGAACTTTTGTCTTTACCCCTCATTTTAGACACAGAACATCATTCTGATTCTTTTATGACGCACGTGTGTGTGAGTGCGCTTATACCCTCCCCCCAACTTGCTATCGATTTTTCCTAACTGTGCATGCCTATTGAACCATCAAGGACTAATAGATGTCAACCCATCAAGGGCTGTTTACTGGCTTTACTCTCTTCCCGTAGATGTTTATAAGTTGGAATCCCGTAGGATCAGCCCACCAGGCCGGCCTTGTGAGAGTAATCTCTCTGGCCATTAGCATTACATGTATAGACCCTCTTCCAACCATGGCTTAAGCACTCTCTAGCTCTAACCTCTCTAGAGGCCTCTCCTCTAGTGTTGCTGTTGACAGAGTTAGACACGGTCAAATGTATCACTGATCCAGAAAGCTATGGCAGCAGTGCACTTTGTATAATGTGTGTCCGTACATTACAGAGATATCGGCCATAGAGAAATATAGCTTGACCCTGTGTTTTTCACATCACAGGATAAGTTCAATAGGAGACGTTATGCCATTACATTCTGTAGTTGACTGGAATGTGTTTTGTCAGATTTTGCTGCAAATATGCTGGATAGTATTAGGTTACAGTAAATGTTGTGATATAAGTAGGTACATATTGATTAGGTAGAAGTTAATTAACCAATATTTCCCGGAAGCAGAGTGAAAGGTAATTGATCTTTCCAGTCATTAGCAGTGTGTATTTTATTTTGTCATGGTAGTCTCCACCGTGTTGGTGCATTAAGTGTTACTACAGACTGCATTCTAGAGCAATGCAAGTTGCAAATGTATCTTTTATGTTTTAAGACTGGCACCGTTTTGTCTCGCCCTGTACAGAGCACCATCAACCCAGTGGATGGGATATTTCACCCTCTGGACGCTTCTTTAGTCAACTTAGCCATGCCAACACAGACCACACTCCCCACAGGTACAGTATACAGAGAACCAAAAACACAATCTCATCTACAGTCCTATCAGGAAGATATTTTTTAAAACAATTTTTTTAGGGGGTAGATCAGCTTTAATATTGCAGATAGATTGTAGCTTCCATCAATGTAATTGTCTGCATCATTTCCAATAACCCTTATATATATTTATTATTTTATTTTTTAAAATACATTTTCCTTTATTATTTTCCCTTAACCCTACCACCCCTCCCCTAATTGTAGTAAACTAATGGACAACAACACTTAGGCTTCTACTTCCAGTTTATACATACTATATACATTTTACGGACACAATGTATTTTACTATAGTTATCTTAATTTGTTTTTAATCCAATCCTCCCATCTATCTCTGAAAACCATTCCGTTTTGATTTCTATTTGCCATATATTTTTAACTATGCTGTTTCACAAAAGTTCTGAACCTATATACATTTTACGGACACAGTATATTTTACATTAGTTATCTTGTTGTTTTTAGTCCCACTGTTAAGCTCCACTCAATCCCTCCCATCTAAATATGTTTTTATTTTATATACACTACCGTTCAAAAGTTTGGGGTCACTTAGAAATGTCCTTGTTTCCGAAAGAAAAGCAATTTTTTTGTCCATTAAAATAACATCAAATTGATCAGAAATACAGTGTACACATTGTTAATGTTGTAAATGGCTATTGTAGCTGGAAACGGCTGATTTTTAATGGAATATCTACATAGGCGTACAGAGGCCCATTATCAGCAACCATCAGTCCTGTGTTCCAATGGCACGTTGTGTTTGCTAAACCAAGTTTATCATTTTAAAAGGCTAATTGATCATTAGAAAACCCTTTTGCAATTATGTTAGCACAGCTGAAAACTGTTGTGCTGATTAAAGAAGCAATAAAACTGGCCTTCTTGAGACTAGTTGAGTATCTGGAGCATCAGCAATTGTGGGTTCGATTACAGGCTCAAAATAGCCAGAAACAAATAACTTTCTTCTGAAACTCGGTCTATTCTTGTTCTGAGAAATGAAGGCTATTCCATGCGAGAAATTGCCAAGAAACTGAAGATCTCGTACAACGCTGTGTACTACTCCCTTTACAGAACAGCGCAAACTGGCTCTAACCAGAATAGAAAGAGGAGTGGGAGGCCTCGGTGCACAACTGAGCAAGAGGACAAATACATTAGTGTCTAGTTTGAGAAACAGACACCTCACAGGTCCTCAACTGGCAGCTTCATTAAATAGTACCCACAAAACACCAGTCTCAACGTCAACAGTGAAGAGGCGACTCCGGGATGCTGACCGAGGCAGAGTTGCAAAGTCCAGTGTCTGTGTTCTTTTGCCCATCTTAATCTTTTATTTTTATTGGTCAGTCTGAGATATGGCTTTTTCTTGGCAACTCTGCCTAGAAGAATAATTGCAAAAGAGTTTTCTAATGATCAATTAGCCTTTTTTAAATGATAAACTTGGATTAGCAAACACAACATGCCATTGGAACACAGGACTGATGGTTGCTGATAATGGACCTCTGTACGCCTATGTAGATATTCCATAAAAAATCAGCCATTTCCAGCTACAATAGCCATTTCCAACATTAACAATGTCTACACTGTATTTTTGATCAATTTGATGTTATTTTAATGGACAAAAAAATTGCTTTTCTTTCGAAAACAAGGACATTTCTAAGTGACCCCAAACTTTTGAACGGTAGTGTGTGTATATATATATATATATATTGTTTTTGTTGTAATTCTTCTATTCTTATACACTGCTCAAAAAAATAAAGGGAACACTAAAATAACACATCCTAGATCTGAATGAAAGAAATAATCTTATTAAATACTTTTTTCTTTACATAGTTGAATGTGCTGACAACAAAATCACACAAAAATTATCAATGGAAATCAAATTTATCAACCCATGGAGGTCTGGATTTGGAGTCACCCTCAAAATTAAAGTGGAAAACCACACTACAGGCTGATCCAACTTTTATGTAATGTCCTTAAAACGAGTCAAAATGAGGCTCAGTAGTGTGTGTGGCCTCCACGTGCCTGTATGACCTCCCTACAACGCCTGGGCATGCTCCTGATGAGGTGGCGGATGGTCTCCTGAGGGATCTCCTCCCAGACCTGGACTAAAGCATCCGCCAACTCCTGGACAGTTTATGGTGCAACGTGGCGTTGGTGGATGGAGCGAGACATGATGTGCTCAATTGGATTCAGGTCTGGGGAACGGGCGGGCCAGTCCATAGCATCAATGCCTTCCTCTTGCAGGAACTGCTGACACACTCCAGCCACATGAGGTCTAGCATTGTCTTGCATTAGGAGGAACCCAGGGCCAACCGCACCAGCATATGGTCTCACAAGGGGTCTGAGGATCTCATCTCGGTACCTAATGGCAGTCAGGCTACCTCTGGCGAGCACATGGAGGGCTGTGCGGCCCCCCAAAGAAATGCCACCCCACACCATGACTGACCCACCGACAAACCGGTCATGCTGGAGGATGTTGCAGGCAGCAGAACGTTCTCCACGGCGTTTTCAGACTCTGTCACGTCTGTCACATGTGCTCAGTGTGATCCTGTTTTCATCTGTGAAGAGCACAGGGCGCCAGTGGCGAATTTGCCAATCTTGGTGTTCTCTGGCAAATGCCAAACGTCCTGCACGGTGTTGGGCTGTAAGCACAACCCCCACCTGTGGATGTAGGGCCCTCATACCACACTCATGGAGTCTGTTTCTGACCATTTGAGCAGACACATGCACATTTGTGGCCTGCTGGAGGTCATTTTGCAGGGCTCTGGCAGTGCTCCGCCTGCTCCTCCTTGCACAAAGGCAGAGGTAGCAGTCCTGCTGCTGGGTTGTTGCCCTCCTACGGCCTCCTCCATGTCTCCTGATGTACTGGCCTGTCTCCTGGTAGCGCCTCCATGCTCTGGACACTATGCTGACAAACACAGCAAACCTTCTTGCCACAGCTCGCATTAATGTACCATCCTGGATGAGCTGCACTACCTGAGCCACTTGTGTGGGTTGTAGACTCCGTCTCATGCTACCACTAGAGTGAAAGCACCGCCAGCATTCAAAAGTGACCAAAACATCAGCCAGGAAGCATAGGAACTGAGAAGTGGTCTGTGGTCACCACCTGCAAAACCAGTCCTTTATTGGGGGTGTCTTGCTAATTGCCTATAATTTCCACCTGTTGTCTATTCCATTTGCACAACAGCATGTGAAATGTATTGTCAATCAGTGTTGCTTCCTAAGTCGACAGTTTGATTTCACAGAAGTGTGATTGACTTGGAGTTACATTGTGTTGTTTAAGTGTTCCCTTTATTTTTTTGAGCAGTGTGTATATATATATATATAATTTTTTTTTAAAGGGGTAGATCAGCTTTAATATTGCAGTTTCTACAGATTGTAAATTAATGACAAACATTTTTGCTAAAAGTATTATTATATTATTGATCGATTTTGTCTATGACTTTAAAAATCACCCAGCAGTGCTATTTGCAGAGTTAGCTCCAGCTAAAATTGCAATTCTTCAGCCATTCCTGAACCTGCGACCAAAAACAAGCTACATATGAACAGTACCAAAACAAATGATCTAATGATATTCTGTCTCTTCGCAGCCAAATCTGCAGAGCTGGGATGGTTTTATCCCCCATATATATAACATTCTATTGGTTGCAAGAATCAGGAAGATTTGTTCATCAGAATAAAAATAGCCCTTTTGAGTTCACATACTGATATTGCATACACAAGCTGACATGGGGCGTATTTTTATTCAAAAAATCAAGGACATAGATTAGCCTTGGATTTAATACTTTCAGATATTTGTCCCTGATAAATGTTTATTTCCTGAAACACACATCCACAGTGCCACCTGGTGTGCTTGAATCTCTATTTCTCAGCATGTCTACTTGGCAATGACCTTTCCCAATGTAGAGCAATCTAAATTCAGCTTTCAATGAAATTTGACACAAAAATCCAATCCCAAGGTCTAGACCCCATGTTAGCACAGTTTGGTGACATTAACATTCTCACAGTCACAGGTTTATATTAGACTGACTGCTTTGCAGTTTTTGTGTGTTTGAAAAGCTTGCTCCCACACAGGTCTGTAATGACTTTGATCTGTTGCATCATAAAGCAGTGTTGTTCTAAGTCCAGAGCTTTCTTATTTTTCTCTTGTCTCCTTTCTTTCTGTAGATGGCTCTCAGATGTGTAAAGGAGAACAGCGGCCCTCCACTCTACCGGTGGGGGCTGTTGTCACGGTGATGGGCAGTCTGCAGACTCCGACTCCCAACAGCACAGGTCAGAGGTCACCTCACTCTAGTGGTCAGGTCATCAACACTTTGCTAGCAGCCAGATAAACATTCCGTTATGTTACCGAACACTTGCATTTAGGGACTTGAGTATCATGTCACAATCACTGGTGTAGTGGAGGGTAAACGCAGCTTACCCAGCTTTTTTCCCTCAACAGTTTACCCACCTTTTGCGGAAAAATGCATCGAAAGAATAAGAAACTTTACTTTTTTCACCGCAACCGGCGATCAGAGTTAACCCATCTGTTTGTTTAACACTTTAATCACTGGTCACGATCACCACACAAATATAACTGTCACGGTACATTTGTGGATGTGGTGGTGAAGTCAGGCGCAGGACACAGCGGATAAGTCAAAACGACTTTACTGAGACTCAAAGACAATCCAAAATAAATGGCCTCGAACACACAGGAGGCAAAGAATACGCGCAACGCGTAAACTACACTAAGCACAACATATACCGAAAAAAGACAAACCACAATGTGGACAATAACACACAACTCCAAAACATAACACAGGGAAACTTATAGGTGACATAATCAGGACAGAATACGAAACAGGTGCACTAAACTAGACATGACCAAACAAACATCGAAACATCAAACGGTGGCAGCTAGTACTCCGGGGACGACGAACGCCGAAGCCTGCCCGAACAAGGAGGAGGAGCAGCCTCTGCAGTATTCGTGACGATAACAGTATTGATTTTGTGTACATTTGTGAAACTCATCAGAGTACAGATACAGGTTAGTCCCCTGTAGCTCAGTTGGTAGAGCATGGCGCTTGCAACGCCAGGGTTGTGGGTTCATTTCCCACGGGGGGCCAGTATGAAAAATGTATGCACTCACTAACTGTAAGTCGCTCTGGATAAGAGCGTCTGCTAAATGACTAAAATGTAATTGTAATTATGACATTTTCAGTGACATTTTTTCATTTACTCATTCTATTTTCTAAAATGGGTTATGTTGGAGGGTCTTGCCTGTTTCCAATTCTGCTGATGCTGCAAAATAAATCCTGTGCAGTGCACTAAGGAAGAAGCCTGGGAGCACACATTGCACTGCAGGGGAGATTATGCAAAGAATAAACTCCTCATGGTTCCCTAACAATGTGGGAACAATATGAACAGACAAATGGTGCCCATATGATCACTGACAAGAAAGACCCTGCATTGAGCCTCTGTGTATTGTTTAGTTCAAAGCAGTTATAATAGTTTATTTACAAGAGTAAACAGTTAGCCATCGCTATACATGGTGTAAGCCCGTTTGTGGTCTCAGCTGTGACCCCCTGCTCACCCCCACCTCTCTCTCTGTCTATCTGTGTGTTTCAGGGAGTGGCCCCTCGGTCCCCAGCAGCAGCGGTGCCTCCCCCAGTCACATGACGATCCCCTCCAACTCGGTCCCTGACTTCTCCTACTCCAGCAGCGAAGATGAATTCTACGACGCTGACGAGTTCTACCAGAACAGCACGTCTCCCAAGCACCTTCTAGAGTGAGTGTATATACTGTCTTTATCATAATCCATCCATACCGCAGTTCACTGGCGTACTGGGGTTTACAGGGACCAAGGACGGGAGGGAGATGATCCACTTCACCACATCCTCTCACTAGCTCTTTATTTCATGATTTTATAGATTATTTAATTATCATATAAGCTGATTGTGTTTTGCTAGAGGTGTGTTTATAACCTGTGCCTTTATATATTTCCTGTCAGGTAATCAGTTCTATCTTTCTCTGCATCCCTCCATCTCTCCATCCTCCTCTCTGTCAGTTCCTCTAGGCCTCCTGCTGCCTTGCCTCACAGCGATGACGGAACAGTGCTGAAACGTCCAGACACTAACGAGTCCCTCAACTCCTCCATGTCTAACGGCACCACTGATGCAGGTGATGCACATATTCACACATGAACGCACACACACAAACACACACACGCACATTGCCCTACTTATCCACGCACCTGTATACCCCCAACAATAACCTATTTTTATGGAACAACAACATCACACATTCTGTTCCTGTTCTGTTTTGGCAGATGTTTTATTTAGTAACAGAAAAGAGGATGTCAGGATGTCCTTTATCAGTGGTGGCTGGCCTACTGTAGGTGTTTTTAACTGCCTGCTGTCTGCTCTGGTCAGATCAATTTGACAGCCATGATGACGAGGCGGAGGATCAGGGGGAGTCTGTGGAGGAGCACAAGAGTGTCATCATGCACCTGCTGTCCCAGGTGCGACTGGGCATGGACCTCACCAAGGTAAGAGCTCTGTCTGTCCGTCCGTCCGTCCGTCTCTCTTTATCTCTCTCTTGCTAACTGTTTCTTTCTTTTTTTTCTCTTTCCCCAGGTGGTCCTGCCCACATTTATCTTGGAGAGGAGGTCTTTGCTGGAGATGTATGCTGACTTTTTTGCACATCCGGATTTGTTTGTCAGGTACACCACTTCAAACAGTCATACAAAATAAGAAAAACATTGCTTTTCAGAATCTCTCCCATAATTTCCATTGAGGGCATTCTGCACAGATGGTGTCACAACATTCGATCCAGTGGTGTGACGGCTGATGTTTTTATCCCCAGTATCGCAGATCAGCTGGAGCCCAAGGAGCGGATGGTACAGGTGGTGAAGTGGTACATGTCAGCCTTCCATGCAGGGAGGAAAAGCTCAGTGGCCAAGAAGCCGTACAACCCCATCCTGGGAGAGGTCTTCTTCTGCCACTGGGACCTGCCTTCAGAGAGTGAGGAGCCCAGTGCAATGGTGAGCATTGTACCACAGTAAAGACTGACAACTTATATTCATATGATTTAATGTATATGCTGGTTTTTAGTAATACTATAATTAAGCAATAAGGCACGAGGGGGTTGTTCATCTCCAGAGCCCTGATGGCTAAGAGCTGTTCTTGCACTCGACGCAACACAGAGTGCCTGGATACAGCCCTTAGCCTTGGTATTTTGGCCATATACCACAACCCCCCGAGGTGCCTTATTGCTATTATAAACTGGTTACCAACGTAATTTGAGCAGTAAACATAAATGTTTTGTCATACTCGTGATATACGGTCTGAAATACCACGGTTGTCAGCCAATCAGCATTCAGGGCTCGAACAACCCAGTTTATAATCAATTTTAAGTTTTGTGATACTGAGGCAAGTGTTTTTAATTGTTTCATCAAGCCTTTACTAATAAATTCATGTTTACCCCCGACCCCTCCTCCCACCCCACAGGAGCCATCGTCAGAGGGTCCAGTGCCATGGTCTTCAGCCAACAGTGTGTCTTTTGTAGCAGAGCAGGTCTCTCATCACCCCCCCAGTGAGTCTCCCCTCCCACTCGATATTCCACATAGCTGTCAGAGTACCAGAGCCATACATGTTAACTGTACTGTTGCCTTTCCTCTTCCTTGTAGTTTCTGCATTCTACGCAGAGTGTCTCAGCAAAAAGATTCAGTTCAACGCCCACATTTGGACCAAGTCAAAGTTCTTAGGAATGTCAATTGGAGTGCACAATATTGGCCAGGGTAAGACATCGTTTCAAGCACTTAGGCTTTCTGTTAACACCAAATATTTACCAACTACTATACATGGGAAGACTTCTTTAGCTCACATAGTCCATAAACATGTGTGCTCACACACTTACTAAAACCTTAGTGTGTTTTGTGTATTCTGAAGTGTGTGCTTCCCCCTTCTCTCCTCTAGGCTGTGTGTCCTGTCTGGAACATGACGAGCACTACATACTCACCTTTCCCAATGGATATGGCAGGTAGGCTCATGCTTGAAGAGTAAATAACACACACTGTCTCAAGTTTGTGGTGCTGGAAATAAAAGCCCCATTTCAATTCACAATAAAACATAATTCCAGCACAGCACACACAATGTACTGTATGTAAAGTGAGTGTGTATAAATGGGAATAACATGTTATCTGGATTCCCTGACCTGACATGTAGTGGGGTGTTCCTTCTCTCTTCAGGTCGATCCTGACTGTCCCATGGGTGGAGTTGGGTGGAGAGTGTAACATCAACTGCTCCAAAACGGGCTACAGTGCCAGCATTGTGTTTCACACTAAGCCCTTCTACGGTGGAAAGAAGCACAGGATCACCGCTGAGATCTTGTAAGGGGGTTTTCTTATTTGTAATCATGCACAGAGTGTTAGCCTATTCTTGCTTTATTAACTGTGCTCACAGCAGTATATGGAAATATTTTGTTTGTTGTGATGTTAATTATATATTACAAATGTGTTTGTTTGTAGTCCTCCCAATGACAAGAAGTCATTCTGCTCCATTGAAGGAGAGTGGAATGGAGTGATGTATGCTAAGTGGGCATCTGGGGTGAGTTCAGTTAAAAAATGTGATCTCTGCTGGATATCAATGTGTTAATACAGTGGGGAGAACAAGTATTTGATACCCTGTCGATTTTGCAGGTTTTCCTACTTACAAAGCATGTAGAGGTCTGTAATTTTTATCATAGGTACACTTCAACTGTGAGAGAAGGAATCTAAAACAAAAATCCAGAAAATCACATTGTATGATTTTTAAGTAATTAATTTGCATTTTATTGCATGACATAAGTATTTGATACATCAGAAAAGCAGAACTTAATATTTGGTACAGAAACCTTTGTTTACAATTACAGAGATCATACGTTTCCTGTAGGTCTTGGCCAGGTTTGCACACACTGCAGCAGGGATTTTGGCCCACTCCTCCATACAGACCTTCTCCAGATCCTTCAGGTTTCGGGGCTGTCGCTGGGCAATACGGACTTTCAGCTCCCTCCAAAGATTTTCTATTGGGTTCAGTTCTGGAGACTGGCTAGGCCACTCCAGGACCTTGAGATGCTTCTTACGGAGCCACTCCTTAGTTGCCCTGGCTGTGTGTTTCGGGTTGTTGTCATGCCACAACCCATCTTCAATGCTCTTACTGAGGGAAGGAGGTTGTTGGCCCCATCCATCCTCCCCTCAATACGGTGCAGTCGTCCTGTCCCCTTTGCAGAAAAGCATCCCCAAAGAATGATGTTTCCACCTCCATGCTTCACGGTTGGGATGGTGTTCTTGGGGTTGTACTCATCCTTCTTCTTCCTCCAAACACGGCGAGTGGAGTTTAGACCAAAAATATATATTTTTGTCTCATCAGACCACATGACCTTCTCCCATTCCTCCTCTGGATCATCCAGATGGTCATTGGCAAACTTCAGACGGGCCTAGACATGCGCTGGCTTGAGCAAGGGGACCTTGCGTGTGCTGCAGGATTTTAATCCATGACGGCGTAGTGTGTTACTAATGGTTTTCTTTGAGACTGTGGTCCCAGCTCTCTTCAGGTCATTGACAAGGTCCTGCCGTGTAGTTCTGGGCTGATCCCTCACCTTCCTCATGATCATTGATGCCCCACGAGGTGAGATCTTGCATGGAGCCCCAGACCGAGGGTGATTGACCGTCATCTTGAACTTCTTCCATTTTCTAATAATTGCGCCAACAGTTGTTGCCTTCTCACCAAGCTGCTTGCCTATTGTCCTGTAGCCCATCCCAGCCTTGTGCAGGTCTACAATTTTATCCCTGATGTCCTTACACAGCTCTCTGGTCTTGGCCATTGTGGAGAGGTTGGAGTCTGTTTGATTGAGTGTGTGGACAGGTGTCTTTTATAAGGTAACGAGTTCAAACAGGTGCAGTTAATACAGGTAATGAGTGGAGAACAGGAGGGCTTCTTAAATAAAAACTAACAGGTCTGTGAGAGCCGGAATTCTTATTGGTTGGTAGGTGATCAAATACTTATGTCATGCAATAAAATGCAAATTAATTACTTAAAAATCATACAATGTGATTTTCTGGATTTTCTGGATTTTAGATTCCGTCTCTCACAGTTGAAGTGTACCTATGATAAAAATTACAGACCTCTACATGCTTTGTAAGTAGGAAAACCTGAAAAATCGGCAGTGTATCAAATACTTGTTCTCCCCACTGTATGTGATTTTCAGGAAGGTTTTGTTGTTTTAAGGAAATAACTATGTCCCATGTTTTTAATCCCTGACCTCAACATGTTCACACTGAAGGTTGACCTCATACATAAAAAGCAATCTAGAAAGTGTTACAATTTAAGACACTTTCAACCCAAACTTTCTATCTCTTGAATCCAGGAAAACTCCTTGTTCATTGACACAAAGAAAATGGGCTGTATCAAGAAGAAGGTGAGGAAGTTGGAGGACCAGCTGGAGTATGAGTCGCGCAGGTGAGAAGGCTCTCTTCGTTTTATCGTGGGCAGTAATAAGTGGATGTTTTTTATGTGTTCTGTCCAGTCCCCTTTCTGTGGACTTGGGGTAGTAGCTCCTGTCATGGCATCCAGTTTAATGTGGCTGTCAATCCAGCCAGGCACAATATTTTCAGATTTAGCAATATATTTATTGTTTGGTCACTGTTTGACCCTCAGCCTTTGGAAGGATGTGACGGTCAGCCTAAAGTCGAGAGACATCGATGCAGCAACGGAAGCCAAGCACAGGCTGGAGGAGAAGCAAAGGGGCGAGGCCAGGGAGAGGAAGGAGAATGAAATGCAGTGGGAAACTAGGGTGAGTGTGCCTATTCTTATCATACATCTCCAGAGCCCTGACAGCAATATTAACAGCCATCCACTCCATATCAAGGTTAATAGTTCACGGTGATGATTGTACTTAGATGGAAAGTACAGTGCCTTCGGAAAGTATTCAGACCCCTTGACATTTTCCACATTTTGTTACGTTACAGCCTTATTCTAAAATGTAATAAATAGTTTTTTCCCCTCATCAATCTACACACAATACCCCATAATGACAAAGCAAAACACACAATACCCCATAATGACAAAGCAAAAACAGGTTTTTATAAATTTCTGCTTATTGTTTTGTATTGTTTTTACGGAAATATCACATTTACATAAGTATTCAGACGCTCTACTCAGTACCTTTGGCAGCGATTACAGCATCGAGTCTTCTTGGGTATGACGCTACAAGCTTGGCACACCTGTATTTGGGGAGTTTCTCCCATTCTTCTCTGCAGATGCTCTCAAGCTCTGTCAGGTAGGATGGGGAGCGTTGCTGCACAGCTATTTTCAGGTCTCTCCAGAGATGTTAGATTGGGTTCAAGTCCGGGCTCTGGTTGGGCCATTCAAGGACATTCAGAGACTTGTCCCGAAGCCATTCCTGCGTTGTCTTGGCTGTGTGTTTAGGGTCGTTGTCCTGTTGGAAGGTGAACCTTTGCCCCAGTCTGAGGTCCTGAGTGCTCTGGAGCAGGTTTTCATCAAGGATCTCTCTGTACTTTGCTCGGTTCATCTTTGCCTCGATCCTGACTAGTCTCCCAGTCCCTGCCGCTGAAAAACATCCCCACAGCATGATGCTGCGACCACCATGCTTCACCGTAGGGACGGAGCCTGGTTTCCTCCAGACGTGACGCTTGGCATTCAGGCCAAAGAGATCAATCTTGGTTTCATCAGAACAGAGAATCTTGTTTCTCATGGTCTGAGAGTCTTTAGGTGCCTTTTGGCAAAACCCAAGCGGGCTCAAGTAGGGCTGTCATGTGGCTCCGTCTGGCCACTACCATAAAGGCCTGCTTTGGTGGAGTGCTGCAGAGATGGGAGAGTCTTCCAGAAGGACAACCATCTCCACAGAGGCACTGTGGAGCCATGTCAGAGTGACCATCGGGTTCTTGGTCACCTCCCTGACCAAGGCCCTTCTCCCCCGATTGCTCAGTTTGGCCGGGCGGCCAGCTCTAGGAAGGGGCTTGGTGGTTCCAAACTTCTTCCATTTAAGAATGATGGAGGCCAATGTGTTCTTGGGGACCTTCAATGCTGCATAAATGTTTTGGTACCCTTCCCCAGTTCTGTGCCTCAACACAATCCTGTCTCGGAGCAATACGGAAAATTCCTTAAACCTCATGGCTTGGTCTTTGCTCTGACATGCACTGTCAACTGTGGGACCTTATATAGACAGGTGTGTGCCTTTCCAAATCATGTCCAATCAATTTAATTTACCACAGGTGGACTCCAATCAAGTTGTAGAAACATCTCAAGGATGATCAATGGAAACAGGATGCACCTGAGTTCAATATCAAGTCTCATAGCAAAGGGTCTGAATACTTATGTAAATAAGGTATTTGTTTTTTTATTGTTAATACATTTACAACAATTTCTAAAAACCTGTTTTCGCTTTGTCATTTTGGGGTATTGTGTGTAGGCCAGTGACAAGAAAATCTCAATGTAATGAATTTTAAATTCAGGGTGTAACACAACAAAATGTGGAAAAGTCAAGGGGTGTGAATACTTTCTGAAGTCACTGTACCTTTTGGATTTTTGAAAGCAGTATTGTAGTCCCCACTGATTAAGTCTCCATGTTTAATCCCTGCAGTTGTTCCATGAGGATGGGGAGTGCTGGGTCTACGATGAGCCTCTACTGAAAAGAACTGGATCACAGACGCACTGAGGCCACAGATGCAGATCTCTGAGTCTTAATAAGAACTCTTTTGCAAACCACTTCTTATCCAAGCCTTGGAATGACTGATGATTGAACATGATCACAGCTTTGCATTTTCGAAGATACAATTTAATGAAATCAAGAAGAAACATCTACAATATAAAAAATAATAACCCTTGTTTCGCCAACCCCACATCCACCACCTCCACCTCTCCATCCCCTGAACGACTAAAAAAAGCATGACAAAGACAGTACCAATGCCCTTAGGCTACACAAACAAGCCCTCACAATCTGGCAGGAGGATCCCTCAAGGGTCTGTCCTTTTCCTTGAGGGGAAGGGAGTTTGGATTGAAAAAACCTTGAAAAACAGCGTTCTGTATCTCAGGGAAGCTGGTGACTGAGGAATGAATGGTGTATCTCCAGGAGTTAGACGGCCTTATAGTGGAATCACAAGGGGGACAACCTGGCTTGCCTACAATTAGCTACAGCTGTTTATATATAGATACTTATGATGAATATATATTCTCTTTTTGTATTTTATTTATCTTTCTGGCAGTACTAAATATTTGAGGATTTGAACTCTATGGCAATAAATCAGGAACCATTCCTTTTCTTTTCTACATTTGTCCCCTCTCAAGTTCGTTGACATTCTCTCCCCATGTACTAACTCCATCTAGTGCAGCGGTGTCAAACTCATTTTGCCCCGGGGGCCGCATTCTGTCTTCAACGAGGTCCAGAGGGTTAGCATTGAAAATTGGTTATATTTCCTCACCGGATGTTTGACACCCCTGGACTAGTGTATGTTTATCTGCTCAAGATAACCAGAAGAAGAACCCAAGAAGTCTGCATTTGTAAGATAGACAGTAGGTGGAGTCGAGGAAGAGGACTTGTCTCCATGTTGTGACCAAAACCATTTGTAGCGATATAGAGCACATTCCTGCTGAATACATGCACGCAATGATTGCCTGTGGTGAAAAACTCAACAAGTTCACTTAACCGAATTGTATAGGTGGAGTATCACCCTTTTCTTTCTAAAGTAGGTAAATACTGTATCGTCTAATATAATAGAATTTACAGAGGTTACAAACTCAAGCCATTTTTTGTTCTTCATGTTATGTCTTTGTAAATTAATATTGAATCGAGGCCTTTCCATACATTTCAGTATCACTTCAAAAGAGCAATCGGAACAAAATGTATTTTTTATTTCCTTTGAATCATAACGATTGATTGTATCAGATTTTCATGTTTATTGATGCATAATATTAAATCTCCATGAGTTTACTTCTTTGCTGTGTTTGACATCCTTCATTGAAAAAGCTTGTGGCTGAAGCAGTACAAGTGCATAATGCTCAAATCAGTTTTGTTTTTCAAATCCATTTTGTACTACTGACTGTCCAAACAGCAAGTTACAAGTGACCAAATTGGATTTGTGTGTGTTCAGACAGCAGTCATTTGCGGACATGGCTACACTAGTTGTCATAGTAAGGATGTGTGTGTGCACAGTGGTGTAGGCTGATTGCTGGTGGTTCTCGTGCTTCCTATCACTCAGAAGTTATGTAGCAAGCTAAGGTGACAACAATACCTGCCATGGATTTTTCCCAGTTGCTTTGAATGTTCAAAATCTTAGTGTAAGAACACTTTTAAAGCCTCAATGGATAAGATTATCCAAATTTCAAAACAACTCATTTTTGTCTAGCCACAGCAGTCAACTAGCTAGCTCGGTAGCTGTTTAGCTTTATAGCACATTCACTGATTTGTTTGTAAACAATTAACAAGCTAGTTAGCTACCACATGTTATTGTCAAACTGTCAACGGAGTAGCTAGCAAGCAACAATATATGGCAAATAATAGTCCAAAAACCACTTGCAGGCAAATAAATCAGATTTGACCATTCAGACACAAGTCACAGGAATCAGCTTTGTATCTGACTTCAAATCACCTTTGTAGGTGGTTTGAAATGTGGCTTGAAATATCCGATTGCTTTTTGGCTGTTCAGACTGCATGAAAAATACCAGATTCTAATCGGATATGCAAATAAATAGGATTTGAGTCATTTCAAACTGTCAATGTGAACATGGCTTAGTCTACAATCAGTTCAACATTGTAGCCCATACTAAAGGTGAATCTCAAAAGTGGCTTCTTCTCTTCTCCCGTCCTTCATCTTCACTAATTGAAAAAAATAAACAGGTGTAAGAAATATAGTGGATCCCTTTTGGTTTCACCTGTCCTTATTGCTTTCACATTAGTGCAGGTGGAGGAAATAAGGAGGTGAATCCACTTTACTATTGAAATGCACCCAAGCCTGGAAAAAAATCAGGTGTATCATAGCCACTTTATAGAGCACATAATTAGAAATTATTTGGTTGTATCCATCGCAATTTGTGGACGTGGTTTGGTCTTGATCAAATTAAGATGCACCAGATATTTTCTGGATGCTTTAAGAAAATAAATGTTGGCTAAACTTCTCAAAAGTGTTCTCTGGTTCTGCTTTAATTTACCCCATTCATACTGGGTCTTACACTAAAATGCTCGTTTTTTGGGGGTCGGGAAATGTTTGTGTCCAACCCATACCTCAGTGGTACGACCCAGTAGCCAATGAGAATAGAGAGAAATAGTAACGCACCAACTCCGCCATGGTTCGTTGGACAAAGCCTATGAGGAAAATGAATGGTGTTTATTGATAAACGCCGAAAATAAGGTATGCAGTAAACATAGGTTTAGGAGATCTTATACGTTTTGTTCTGTGAGTGAGTGACTTGGCATTTGTAATAAAGCGCAAGGATGCATGATAAACAGAGTCCAGTGTCTGTAAGACAGAGGAGGTTGCATGCATATACAACAAGTCACCATAATCAATTACAGAGAGAAAAGTGGCCTGAACAAGCTTATTTCTAGCCATAAGCGGTAAGCAAGCCTTATTACGAAAATAAAACCCAATTTCCATTTAAGCTTCCTCGCAAGATTATCCATATGAACTTTAAAGGACAACTTGTCATCCAACCATATACCTAGGTATTTGTAGGATGACACTGTGGCTACGAACCTCTCGTCGCTAGAAAGGATCCAGCTTTTGTCAAATTAACGTCTAAAATTTTCATTTTTTTCATTTTTGCTAACCCTAACCCTTTTCCTAACCTGCTGCGTACGTTCTCCTAACCTGCTACGAAAAGTCAAATCTTGATGTTAATTTCACAAAAGCTGGATTCCTTCTAGCCATGTCCCTGCCAACCCCGCTTGTCTGTTTGGAAAGCCTGCGCAAATGAAAACGTGTGGTGGGTGGGTTCGGCCCGCCCTCATCTAACCCGTTCTGTGTGCCGGGGCGAGGGGGCTTCAAAAAAAAGTAGTGTTTGGCCAATCACAGAAGAAGATGCTGACTTTTCCCATAAACCAATGCGAATACATTCAATATAAATTCAGCCTCCACCCTTCCTTCGGTCTCCTTCTCCTCCCGGATTCTGAAGAAAGGTAATGGTGTCGTCTTGTAGTTTAGAGTTTATGTATTTAAATCTTCCATTTATGTATCAATTTGTATTTGCCGTCATAGTTTATTAGCTATGTTTGATAAGTGTGTCATAATCTTGCGAAAGGACCTAGCTAGGTCGTTTTGCGCTTGCTAGCCTTAGTTAGCAGGCCTAGCTCCACCACGTGTCTCACGTGTCGTGAACAAGTTTAGTCTCCTTTATCACTAGCACAATTATCTTCTAGGATAGTGGTTCCTAACTCCAGTCCTAGAATACCCCCCAACAGTTGACAAGTTGGATTAGGTGTGCTTGTTCGGCTCTACAAAAAAATGTGTGCTGTTGGGGGTACTCGATGACCGAGTTAGGAACCACTAAACCAGGAAAGAAGTGAACTCTAGTGCACGGTTTAATATAGAAAGCCTAGTTAACTCCAACGCAGTGAACGAGTAACCAGGCAAGATGGGCCTCCCAATCTTACATGATGAAATAAGTGTTGGTAGGGACATCTGAGTTAAATTGAGGAAACGCCAACCATTCTGACTGGTTGGGAACACTTTATTGTTTTGTTGCAATATTACTTCACTTTCCTAGTTAATCAACTAACTGCCATTGTCTGGTCTTAGGACCGTTTTTGCATTAATCTCCTGTCTCCCTTCTGCTAAATTAAAGCACTTGTCTCCTATTCATGCTGACTATATCATGAGTAGTGGACAGAAGGGATTGCGTAACATTTTTGCGATAGACTTTACATTTGTGGGCTTTTGTCAAACGAGAGACTGATTTGTGTTTCGCAGGTATTGCTGAGAAGCAAACATGAGTTGACGATAAAAAATTAGGTAAGCATGATTATCAGTGTTACCCAACGTCCACGTGTTAAACCCAAGAAATTATGCCCTGTGCCACTGATGACCCCATTTGCTACTCTTGACCTGTCAGGATGATGAATCTGCAACCACCAATTGCATGTTCTGAGGCACAGCACGTGATTTGAACTACCTGTTAAGATCTTTTGAAGGCTAACCATACATTATTCCTTTACAGCTGCAGACACAAGATGTGGCATTCGGTAAGTTTCCATGCATGTCATAGCAATTGCAGTTTTATGTACTGTAAGTGATGACTGTTTAAAAACATTGGGAATCTCTCTGAAAAATAATGAAAGAAATGTTTTTACTGATGCAGTTCAGCTGCCTTAAATTACACCAGTCCAGTCTTCTGGGCCTAAATTGCTGATTTATTTTTATAATCTGCAGATGGCGTAGGCTGTGGGAATGGCAACATCTGAACCGGTTGCCATGGTAAGCTACTACCTTGTGCACTCAACCAACATGAGTCTAATGATACTTTATCATGTGATACAATGAATGCGTAGTTCAGCAGATGAACAAGCAGCATTCTCTTTTGCTCCTAGCATGTAGCCATTTCAGTAGGTTTTCCACTCACTGCATTAAGATTTTCTAACCTTTCCATTTTTCAGAGGCCAATGGAAAGAACTGTCGTGTGACTGAAACTTTGACGAAAGGTAGATTGATTTGTTTAATTAAGGCTGATAATACTTGATACAATGATGACAGCATAGTTCAGCTGATACTCAATGATGAATTCTCAGCATTGTCTTTCGCTCCTATCTGATGTATCGTTACTTTAAAAACAGACATATCATTCCCCCCCCCCCCCCCCCCCCAACTATAGAACCCTGACAGTATTTGTCTTTACAGAACTCAAGTTTCTGACCGCGTGCCAAGACAGGATCCTAGATTCTCAAGTCTGGCTTGGCTGTAAATCTGGGGTAAGCTACAAAGATTCCATATGAAATGAAGGGTAACGACATGGTGCAATCTGAAAGGATGACATTGAATCAGGTCTCTGATCTTGTTGAGGACAATATTGTTACACACTCTGATTAGATTGGTTCTTTTTGTTTTCTGTTTTTGGAAACCGTGAGCGTTTTGATTAAAATCTGATCTCTGTTCAGGCCCAGTAGATGCAGAACAAGGCTCTGGTGTGGCTAGAGGATGACTGAAGTGAGTTACACAAGGTATTTCGATCTTAACTAACGAATGATGCCGTCTAAAAGGAAGACTTTGAATTAGGTCTCTGCTACTGTTGAGGACGTACTGTTACACTCAGTTGGAAGATTGACTCCCTTGCCCATTGCATTCTTTTGAGTCTTGGTTATTTTGATAATCTGTCACTTATTTGCAGGAGCAGTGAAAACTGGCACGAAGGATTGGAACTAATGTACAGCTGTCCCTGTCAGGTTGGTATACATCCATTTGGGTTATCCACTTAACTGGGTTCAGTGATGTCAACAAATGTCTGACCTGAATTTTTATGTGGACATTATCATAACTGAGGAACCTGGAAATGTATCATTACTGCCCCCTGACTTTTAATTTCTCAACTAACTCAATCTCTCTTTAGGTGGCAAGTGAATTCACAACTACAACCTCCAGTGCAGTTAAGAACAAGGTAAGCCTATGTAATGCAGTTGCCCATAATTTTATCAACTTATGATGAAGAGATTCTGCCAAATGATTTGTGATTATATATATATACCGTTCCATTTATATCTGAGGTTGTACAATGGCATTTCTGAGTTTGTGGTTGTGCATGCATCTTGCTTAGATCTCTTTGCAATTCCACAGAAATGATACGACATCAGAAGATGACACCATGGGAGACCAGTCTTTAACTTCAGATTTGTATCTTGTGTGTTTCTGAGTAACAATGTCAATAAAATTAGTGGAATTATCCCTGTCTTGACGTGAATACCTAATTCCTGTTGGTCTGACTGTCATGGTAGTAGTGCCTCAGTCAGGGTATGTTGTCAAATTGCTAGTTTCCATTTGGCTAGCAGTGCAATGTTTCCACATTGCATAGTAGGCACAACTCTAGACCTGGCATTTTGTGTGGAAGCCCTACATAATAAATCACTAGTTTGGCCAATAACTGTTGGTGCAAGCCAGAGTAAGGCCTCCAATAATTTAGTCTGGGAAGGGGTACTATGCAGCTACTACATTTTTACTCTAACATTTGTTTCTTGAATATAGAAATGTAAACGAGGTTGGTTTCACAAGCTGAAATAAAATCGGTTTCCTAACTTTGTGCACATTAGTTCACATCCCTCTTGAGCTTTTTGCCTTTAAGAGAATCCATCCAGCTGACAGGTGTGGCATATCAAGAAGCTTATTAAACTGCATTATGACACAGGTGCTGGGGACAATTAAAGAATACTCATGTGCAGTTGTCATGCGACATGTCTCAAGTTGAGGTAGAGTGCAATTGGCATGCTGACTGCAGGAATGTCCGCCAGAGAATTGAATGTTAATTTCAGTACCGTAAACTCCGTCCAACGTCGTTCTAGATAATTTGGCAGTACATCTAAATGGTCTCACCACCGCAGACCGCGTGTGGGCTAGCGGTTTGCTGATAACGTAGAGTGCCCCGCGGTGGGTGTATGGGCAGGCATAAGCTATGAACACAATTTTATTGCAGATCCCGTGGCGAGTTCGACATATTAAAAAATATATATATATTTCAATTGCCTGGCCTTACATGAAATCTTAAATTGGTGCGTAATATTTTCGTTAACTTAAATGCCCCATGAGCTTCAACTGTTGTAACCCATCAATTTAAAATATGCTTGTTTACTCGTTAGTAAATTGTTAAAGGTTAACAATTTTTTTTTATAGTTGTGGGTCCATCCTTGTATGGCTGTATATGATTTTGAGCGGTTATATTTTTCCAGCCCATTCCCTCAATTTAAGGAAACGGTTGCGGGGAAATGCTTTGTTTCAACTGCCGATAGTTCCTATTTATCTAGTGTATTGCCTCATTAAACCGACCCCAATGGAGTAGTATAAAATCACTATCAAATGTATGGGAGGGCTGTGAACATGCATAGTATATATTAACACTTGATGGCACAATTGGTCCAGCGTCGTCCAAGGTAGGGGAGGGTTTGGCCGGCAGGGATGTGGGTTCGTTTCCCACGGGGGACTAGTATGACAAAAAACAAAACATGTATGCATTCACTAACTGTAAATCGCTCTGGATAAGAGAGTCTGCTAAATGACAAATGTAAAAATGTAAACCTGCATCACTGCTGTTTTTGCGTTCTATAATCTGACGGGAGCACGCATGGCTTTTATCAGGGTGAATCGTTTTAATTATTTTGTATTTTTTGGTAATGGAACTACTTGTTTTTGATTTTGGGATTATTCAAAATTATCAACAATTGACATCCCTACATCAAACATGTCTAACAAAACACAGGTATAAAGAAGAAAATACTGAATACATAATTAACATATGGGCTCCCGAGTGGCGCAGCGATCTAAGGCACTGCATCTCAGTGCTTGAGGCGTCACTACAGACCCCGTGGTTTGATTCCAGGCTGTATCACAACTGGCCGTGATTGGGAGTCCCATAGGGTGGCGCACAATTGGCCCAGCGTCGTCCGGGTTTGGCCGGTGTAGGCCGTCATTGTAAATAAGAATTTGTTCTTAACTGACTTGCCTAGGTAAATAAAGTTAAAATTTAAAAATGTATATATAAAAAAAGAATTCTAGTGCAAATGTATTAACTCCGAATAGGGTGACTCCTCGTGACGCACAATTTGTGAAGGATATGACGTCGCGAACTGGAGCGTTTCCTGTGTTTTCCCATTAATACCATTTTCAGGACTGCCTGCTTGCATCATAGGCCGGTGGAGAGGTTTGAATAGTCAGGGGATAGAAGATCGCCGCCACTGACGACCACTTTCTAATAACCGCAAATACACGACATCACTGATGTTCCTCTACCAACTGTTGCCCTTCCTTTGGGCTGTTTCTGCAAATGCAGATTTCTTTCAATTTGACAGTATTTCAAATGCATCTACGTATTATTTCAATTATATTTATTGTAATCTATGGGAAGGGGAGTGTCAACCGAATCAAGATGATACGACTCAGCAAGGTGAGGAATTATTTTCTTTCCTGAAAGGTTTTTCTTCAGCAAAAATGAAATATTCAAATTGACACACTTCTCCCGACTGTCTCGGGTGTAGTTAGGATCAGAAACAGCCCCACTGGAGCTTGTAGTTATTACTGTCCATAGGATTTTTTTGTTGTATAAATTCGTTTTTACACAGGTCTATTTCTATTACAATGCAGAGACAGTGAGCAACAATGATTAGCGTATTTATTCGAAAATATTGAGGAAAAATCTTATTTATGAATCAGTGATTACAATCCTAGGTATGATATGAAAAAGTCGCAGGCTTTTCCTTGCACAACTTGCCTTGAGCAGAAATGATAGTGTTCAATTTGTTGCAACAGCTATGTCTATAAGACTATTAGATATGTACACTATTACATTTGTGTGCTCTTCTCAGTACCTACTAGGGACCTGTGGGCAGGATTTCCTCAGGACTACATCCGTTTGCTGTCACAGTGGTATTGCAGCCTGGGACAGTGCTGTGAATCAGGGGATTGTCGGATAACAAATAATATTACAGGTATGATAACGTCATATTGAGCAGACATTATCATTCATGTATGTTCCACCAGCTATGTCGTTTTTGTGTAGTCCTCATTTTGTCTGGATTTGACATTCCCCCCCCCCCCCCCCCCCCCAGGTCTGGCTAGTGATCTACAGCTAAAGCTTCACGGGCAGCACCTTGCCCAATCAGTGGTTCTGAAGGCTGTGCAAGGCTTCATCAGTAACCCTGAATCCAATAAGCCATTGACCCTCTCCTTCCATGGCTGGTCTGGCACAGGCAAGAATTTTGTGGCACGGATTATAGCTGACAACTTGTACCGGGACGGAGTGAAGAGCGAGTGTGTGCGTCTGTTCATTGCCCCATTCCACTTCCCCCATGCCAGACTGGTGGACACATACAAGGTGAGCTTAGCTGGCACAGACATGACTCCTCTCTGCCAGGAACATGTGCAGAACATAACTCATTTATGTTCGATTACACAACTTGATCTAGACCATAGCAGGAGTTAAACAATATAGCTAGTCAAAACTCAGCAAATTGTAACAAATAAATATGTTTTTAGTTGATAAAAACATGTAGCATGAATACAGGTGCATTTTAATCTCTTGAATATATTGCACACCAAATATGAGAGAGAGAGAGGTGATATTTTTGTGCTCACCATAGCGCTCTATTCCAGGGCCAGCTTAGAGAAGCTATCCGGGACATGGTGCTGCGTTGCCCACAGACACTTTTCATCTTTGATGAGGCTGAGAAACTGCACCCGGGCCTTATAGATGCCATCAAGCCCTATATGGACCATTATGACAATGTGGATGGGGTCAGCTACAGGAGGGCTGTCTTCTTATTCCTCAGGTTAGCCATACATACCCTTTCAATTCATGCAAGGTCTGTTCCACTAACTCATGTAGGGAAACTTTACTGTCCAAGTCATGAGTAAATGTCTCAGATATTTTCCTCTAACCAAGATGTTTTGTAATATTTCCTTGTAGTAATATTGGTGGCACAACCATCAATGATGTGTCCTTGGACTTCTGGCACTCAGGGCAGAACAGAGAGGACATTGGGATGGAGGACTTGGAACACCGGCTACGAGCTGAAGCTATGGAATCTCAAGGTACCAGCAGTGGCTTTACAATCACTCACACTAATTTGAAGCATATATGTTTTCACAGGCAAGATTGAAGATGTCTTTCTCGTGAACACTACACTGTGAACGAAGAAACTCATAGTTAGAAACCACTTAAAACATTTTGAATTACATAACATTTAAGTGCAACTGCAACATGTTCAGTTGTGGATTTACCAGTTTGTCTGTTTTCCAGGAGGCTTTGCACAGAGTGAGCTGATGTCAGGTCACCTTATTGACTTCTTTGTGCCCTTCCTACCTCTGGAGTACCGTCATGTCAAGCTCTGTGCCCGTGATGCCTATGCAGCGCGGGGTCTGGAGCCAGACGAAGGAACCCTGGACGAAGTGGCAAAGGCCATGCTATATGTACCCAAGGAGGAGAGGCTATTCTCTGCCCAAGGCTGCAAATCCATACCACAGAGAATCAATTTCTTCCTCCCCTAAACATACTAATGCAACCCAGAAAACACACACAGTATTTTAGCAAAAAGGAAAAAGTATGACCTGCTGACATATTGAACATTGTTGCGATGTGGTATGCCCACTCCTCAACCTACACTGCCAAGAAAGCAAGCATAGGACATCTGGCTCCAGTAAGATTCTATCTGATTACAAAATAAGAGATTTTACAAGTGTGGATTTTCAACTTAGATTTTTTTTTACCCTGCTCATTAGACTACTTTTATGCAATGATTTTAGGTCAAGCTCAGGTCAACTCTGTAGTTTTAGTATTTGCATGTATATATTTACAGTGGATTTGGAAAGTATTCAGACCCCTTTACTTTTTCCACATTTTGTTACGTTACGGCCTTATTCTAAAATTGATTAAATAGGTTTTTTCCTCTTATTAATATATACACAATACCCCATAATGACAAAGCAAAAATAGGTTTTTAGAAATTTTAGCACAAAATAATTTCTCCTGAAATATCACATTTACATAAGTATTCAGACCCTTTACTCAGTACTTTGTTGAAGCACCTTTGGCAACGATTACAGCCTTGAGTCTTGGGTATGACGCTACAAGCTTAGGGCGGCGCACAATTGGCCCAGCGTCGTCCAGGTTTGGCCGGTGTAGGCCGTCATTGTAAATAAGAATTTGTTCTTAACTGACTTGCCTAGTTAAATAAAGGTAAAATAAAATAATAATAAAAAGCTTGGCACACCTGTATTTGGGGAGTTTCTCCCATTCTTCTCTGCAGATCCTCTCAAGCTCTGTCAGGTTGGATGGGGAGTGTCGCTGCACAGCTATTTTCAGGTTTCACCAGAATTGTTCGATCGGGTTCAAGTGCGGCTTCTGGCTGGGCCACTCAAGGACATTCAGAGACTTGTCCCGAAGCCACTCCTGTGTTGTCTTGGCTGTGTGCTTAGGGTCGTTGTCCTGTTAGAAGGTGAACCTTCGCCCCAGTCTGAGGTCCTGAGTGCTCTGGAGCAGGTTTTCATCAAGGATCTCTCTGTACTTTGCTCCGTTCAACTTTCCCTCGATCCTGCCGCTGAAAAACATCCCCACAGCATGATGCTGCCACCACCATGCTTCACCATAGGGATGGTGCCAGGTTTCCTCCAGACGTGTCACTTGGCATTCAGGCCAAAGAGTTCAATCTTTGTTTCATCAGACCAGAGAATCTTGTTTCTCATGGTCTGAGAGTCCTTTAGGTGCCTTTGGGCAAACTCCAAGTGGGCTGTCATGTGCCTTTTACTGAGGAGTGGCTTCCGTCTGGCCACTCTACCATAAAGGCCTGATTGCTGGAGTGCTACAGAGATGGTTGTCTTTCTGGAAGGTTCTCCCATCTCCACAGAGGAACTCTGGAGCTCTGTCAGAGTGACCATCGGGTTCTTGGTCACCTCCCTGACCAAGGCCCTTCTTCCCCGATTGCTCAGTTTGGCCGGGGGGCCAGCTCTAGGAAGAGTTCCAAACTTCTTCCATTTAAGAATGATGGAGGCAACTGTGTTCTTGGGGACCTTCAATGCTGCAGACATTTTTTGGTACCCTTCCCCAGATCTGTGCCTCGACACAATCCTGTCTTGGAGCTCTACGGACAATTCCTTCAACCTCATAGCTTGGTTTTTGCTCTGACACGTACTGTCAACTGTGGGACCTTTATATAGACATGTGTGTGCCTTTCCAAATCATGTCCAATCAATCGAATTTACCATAGGTGGACTCCAATCAAGTTGCAGAAACATCTCAAGGGTGATCAGTGGAAACAGGATGCACCTGAGCTCAATTTCGAATCTCATAGCAAAGGGTCTGAATACTTATGTAAATAAGGTATTTCTGTTTTTTATTTTTAATACATGTTCAAACATTTCTGAAAATGTTTTTCGCTTTGTCATTATGGGGTATTGTGTGTAGATTTGAGATTTGTTTTGCAGTCAATTTTAGAATAAGGCTGTAACGTAACAATGTGGAAAAGGGAAGGGGTCTGAACTTTCCGAATGCACTGTATGTTTAGTTGGCACTGAGGATATTTTACAACTATCTGCTTAAGCAGTGGCTGGCACTTCCAATGCAAAGGAGGAAATACTGTATATTACAGTAAACTATATCAAATATAATTTCATTAACTTTTTAAGGGCATTTTTAATATGATTATTCTGGAGTTGTTTATTGATTACTTGATTTACAGGTGGGCTAAATATTTCCAGGCTACAAACAGTATGACATCACTTTAAATCATTTCTAACCTACTGAATAACTACAATTCAGGTTTGAAGAAAGTAGTGTAAGTGTGCAATAATACAGGCAGTCGCTAATGTTGTTGAAATGTTTACTGAACTAAATGGTCTGAGTATTCCCAATTTTTTCCCCCTTACAATTATTTTGATCTTGAATGATTTAATGTTGCATTTACTGTTGCAGTTTAGTATTCCAACAATGCTTTGATATAATTTTTTTGTCAAATGGAATGTGTTACTTGCACAAAATAGCCCGTAGTGAAGATTGTAATTAGCAAGTACATATACTGAACAAAAATATAAACGCAACATGCAACAATTTCAACGATTTTACTGAGTTACAGTTCAAATAAGAAAATCAGTCAATTGAAATAAATTCATTAGGCCCTAATCTATGAATTTCACTTGAATGGGCAGGGGAGCAGCCATAGGCCCACCCACGTGGAAGCCAGGCCCACTCACTGGGGAGCCAGGCCTAGCCAATCAGAATGAGTTTTTCCCACAAAAGAGCTTTATTACAGACAGAAATACTCAGTTTCATCAGCTTCTCAGACGAAGAAGCCGGATGTGGAGGTCCTTGACTGGCGTGGTGACACGTGGTCTGCGGTTGTGAGGCCGGTTGGACTACTGCAAAATTCTCTAAAAGGACATTGGAGGTGGCTTATGGTAGAGAAATGAACATTCAATTCTCTGGCAACAGCTCTGGTGGACATACCTGCAGTCAGCATGCCAATGGCATGCTCCCTCAACACTTGAGACATCTGTGGCATTGTGTTGTGTGACAAAACTTGCACATTTTAGAGTGGCCTTTTAATGTCCCCAGCACAAGGTGCACCTGTGTAATGATCACACTGTTTAATCAGTTTCTTAATATGCCACACCAGTCAGGTGGATGGATTATCTTGGCAAATGAGAAATGCTCACTAACAGGGATGTAAAGAAATGTGTGCAGAAATATGAGAGAAAATAGCTTTTGGGGCATATGGAACATATCTGGGATCTTTTATTTCAGTTCATGAAACATGGGACCAACACTTTACATGTTGCATTTATATTTTTGTTCAGTACACATATCAGTAAGTCTTTGTAAATGTTCTGTTGTCTCTACTTTGCTGTGTTATGACATCTGCCCGTTTTCCATCAATATAGAAATGTATTATTAGCATATACACTGCACAGCTTTGGTTTCATAAGAAACTGTGAGACTGCATTCTGAATATATTCTGCCTATGATATGGCTTATAATATTGTGCCCGTCTCCATATTTTTTTGCTATTTAATGACCCCTGTCCATATCATTGTGTGTAAAAACAAAGGTATTATGGTCAGTGTCCTAGTGTCACTCAGACCAGGCAAACAAGAAAGTGGCTGCTGAAAAAAAGGGAATGTGTGTTATCCCAGAGGAATGGATTTTAAGTCATTTTAGACTAATAAAACATCCTTGATAAATGTGAGTCTGTTTACTGTTGAATGTAAAACCTGCATAATCAGTTGATTCTTTTAGCTCAGTTGGTTACCTAATATTTGGACCACTATTACTATTACTGAACAAAAATATAAACGCAACAATTTCAATGATTTTACTGAGTTACAGTTCATATAAGGAAATCAGTCAATTGAAATACATTCATTAGACCCTAATCTATGGATTTCACATGACTGGGCTGGGGCGCAGCCATAGGCCCATCCACTTGGGAGCCAGGCCCAGCCAATCAGAATGAGTTTTTCCCCACAAAAAGGCTTAATTAAAGACAGAAATACTCCTGTTTCATAAACTGTCCGGGTGGCTGGTCTCAGATTATCCTGCAGGTGAAGAAGACACATATGGTGGTCCTGGGCTGGTGTGGTCTGCGATGGTGACGCCGGTTGGACGTACTGCCAAATTCTCTAAAATGACATTGGAGGCGGCTTATGGTAGAGAAATGAACGTTCAATTCTCTGGCAACAACTCTGGTGGACATTCCTGCAGTCAGCATGCCAATTGCACACTCCCTCAAAATGTAGACATCTGTGGCATTGTGTTGTGTAACCAAACTGCACATTTAAGGGTGGCCTTTTATTGTACCCAGCCATAATGAAATTATCATGCTGTTTAATCAGTTTATTGATATGCCACACCTGTCAGGTGGCTGGATTATCTTGGCAAAGGAGAAATGCTCACTAACAGGGATGTAAACAAATGTGTGCATTTGTGTTGTTGTTGAGAAATAAGCTTTTTGTGTGAATGGAAAATGTCTGGGTTATTGTATTTCAGCTCATGAAACATGGGACAAACACTTTACATGTTCCGTCTATATTTTTGTTCATTATAGAATGTCATTAGGTGCACTTGATTTATCTCATCAGGTGCGCAGGGTAAATTGAGTTTTTTAATTTAGACTCATTCTGCTGCATAAATGCAACCTCGGCTCATTCGGGGCGCCGTGCCAGCAATATCATGTGCGCGTACTCTTTCGACTACTGGGGGGGCGTGTGTCAAAGAAATGCGTGGTCAGCTGGCATTGGCTGAAACGATTTGTCCTATGCTTTTTTTCAATTAATTCGATTGGTTAGAAGTTGTTACGCGTTCTCTCGAGCTGCTTGCTATCCAATGAAAACCAGACATCTGTTCTGAACCGAGAGAAGAGCATCAGCAGCAAATAGCGGTATTTGAGGCTTGCCAGTTCAGGTTTTGAAGAAAAGGAATTTGACGAATATAGCGCGTAACAAGCCATAGCTATTTGTACTGCTACATGCAGTGTATATATAATTAATAGTATTTATATATAGCTATTTGTCTTTTCTATTTTAGAGGGTGGTAATTTGGCAAGCTGAAATGACAACCCAGTTGATGCTTTTGATGGCCCTATCGGTCGCATCAATTTTTGCCGAGTCCTCTGTTTATTTCCGAGAACAATTTGAAGATGGGGGTAAGTTATGCATAAATACTGAACCTACTAGTACTTGTTTTTATAATTGTTTTTGGAAATTGTAAATGTGATGATTAGACTACATATCATATGTTGGATGAGTGTCGCAGAGACACAACTTCATAGCCTGCTCACTTTATGCAAAATCTACTTGGCATGCTCAAAATATCATTCACATTTAGATGATATGTTCTGATTTAGTGATTACTCATCCAAAATACCATCAATGGGTTGCACGCACTGCCCCCTATCCCCTCCCTTTCCCAGAACAACTACTTAGTTCCTTAGCCCTTGCCAAGTGACTCTGCCCTCAGTGTTCAGGTGACTTACTCCTGATTTTGTATGACCATTTTGCAGATGCCTGGAAAAGCCGATGGGTGGAATCCAAACATAAGTCAGACTATGGGACGTTTGTTCTCACTGCTGGGAAATTCTATGGTGATGTAGAGAAAGACAAAGGTGAGACGAGATCAAAGGTACCTCTGTCTTGCATCCATTTTAGGATCCAGCAATAAGATTTGGTGCATCTAGCTGTTTCTCAATAGGTAATTTGAGCAGAGTTGCCCTTGGGTTGACTTGAGTTTTTGTGAAGTATTTCTTATGTGTTTAAAAAAAATTCAGGCCTTAAAACCAGCCAGGATGCTCGCTTTTACTCTGCATCCTCCCGCTTTGAGTCATTCAGCAACAAAGACCAGCCACTGGTAATCCAGTTCACTGTGAAACATGAACAGAACATTGACTGTGGTGGAGGCTACATCAAGCTGTTCCCAGCTGATCTCAACCAGGAGGAAATGCATGGAGATTCCACATACAACATCATGTTTGGTGAGTCTACATTATCCTATTGGTAAGCGAAAACATTGGAGAGTAGCCTACATATGTAAGGGTGGAATGGACCATTGTCATGTTCCATTCTATATTGAGCGTCCCCTAGGTATTGTTATCAGTTGCCTGTCTACTTTATACCACATGCTATTGTCTGTGTGAAGTTACATTCCTGTGGTTGTTTTGTCTGTCTTAGGTCCTGACATCTGTGGTCCAGGTACTAAGAAAGTTCATGTGATCTTCAACTACAAAGGCAAGAATCACTTGATCAACAAAGATATAAGATGCAAGGTAAGAAGCATTGTTGTGGTTCTGCTATAGCAGTTCTGCTATATTTTCTATTCAATGCTAGCAGTTGTATTTGTCTTCTATGAGCTTCACCATCTTATCTGTAGTAACATTTCTGCTGTCCCACCATTTTCTCAGTAGGACGTTTTAATAGTGTTGGACTTATAAATGGGTTAAAGAGACATTTATTATTTTGTTGCAGTTTCTTAATCAAATCATATCACAAACTAATGCGTTTTAGTTACTTGTTTTGTGGATAAAACCACCACCTTTAACAATTTTGCTTGTGTGTTCCCTAGGATGATGAGTATACCCACCTGTACACACTGGTAGTCAATCCGGATAACACCTATGAGGTGAAGATCGACAACAAGAAAGTAGAGTCTGGAAGCCTAGAGGAGGACTGGGACTTCCTTCCCCCCAAGAACATAAAGGACCCTGATGCTGAGAAGCCAGACGACTGGGATGAGAAGGAGAAAATGGATGATCCTGAAGACAAGAAACCAGAGGTACATTTAGAAGATACACAAAAGAATGCATCAGAACACCATTTTGTTTTCTGTGGAAAATGCAGATGACTATCAGTGCAAAGGACATTATTAAGCCGCTGTTTCTTTTAGGACTGGGATGTGGCTGAGAACATCCCTGACCCTGATGCCAAGAAGCCTGATGACTGGGATGATGAGATGGATGGTGAATGGGAGCCTCCCATGGTCACGAACCCCGACTATAAGGTAGGCCTCCATGGTTGTTTGTACTGATGGCCACAAGGATCAGGTGTGATTGTACTACACTAGGTGAGATGTCCTCTTGCCATTTTGACTAAGTTGTTTCTAGCTACTTGCTTGGATACTTAGTGTGAAAAAAATTATTTTGCATAGGGAAATAATGACTTTCTGACATTGTTTTTCCCAGGGGGAGTGGAAACCCAAACAGATTGACAATCCTGCCTACAAGGGGAAATGGGTGCACCCTGAAATTGACAACCCAGACTACACTGCTGACCCTGAAATCTACCAATATGCCAGCATGGGGGTGATTGGATTGGATTTGTGGCAGGTAGAGTTACTGACTCTGATCCTTGATTGAAGTGTGACGCTGTTTAATGTTTAACTTTTACTATTCTTTTGAGACTGTTTTTTGAGAATGAATAGATATTAACCAATGACCTTTTCATTATTTTACAGGTGAAGTCGGGCACTATATTTGACAATTTCCTCATCACCAATGACCCAAAACTTGCAGAAGAAGTGGGGAACGAGACATGGGGTGCAACAAAGGTTAGTCGATGGTCTCTAGTGATTTACCACCAAAACAGTTCCTGTTATTAGATTGAGTTGTCATATAATATGGCTTTTCTAAAAGGTGATGTGTGCAGTATCTCCTACCCTGTCAATAACTGGGCTTTTTTTCTGTATACACAGGACCCTGAAAAGAAGATGAAGGACAGTCTGGAAGAGGAGGAGAGAAAGAAACGTGAGGCAGAAGAGATTAATAAAAAGGATGAGGAAGATGAAGAAGATAAGGAGGAGGAGGAGGAAAAAGAGGAGGAGGAGGAAGAAGACTATGACGAGGAAGAAGAAGAAGAAGAAGAAGAAGAAGAGGACAAGGAGGAGGAAGAAACAGACTCTAAACTCAAGGATGAGTTATAAACTCAAACAGGAACTTCTGAAAAGAAACCCTGTCTGCTATGAGCCATTTGATCAAGGCTGAAGATTGGACTTTATTGGACATTCTGTTAGTCATTGAAGCTGCCCATTTATGTTTGGGTGGGGAAGGTATTGTTTTATTTACATGACAAGGGAATGGGTACAAACTGACTAAGCACAGCAATTATTTTGTTCTGTTTCCATGTGGTATGGGAGTTCAGATTTGTCAATGTTGGAGATGTTAGAAAGATGTTATCTTTAGATTTGAGACAAGCATTTTCTAGCAGTGGTGTTATGCCAGCAATTGTTTTTGATAAGTGAAATTTCTGGATGTTGTCATCTTCTCTCTGTAAACAATGCTCTACTGCTAACACTAAATTGTTTTTTTATTTAAGGATATTGACCATCTACAATTTCCTGACTAATCTTTACCTCAAATAGTGTTTTGTTTGTCTTTAATAATCTGACACATTTTTGTGCCTTTACCCCAAGGATGTATATAGCATTAACATGGAATCTCTCATCCCTTTTTTTCGTTTTGGACATGGTGTGAAAGTAATGCTTTTCCTTTTCAGCATAGTGCTGAGCGATTAACTGAAATGTCGACAATTTTTTTGGTTCTTAAACAACTAAGAGAAGGACGTTATTTGAATTCCATTTAGTTTTTTTCCTCAATGCGCACATTGAAGTTTCTCTAAAGATAAATCTGATCCAGCCTGAACTGTATGATGTAGTAGGGAGTTGTAGTTTCCAACAGGCCAATACTCTACATAGTGCATAGAACATGTTTTTTTTAAAACTAAACTACAATGACCATAATCCATTGCGCATCTACTTGTCCGGTCTGTTTATTTTATGCCTGCCACGGAAGAGGCAGAAGAATGCGAGATCGTGAGGGGATATAGAGAGCAGCTGTTGCTCCGCGAGGTATATCTACCTGAAAATACATTATCTAAGTGTTAGTTGGTATTCAGCAGTCATAAAGGTATGCCTTATTTACTTTGAATAACTACACAATAGTTATTTTGTGTAGATGGCGTATGCAGCAGCTCTGTAGAGATGAGAAGATGACTTGGAATGAAATAGTCGTCAAATAAAACAAATGTAATATGCACAACTGAAATGTAATGTGAATAAATTATGGTTAAGTGATAAGCAGTAACGAACAGTCACCACCATCATGGGACTTTTATTAATTGTTTCATTCTGTTACAGCATTCAACCCAAATAATCGAAATAGAAAACCATGATTATTTTTAAATAATCAAACCGGAACCGACCTCAAAGCACTAATCATTCAGCACTATTTCAGCACAAATGTGTGTTGGTTTAGGGTCACTGTGTACTGAGTTTTCACTAATGGAACTACTCAAGCGAACTCAGGCTACCGTAAATCAAATGTTATGAAAAATAACACAAATTATCAGATTACATTTATAAAGCCGTTCAGCTTTCTAAAACACTAAGCAGGAGGGAGTGATCCCTGTCAATTGATATGTTTATCTTGGGGTCAATGTATGTTGTATGTTGCTGTACCCTCAAGACTTGTCCCAAGCTGATTGGAAGTTGGCCATTTTGTAAAACTTATTTTGTACTGGGGAGAATATTGATTGATGATAATTTGATTGTGCAATAAATAAATTATGATACACAGATTACTGTCCAAGAATAAAACATAAAGGAAGTGACTCAATTATTGTTGCTTTCTCTCAGTCCTCATTCTTATTTTTGGTATATTGTTCCCCAATTGTGTGTGTCGCGTAATTTGAGGCGGGTAAATTAATACTGTAGAATAGATCATCTGAGCAACTTCACTTTACCAGTGGATAGTTTTGCAGCGTTGCAGGCAGCCATTCTTTGACCCGCATACATTCGTTCATCTCACTCACATCAGCGGGCGCACTTCTGCAGTGCCATCTGACGTAGCTGAGTGAACAACCCATTCCAGTACAATAACGCCAGCGCCAGGTTTTAAAGCCATCTCTAATCTATCGCAACCATACCTCAGTGATCGCACCGCAGAATGAAGTAGCTAGTGGGAATAGAAACACTATGGCTGCCAGTCTCTCCCTGACTCAGGTAACCATGTATTTTAACTCAAAACTAATTGTGATTAGTGTGTAGGTGTCTTCTTGTTGTGCCAATTAATTTGAGGACTGTCGGTGGATTTTGACATTAAAACGGGTGTGCCCCGCGGTCTCTTTAACTCTTTGATTTGGAAGTTCTTCCCAACCTAGCTAGCTAGCTATGACTGGGAAAAGTTTTGCCTCGTCTCTTGGGGACTGCATAAGTAAGGGCGTAGTTAGCTAGCTAGGCTAACAGTAGCTACTTGTGTAGTGTCAATTTCGGAATGGGTTGGATAAGTTGTTAGCTAGCTAGCTAGAACTTTTGCGTACAGTAAAGTAGTTTGTTTCTTTTGATTCTATTAACTTAATTGCCTTTGCTGAATCTTGAAATAAAAGTACTGTCGATAAGAAAAAAGTGAATTTGCTGTTCCCCATGGTGTTGTTCGACTGTCAAAATTGCTTTGCAATAGGAACGTTAGCTAGCTAACTAATGATACCAGTTTGCACTCAAAGTAGTATGCTGTGTGAACTAGTCAGCTAGCTAGCCAGTTTAGTAAAGCTAGCTAGCTTAGCAAAGCTAGCTAGTCAGTTAGTTAGCAACATAGAGTTGGCTAGATAGCTGCAACCCACTTTAGCTACTCGCTGGGTTAGTTAACGTTATTGTATTGGGTAGGGGATATAAAGTCAGCGTTATGTAGCTAACTAGCTATCCAGTTGTAATAGTTTGCATTGTCAGTTTAGATTTTTTTTAATTAAATTTGTTAGCTTCCTATCATCACAGCTAGCTAGTGAGAAGAGGAACTAGCTGCCCGTTGTCCGATATGATACCTCTGCCACACACTGGCCAGCTATGCTGCAGACCTATGTTTTGGTTATCATATTGACATTTAGGATAGGTTGTATGGCTTATAAATTGTGAGTGTGGAAATTATTTGCCAGTGTTGTATTGCTATTAGCTAAATTTACTAGTTTAGCCAACATCCTGACTATGGTCAAGGACTGTCATCTGATGATATTGTTATTCTCAGCTAACTACATATTTTGACTGAATCATGCTTGCTTTAGCTATACATGTTACTAACTAGCTATGTAATTATGCAATGATTCATATCTTTGTCTTATGGATTTTACAATTTCTCACTATATGCAGTGACATGTTCTTTACCTAGGCTAAGCTATAACTGACCAAAATGTGGAGTTTAGTCAGCTAACCAAAAGATTGGGGCTGTTAGCTACACTTTGTGCAATTTCTTGGCAGCTAGTTTCTTTTATGCCTGTTATGTTAGGTTACTAGACAGCAGGGCTGTGCAGAGGAAGATAAGGGATAGGACAATAAAGTACTCAAGACACACCAGCACAGTATAGTATCTGCTGCGGTTTTGTGAAGAGAATGATTGGGAGTGTTCACTGCTGTGCAATTAGTCACACAAAGATTGTGTTTAGGCCGCCAACACTTCCAGTCACACAATTGTTTGCAAAAGAAAATGGGGAGGGGAGGGCTGGGGAAAGGTAAATAGTGAATAATTATCAGATTATGAATTGACTATTAAAGTATGAGGCAATGTCATTATGTGCTTTTCAATGAGCTAGATCTATATGTTTTATAAAGCCTTTATAATCATCATATGCTATTGTAAAGTTGCACTTTGTTCAAATTTGACATTAACATTTGATTTAGTAAAAGTACAGAGAAGAGCATGTCCAATATTGAGCCTATTCACAGAAACAGCTCTTACTGGTACAACACTCTCATTGTGGATGCATCATCAGAAACCACAGGAAGTAAATATCAGGAAGTCCAGCTCATCAGCAGACTATACCCCCCACCCATCCCTTTATTACATTACTTGAGAGGAGCCATTTGTACTAGAACAGTAAACAAGATGCTATAGTGCCTGTCTCGTTTATATTATCATAGGCAGATGACTGTCTTCTCCTGATCTGATTGTATACATAGGCTAGGCTATTTGTTTGATTCATTGTGTAAAATATGTGCTAGTGTAGGCTACTTCGTTTAGCCTGTTCGTTGGACTAAGCTTTCTACTTTTCAAACAACTTGGTTTCCAGAGGCACACACAGTACTGATGTACACATTGCCAGCCTGTGGATGTATTAGCCTAAATGGCATTCAAACACTGTCTTGGTATTTCATGAAAGAGTAACTGGAATAGACACACTGAGTAATAACTATTAAGATGAACATGATGGGACTGGATAAGAGCGTCTGCTAAATGACGTAAATGTAAATGCGAAATGCTCAGAGTAAACCTATTGATTTCCTGAAGAGTAAATATTCCTGTCTGTAGTGTATTTGCCTTAATTTTTGGCAGCTGTAATGGCAATGTACTACAGCTTTGGCCAGAAGTCAAACAACCACTTGTGGATCTCAGCTAGTTGGTCTACTGTGAGTGTACTGTGTTCTAGACAGTGGACTGGTTATTTAACTAGCTGATGCTTGCACAGATTGAGATGTAGGCTTAGACCTAGCTTTATTTAACGGCTTATCTTTTTCTATTCAGAAGTCCTATCCTATGCTTTCTAGCTTTTGCAGTTTGGTTGATGTTGGCGGTTTTTATGATCAGAAAATGTATGTAGTATTTTATGTCTATCTCCACAGCTCTCAAGTGGAAATCCTGTCTATGAAAAATACTATCAACAGGTAAGGGGTCTTTTTCTGATTTATTATTGTGAAAAGCCTATGGGCAGATTCCATGATTTACTAAAGCAGGTAGTACCTAGGTTTTAAGCTGAGTAAAAGAGAATCTGTCCTTTCGATGGTCTGTCAGGGCTGTTCAGATGAGGACACCAGATAGAATTGGAAATGCTGTTCCGCATTAGCTAGCAACTGCAGAGCTGCGCTGAACATGTCTCCAGGCTTTTCTCCACTCTGTGATCTACTCTGTGCTAGAGGAAGCTTCTTTATGAATTAATGATAACTATTTGCTAACCCTGGCAGTGCAGGCTCTAAGAGGGCTAAGTAAAATGGTTAGACACTGCAATGGGAAAATGTGATGGATTAAGGCCTCCCATGATCTCAAAGTATTAGCCTATACTCAAGCGTACCTGTTTATTCAATGGAATGGAATCTTATTTGGTGCTAAATCAGCACAAACTGGCTGGAGATCTGGTGCTTTTACTGGCTAGTTCTTCTTTCTAGTGTTTACTTGTTTTGCCCGGTGGTGTAGGTTGACCCGTCTGGTAGTGGACGGGTGGCAGCTGCTGATGCAGCCTTGTTCCTGAAGAGATCAGGCCTAGCAGACCTCGTCCTGGGCAAGGTAAGATAAGAGGACACAGCTCATGGCCAGACATCAAGCTATGGAACTTATCCAGTATGGTAGTTTGTGGGAATCTCTGTGTGACTGATGTCATTTAACTGATTTAAAAATCTCTTCTTAGATCTGGGATTTGGCAGATTCAGAACGCAAGGGGTGCCTTAACAAACAGGTAGGCCAACTTTTAGGTAGTAGATTTCCAATGTCATGTTAGAAGTATTCCAAAGATTCCTTGAATGAAGTAAGGTTTATGACATAACCACAATATACTTATTGTCTCTGCTCCCATCAGCAATTCTTCATTGCTCTCCGGTTGGTGGCCTGTGCCCAAAATGGACTGGAGGTGGCACTCAAGAGTCTCAGTTTGGCAGCCCCCCCCCCAAAGTTTGTGAGTACAATCATCACTGACACCAAGACGAAAACCTGCCAACTTTATCATGCTGACAACTTTTTACTGCCTTTTCCTTATATCTGAAAGGTATTGCTGGTAACAAAGCCTGTACTTTCGTTTGCACCAACTGCCTCAGTATAAAACATCGCCTTTCATCTTACCGGCTTTGGCACGCATTAAATCTTGAAAGTTCTATTATTGTCCGACATCAAACTTGTCCTCGTTAATCACAAAGCTTCACAGAAATGCTTTTAATGCATTTATTCTCTCAATTTAAATGTGTGTGTGTGTATATATATATACTGAACAAAAATATAAACCCAACATGTAAAGTGGTGGTCCCATGTTTCAGGAGCAGAAATAAAGATCCCAGATATGTTCCATACGCACAAAAAGCTTATTTGTCTCAAATTTTGTGCACAAACATCCCTGTTAGTGAGCATTTCTCCTTTGCCAAGATAATCCATCCACCTGACAGGTGTGGCATATCAAGAAGCTGATTAAACAGCATGATCATTACACAGGTGCACCTTGTGCTGTGGACAAACAAATATGAAAATGAATGCACTCACTACTGTAAGTCGCTCTGGATAAGAGCATCTGCTAAGTGACTAAAATGTAAAAATAGGACAATAAAAGGCCACTCTAAAATGTGCTGTTTTGTCACACAACACAATGCCACATATGTCTCAAGTTTTGAGGGAGTGTGAAATTGGCATGCTGACTGCAGGAATGTCCACCAGAGCTGTTGCCAGATAATTAAATGTTCATTTCCCTACCATAAGCCGCCTCCAACATCGTTTTAGAGAATTTGGTAGTACGTCCAACCGGCATCACAACCGCAGACCACGTGTAACAACGCCAGCCCAGGACCTCCACATCAGGCTTCTTCACCTGTGGGATCGTCTGAGACCAGCCACCCAGACAGCTGATGAAACTGTGGGTTTGCACAATCGAAGAATTTCTGCACAAACTGTCAGAAACTGTCTCAGGGAATTATCCTTAATATAAAATATGTGTGTTGACTGTGATCAGGGCATGGGAATGTAAATGTAGTGTCTGTTTAATAAACTAAATAACGTGCAATTGATTTCATTTGCATGGCACAGCCATGTCGCCTATAGGCTGCACAGACAAGTAACATCATTAAACTCAAAATATGCTATTCTATTCTTTTGAAAATAAATGTTCTTAGTCTTAATGTTTCTTAAGACCTGCCTAAATGACTTCATAATTTATTTATTTGTGTTGGTGTATATTCAAGGGATTTATTCAAATAGACACCTACCCGCATTGGCACACTCCTACTCCCACTCCTCACCGGTGGCGGCATGCGCATGGGATGTGTAAAAGGCTTATACATTTACATTTTAGTAATTTAGCAGAAGCCTTATTCCGGCAAGAATGTTGTAAAAATGGGACTGTTTGAAAGGGGATCATGTAAACATTGGCCGAATTTTTTTTTTTTGTAAAAAATATTTTTATTTTATTATTATTTTTACAGGCAGCATACTGTAAATCCTGTATGTAATAAGCAAATGTTTGGTTTATAAGCCAAGTTTATACGTTTATGGGCTTTGAGCTGAAAAGGTCACCTTTGTTGATGATGCAACGCCTTTTCTCCTCAGCATGACACAAGCAGCCCACTTCTACCTGGGGGAGTGTCCATTGATGGCCCATGGGTGGTCAAGGTGAGGGGAACTTATTACTATTTCTTTAAGAGTGTAGCCTGGTCATTTTGTCCTGTTCCCTTTATAATGAAAGCAGAAACAAAGAGTGGATGACACATTTTATTTGAACATTTACCTCATTCAAATCCATTTTTCAAAGCCATTTAAGGGGAGTGCTGAACTTCGCAAAATCCACCTGATTACTTTTATCTGAAGTAGAAATTATGCTTGAATCATGCACCTATATCATGTCTCTATATGACTTTCCAGACGGAAGAGAAGCTGAAATTTGATGCCATCTTCGACAGCCTCTCCCCCGTTAGTGGCATGCTCTCTGGGGAGAAGGTCAAACCAGTTTTGCTGAACTCTAAACTTCCAGTGGACGTACTGGGAAGGGTAAGCAGCATATCATATCTACAGGGCTCATAATTAATTAGTTTTGGTGGCCATCAGAGTAAATGCGTATGCCCAGTTGTCCACTGGGTGGTGGTCTTGTGTTTTTAAACACAGCCGCTGCTTTTAAAAGGCTTGACTGGGTTGTTATTTGTGACATAACATTGATCTGCTTTTAGTCTACGACTGGTCTATTTTACCGACTAGATAAATGTTTTGAACTCATTGCTAAATGTACTGAATTCCCTAAATGTTGCAGGTATGGGAACTGAGTGACCTAGACAGAGATGGTATGCTCGACCGAGATGAGTTTGCTGTGGTAAGGAATATATTTATCATTAAAGTGGAAAGGAATGAGGAAAGTCATGCAGTAGAAATGTAGTCTGTCAATAACAGCCAACTTGTTTTTATATATATATATATATATATATATATATATTTATTACACTGCCCTTGATGAGCCCATGTTCTGGATAGCCTTCTCCAGCTTTTATTTATATTTCATCAATATTTGTTTGCACTCATGTACACTTGGCTTCAAGGTGTCCTTGCTTTCTATCAAGGATCCTGTATCTCAAAATGGAGCACTGTTTGAATCAGGGTTGCGCTATATTTGAAGTTCTCACATTTAATGAACGCATGCACTTATGTAATGGCCAGATGCTTGCTGTCAAATCTTTAGGATGTGGCAAGGCTGAAATGTGGACTGTAAGATTTAGTGTGTGCTTCTCAAATAAAATACTTTTTTTGTAAATATTGGACTTCCCTGATCTTATATTGAAATGACATGATAGGCAGATTTATGTATGTGTATTTATGTCTGTTCTGCTCTATTAGGCCATGTACCTGGTCTACAGAGCTCTGGAGGGGGAGCCCGTGCCCATGTCTCTACCTGCTCCTCTAGTGCCCCCCTCCAAGAGGAAAAAGCCCACTGTCTCTGTACCCCCTGTGATGCCCCTTTTACCCTCACCCCCCTCCATCAAAGAGAGCCGTTCCTCCCTTTCAGGGTCCAAAACCCTGCCCTCCAAACCAGCAGTGACCCCAGTCACAGTGAGTATAATATTCATCCCAGTATGAAGGTATGAAAGTGGGACGGCAAGACCTAATCCATATCTCTATAACCATCCTGTCCCCTCTGTCTCTTCAGTGGGCTGTATCTCCTCCAGACAAAGCCAAGTATGACGAGGTGTTTGCAAAGACAGCTCTTGACGTGGATGGGCTGGTGTCTGGGCCTGAAGTCAGAGATATCTTCTTAAAGACTGGCTTGCCCTCTGCCACACTAGCACACATCTGGTAAGATTCAGGGAACAGTTTCTTAGATAACATGGGGTGCCTGGCTGCCTGCACTTGAATTTACTAATGTAACATGGACATTGGTTATACAGGGCTGCTTTCTGGACCCTGAGTAAGCCAATTCCTGGCCTAAAAATAAGAAGATTTTCCATTGAGCAGGTCTAGCCTTCATATGGGTCTGTGAAACCGGCCCATAGTTTTAGTCAATTTTATGCCCATTGCCGGAAGGGTAAATGGATCTTTTAGTTGTGTAATGTGGTCAACTGTGTTCCACAGGGAGCTCTGTGACATTGGGGACATGGGGAAGCTAACCAGGGAACAGTTTGCGCTAGCGCTGCATCTAATTAACCAGAAACTGACCAAGGGTGTGGACCCACCCCAGAACCTCTCTCCTGAAATGATCCCTCCCTCAGACAGACTGAGCCTAGCAGCCACGCAGGTAACTCATTCCTATCATCCTGTACCATTTAACCCCCTCTTAGACATCCAATAATCACAAACTGTGAATATCTTGTTTGAATCGGGTGTATTTCTCTATAAAGAATGACTAGGAGTTGTGTATTTTGATGAATAGGCTACTTGATGGTGATGTAGATTTGAAAACTGATATTTCCTGACGTTTTACTAATCGTTTCCTTCCCTTCTCCTGTGGTGTGGGTTTTTGTGTTCTAGCTTGCTGCTGTGTCTCTGACCCTGTCTGTGTATGCTGTCTCTTTGCGTTCTTCCTCATGACTCATGCATTGTACACAAGGTGGGATCTCCCTCTAGCTGGGGACTCCTGAGTGTTAGCTTCACTGTGTCTCCCGCTTAACCCCTGGCAGTGTCACCCACCCATGTACCTACCCCTTCCTACCCTTTGTTTTTCTCCTAGTTCAAGTAGTCATTTTAGTGCCCTCCTTATCCATCTGTGTTTGCATGTAGATGTGCTTTCAGTGTTCATGCATTTCTTAATCTCCCATCTTGTATGGGTAATTTTGTGCATCTTATATATTCAGCAAAATGGGTTTGATTTAACTGGCGAGATTAAATCAGTTGCCATTTTAGCTGGAGGCTCATATTTACGTTATTCCACGTCGTGTTTGCCATTCTGTCAATTTAATGTTTAGACATTGTGTATATGTTGTAGGGTCAGTAAAGCGCGTGAATGTAAACAAATCGTTTGCTTTGAATGATCTCTCCCCACCAGAGCAACGCAGCAAATCTGGCAGCAGACTTTTCTGCCATCAAGGAACTGGACTCACTCAGCAATGAGATTGTCGACCTACAAAGGTGAGTGGCAATCATCAGAGTTGCAGGGCTCTACGCTGACCAAGGAGCATGTGTCATTTGAGGTAATAAAGCTAGAATCCTTAATTTTTCAAGGCCCACTGGTGCTCCTAAATAAACATTCTAGGTCGCACAGCAAAATATTTAGACGCATATCCTTGTAAAATGATCACACTGTAGAGCGCTAAGTTGTATTCGTCCATGTACCCAATTGTATTTGAGAGATGGGTTAGCTCTGGCTTTTTGTTGGTGTGTTGGAGCAAATACAGTGGGGAAAAAAAGTATTTAGTCAGCCACCAATTGTGCAAGTTCTCCCACTTAAAAAGATGAAAGAGGCCTGTAATTTTCATCATAGGTACACGTCAACTATGACAGACAAATTGAGATTTTTTTTTCCAGAAAATCACATTGTAGGATTTTTTATGAATTTATTTGCAAATTATGGTGGAAAATAAGTATTTGGTCACCTACAAACAAGCAAGATTTCTGGCTCTCACAGACCTGTAACTTCTTCTTTAAGAGGCTCCTCTGTTCTCCACTCGTTACCTGTATTAATGGCACCTGTTTGAACTTGTTATCAGTATAAAAGACACCTGTCCACAACCTCAAACAGTCACACTCCAAACTCCACTATGGCCAAGACCAAAGAGCTGTCAAAGGACACCAGAAACAAAATTGTAGACCTGCACCAGGCTGGGAAGACTGAATCTGCAATAGGTAAGCAGCTTGGTTTGAAGAAATCAACTGTGGGAGCAATTATTAGGAAATGGAAGACATACAAGACCACTGATAATCTCCCTCGATCTGGGGCTCCACGCAAGATCTCACCCTGTGGGGTCAAAATGATCACAAGAACGATGAGCAAAAATCCCAGAACCACATGGGGGGACGTAGTGAATGACATGCAGAGAGCTGGGACCAAAGTAACAAAGCCTACCATCAGTAACACACTACGCCGCCAGGGACTCAAATCCTGCAGTGCCAGACGTGTCCCCCTGCTTAAGCCAGTACATGTCCAGGCCCGTCTGAAGTTTGCTAGAGTGCATTTGGATGATCCAGAAGAGGATTGGGAGAATGTCATATGGTCAGATGAAACCAAAATAGAACTTTTTGGTAAAAACTCAACTCGTCGTGTTTGGAGGACAAAGAATGCCGAGTTGCATCCAAAGAACACCATACCTACTGTGAAGCATGGGGGTGGAAACATCATGCTTTGGGGCTGTTTTTCTGCAAAGGGACCAGGATGACTGATCCGTGTAAAGGAAAGAATGAATGGGGCCATGTATCGTGAGATTTTGAGTGAAAACCTCCTTCCATCAGCAAGGGCATTGAAGATGAAACGTGGCTGGGTCTTTCAGCATGACAATGATCCCAAACACACCGCCCGGGCAACGAAGGAGTGGCTTCGTAAGAAGCATTTCAAGGTCCTGGAGTGGCCTAGCCAGTCTCCAGATCTCAACCCCATAGAAAATCTTTGGAGGGAGTTGAAAGTCTGTGTTGCCCAGCGACAGCCCCAAAACATCACTGCTCTAGAGGAGATCTGCATGGAGGAATGGGCCAAAATACCAGCAACAGTGTGTGAAAACCTTGTGAAGACTTACAGAAAACGTTTGACCTGTGTCATTGCCAACAAAGGGTATATAACAAAGTATTGAGAAACTTTTGTTATTGACCAAATACTTATTTTCCACCATAATTTGCAAATAAATTCATTAAAAATCCTACAATGTGATTTTCTGGAAAAAAAATTCTCATTTTGTCTGTCATAGTTGACGTGTACCTCTGATGAAAATTACAGGCCTCTCTCATCTTTTTAAGTGGGAGAACTTGCACAATTGGTGGCTGACTAAATACTTTTCCCCCCCACTGTAACTACCCCTCTCTGAAGTAGGCCTCGCTTTGTCTCACCACATTGGACTATTTCTGGCAATACACGGTACAGTTGTAATGGTGTAAGTGGAATCTTGTCTAAAGAGACCCACACACACGTTCCTGTTGAGGTGTGTTTTGCTGTCTAATGCCAGAGCAGATGGGGGGAGATGGGAGGCTTACCAGCTGTCCTGGGACTGGGAGGCTGAGTGAGGAAGGAGAGAAGAGGGTCTCCAGAGGTTCGGTCTCTCTGTCTCTGTCTCTCTCTCTCGGTCTCTCTCGGTCTCTCTCGGTCTCTCGGTCTCTCTCTCTCTCTCTCTCTCTCTCTCTCGGTCTCTCTCTCTCTCGGTCTCTCTCTCTCTCTGATGAGGGCTGACGGGGCATTTGGGGATGCTGGGAGGGTTGGTAACGCAGCTCATTAAGACTAACACTGGGATAGGCTTTTCCCTCTCTGTTTGAATTGAGGAAGTGCAGACCATCTTTTATCAGCTGCATACACATCCCATAGCTGCCCCACTACAGACATAACAGCAGCAAGATCACAGGGGAAATGAAATGGGTTTCTTTACAGTTTGTTGTTGTTACACTTCCCTTTTCTGGTAAGGAAAGAGTGAGAAAATAAGTGTGAAAGTAGTAGTCTTAATCAGTATCTGCATAGCAGCTGTACGTTTTGAAGTTTATTAGGCAAGATTAGGAGAAAATGAGAAGGATTTTAGATTCAGATTGAGGATAGGACAGGAAGCAGCAAATATGTTTGTTTTTCGGTATTGCTGTAAGTGTCAACGACAAGTTGCTGCTGTCCCTGGAGGAAGGTAAGCATGCGCTACCCTTTTGGAGGGGCCATGGAGGAAGGTAAGCATGCGCTACCCTTTTGGAGGGGCCATGGAGGAAGGGAAGCATGCGCTACCCTTTTGGAGGGGCCATGGAGGAAGGGAAGCATGCGCTACCCTTTTGGAGGGGCCATGGAGGAAGGGAAGCATGCGCTACCCTTTTGGAGGGGCCATGGAGGAAGGGAAGCATGCGCTACCCTTTTGGAGGGGCCATGGAGGAAGGGAAGCATGCGCTACCCTTTTGGAGGGGCCATGGAGTAAGCGGTGTATTCTTCAGCTGAGAGCAAGAGGGGTGAGGGTGTCATAGATTTAGACTGGCTGTCTGAAACCAGAATTCTGTTATTTTGGGCTGTTAAATTGGGAGAGATGCTCCTAGGTGCATGGGATGTCTACAGAAGTCGTTTCTGGATAGTTGCCAGTCAGGGCATCTAAATTATACAGTCAGTGAAGTCGGTACTCCTGACTCGCACATCTCCTACCTCACTTCAGCTTCTCGCTCCACTGGTCCTACACCATGTCTCTACATGTTTGGCTGTTGGTTGAAACGAAAGGCGGACAGATGAATTCTTCATGTTGATCAAAACAACATTATTATGAATTATATTTGATTAATGTGAACTGTGGAAATGCGAATGGAAAAAACATACTTGGCATTTTTTCATTGTTTGAGTGAATAATTTTTTACGTTTACTATTCTATTGGCCAGCCTTTTGGCACATTTGATGTTCTACCTTGCTAAATGAATGGCATTGTTATTGCCATTTGATAAAGATCCAGGAGAAAGATTTGGACTTGGTAGGGAGAGCAGATTATCCGAAGAGGCCCCGCCTATTGTGCAAATGTTCCCACTTACAATGAGGGGAAAAAAGTATTTGATCCCCTGCTGATTTTGTACATTTGCCCACTGACAAAGAAATTATCAGTCTATAATTTTTATGGTAGGTTTATTTGAACAGTGATAGACAGAAATGTTATACATTGATTTGCATTTTAATGAAGGAAATAAGTATTTGATCCCTCTGCAAAACATGACTTAGTACTTGGTGGCAAAACCCTTGTTGGCAATCACAGAGGTCAGAAGTTTCTTGTAGTTGGCCACCAGGTTTGCACACATCTCAGGAGGGATTTTGTCCCACTCCTCTTTGCAGATCTTCTGCAAGTCATTAAGGTTTCGAGGCTGACGTTTGGCAACTTGAACCTTCAGCTCCCTCCACAGATTTTCTATGGGATTAAGGTCTGGAGACTGGCTAGGCCACTCCAGGACCTTAATGTGCTTCTTCTTGAGCCACTCCTTTGTTGCCTTGGCCATGTGTTTTGGGTCATTGTCATGCTGGAATACCCATCCACGACCCATTTTCAATGCCCTGGCTGAGGGAAGGAGGTTCTCACCCAAGATTTGACAGGTACATGGCCCCGTCCATCGTCCCTTTGATGCGGTGAAGTTGTCCTGTCCCCTTAGCAGAAAAACACCCCCAAAGCATAATGTTTCCACCTCCATGTTTGACGGTGGGGATGGTGTTCTTGGGGTCATAGGCAGCATTCCTCCTCCTCCAAACATGGCGAGTTGAGTTGATGCCAAAGAGCTCGATTTTGGTCTCATCTGACCACAACACTTTCACCCAGTTCTCCTCTGAATCATTCAGATGTTCATTGGCAAACTTCAGACGGGCCTGTATATGTGCTTTCTTGAGCAGGGGGACCCTGCGGGCGCTGCAGGATTTCAGTCCTTCACGGCATAGTGTGTTACCAATTGTTTTCTTGGTGACTATGGTCCCAGCTGCCTTGAGATCATTGACAAGATCCTCCCGTGTAGTTCTGGGCTGATTCCTCACCGTTCTCATGATCATTGCAACTCCACGAGGTGAGATCTTGCATGGAGCCCCAGGCCGAGGGAGATTGACAGCTCTTTTGTGTTTCTTCCATTTGAAAATAATCGCACCAACTGTTGTCACCTTCTCACCAAGCTGCTTGGCGATGGTCTTGTAGCCCATTCCAGCCTTGTGTAGGTCTACAATCTTTTCCCTGACATCCTTGGAGAGCTCTTTGGTCTTGGCCATGGTGGAGAGTTTGGAATCTGATTGAGTGTGCTCCTATTCTCAGCTCGTTACCTGTATAAAAGACACCTGGGAGCCAGAAATCTTTCTGATTGAGAGGGGGTCAAATACTTATTTCCCTCATTTAAAATGCAAATTAATTTATAACATTTTTGACATGCGTTTTTCAGGATTATTTTGTTATTCTGTCTCTCACTGTTCAAATAAACCTACCATTAACATTATAGACTGATCATGTCTTTGTCAGTGGGCAAACGTACAAAATCAGCAGGGGATCAAATACTTTTTTCCCTCACTGTATCCCAATCCTCTGCTCCCTCTGTTTTACCTTGTCATCTGACCATGCAGGAAAGGGATGGGATGGGAGGATGAACAGACAGGGAAACGAACGATGGGAGGTATAGAGCTTCATCCCTCCCCCTTTCTCTCTAAGCTGAATCATCTGACACTTCCTCCAGGCAGCCACACACAGTCCTACCCCTCTCTCTCTGCTCTCCCATCTGCCAGAACACACACACACACAGACCCTCTCTCGCTCAAGGCTGTTGCTGCATGCATTGGTCATTCGGTGTGGTCTGCTACAGGATCAGGATGGTAGTGCAGGGAGAGGAGCTGTCGTCTGGGGCTGGGGAAGATTGTAGAGATGGTGGTGGGGTGGTAGCCTGGCTGGGGGTGCCCTCGGTCTCCACGGTGATTAAATACTCATGTCTGCTGTGCTGGTCTTCCAGGGAGAAGAGCAACGTGGAACAGGAAATTAAAGAGCAGGAGGAGAGCATCAGAGAAAGGACCAGTGAAGTCCAGGTACAGTAAACGTGCTGCCTGCATGCCTCAACTCTCTCACTGCCCTTCTATTGTTTCAGTTCATTTCATCCACTTCATGACTGTGTTGTCTGTAAATTGATTTTCTATTGGTTTTATAAATACATTTTCTTATGTCAAATCAGTCTACTGTTCAGCTGCTCTTGTTGAATTTGTTAGAGGTGGTCTGCTTGAATCTGTTAGGCTATGAAGCTATGGCTGAGCAGCAGAGACAAACATACCCTCCCTGTCTGAGTCAGAGCCACTGGTTCTATATACATCTATATTGCACCATGTTGACGTTGATGTTTTATGATGTTGATGATCTCAATTGCGCGAGCTGAACTGATGCGATGTAGCCTCAAGCTGTATAGTTCTTGCTTCAGTGATACATTTTGACAGAATTACCTCCATGTTATGATCAAGGATATAAATTGATTTATTAATATAACCTATTTAGAGGAAGTGCATACATTATTTACCATTCATTTCTATTGGGCACAAAATTATCTGAAACAAACAGCAAATGCATCCAACAAGGTTGTAGAGTCACAAGCTTGATGTAATCATTGCGTGCTAGGAATATCGGACCAAATGCTAAACCTTTGACTACTTTATTATACCGATAATTGAAAAATCTGTCAATGTGCCCTTGAGCAAGGCACTTAACCCTAATTGCTCCTGTAAATCGCTCTGGATAAGAGCGTCTGCTAAATGACTAAAATGAAAATTTGCCCCAATACTTTTGGTCCCATAAAATGGAGGGCACTATGTACAACAAGTGCTGTAATTTCTAAACGGTTCACCCGACATGGATGAAAATACCCTCAAATTGAAGCTGACAGTCTGGACTTTAACCTCCATAGTTATTGTATAATTTCAACAAATGTGTCACTGTCCCAATACTTTTGGATCTAACTGTATATTAAATTATACTTTCATATCCTGTAATCTGGGTCTGGCTATCTTATTATTTTATGCAAATGCATTTTTTTGAAAGTATCACGTGTTCTTGAATAAGCCAGTACCATAGCAGAGGGGTATCCGCTGTAAACCTGATACCAGTCTCTATTTAGTCATTACTGGCTGTATGAATGTCAGGTTTAATTATCTCATCCTCTCAGGTCCTGTTCTCTATTGACCCACTCGCTCTGAGAGTACTTCATTAACATTTTAAACCCTTGTACACCTTTTATATTGCCAGTCTTGGCCACACTTGAACCCAAGTGAGCAAACTGTGTAGGAATATGGCAATATCACCCTGCATTGAATATTTAGTTATTTTCTGCTGTGTATTTGTGAAAGGCTGCGCTTTCTCTGGTACTGTTTGCCATTGGTGTGAAAGGCTGTCATTAGACGGACAGCACTGTTTCCTCACCCAAGGGTTCACCTCAGCAATGCCCAGTCACTGCCAATTAGCCAGAATTAATATATTAATAATGGGAAAACTAGTCTGTTTTTCAATAGGTATATGAGCAACTGAGATTGGATTATACAGTGAATATTAAGGCCAATGAGTAGTATTCAATAACTATTTAACATTTGCACAGTGATCAGGAATAATTCTCCCTACAGTACATGTAAAGTAAATCAGTACTGTAATTGCTGAATATTAAGTATTCTAAGCAAATAGGGATCAATAAACTATTAGCTTTTTAATAGGCTAGCCTTGAATCCTTGGTACTTGTAGCACTCACACTTTAATGATTAGGAGATGAGGGCAGGAGTGCCTTGCCACTGTGCTGGAGTTGGTCTGATAAATGGCTTCTATTTTGGGCTGCGACTGCCTGGCTGCTTTAAACAGACAGAGCTTAGTGCAGCAGCTCCTCTGAAGAAACGGAGGAAGACATTCATCTGTTGTTCATCCCTCAGAGCCTGTGCTGAGGAGTGGCTGATTACACACACTTCCTCGAGAAACATCATGTGGGCATAAACACTAAGTGTGATGGTACTTTGGTGAAGCGCACGTTGATTTTTTTTATTCTGCTGCGGTGGAGCACCTCGTCAAGGCTGAGCTAGTTTTTTTTTTAAATATCTGTCACTATATTCTGGCAGTCATAATGGATTGACTCTGACTCCTCTCTGCACACTCTGCTCAGTCAAACGCTACTCCCACATGTGTGCCTCTGCTCCTTTTCTCACGTCTTTCTCTGGATGTTGTGACTGTTATCCCTGCCCTCCTCAGGAACTGCAGAATCAGGTGCAGAAGGAGAGCGGGGAGCTGCAGCGGCTGCAGTCTCAGCGCCAGGAGGTCCAGGATGCTCTGGAGGAGCTGGACCAGCAGAAGACCACTCTGGAGGAGCAGCTTGGTCACATCCGCCAGCAGTGCAGCCATGAGAACCAGCTGGTGAGACTACAGGACCTATCAACCAACTACCACCTCACACAGCACCTGGATCACCTTCAGAGAGGAACCAGTCAATAGCAACTGCATTTGGTGGTCAAATGTACATCTAGTCACAGTCAGATTGTCCACCATTTTGTTTTAACTATTTTCTCACATCTTGCATCTCTTTCTGTGGTGTGTGTGTTTAGATCTCGTCACTAGAGGCGGAGCACACGGAGCAGGAGCAGAGGATAGAGGAGTACGAGGAGCAGCTGGTGCAGGCCAGAGAGGAGCTACTTCGGCTACAGGAGGAGAGCCAACAGTTGGAGGAGAAGGTGCAGGCAGCACGGGAGCAGTTCACTCCCTTGCAGGAGTTTGTCAAGGACTCCTACTCTCAGGTGAGTCTACTTTGACTCACCATCATTACTATCACGGTTGTGGCAAAGATTGTAAATGGAGAGATCAAAACATGATTGAGAGAGAATGCTTGGTAGGATGACATGCGATTTATTGGTGAGCGAATGTTATATTTAGATTTTATAAATTGCATGTCATGCTACCAAGCGTTCTCTTTCATCAATCATGTTTGGTTCTCTCCAACCCAAGTATATATGTATGTACAGTTGAAGTAGGAAGTTTACATACACTTATGTTGGAGTCATTAAAACTCGTTTTTCAACCACTCCACAAATGTCTTGTTAACAAACTATAGTTTTGGAAGGTCGGTTAGGACATCTACTTTGTGCATGACACAAGTAATTTTTCCAACAATTGTTTACAGACCGATTATTTCACTTGTAATTCACTGTATCACAATTCCAGTGGGTCAGAAGTTTACATACACTAATTTGACTGTGCCTTTAAACAGCTTGGAAAATTCCAGAAAATGATGTCAATTAGCCTATCAGAAGCTTCTAAAGCCATGACATCATTTGAGTCAATTGGAGGTGTACCTGTGGATGTATTTCAAAGCCTACCTTCAAACTCAGTGCCTCTTTGCTTGATATCATGGGAAAATCAAAAGAAATCAGCCAAGACCTCAGAAAAAAAATTGTAGACCTCCACAGATCTGGTTCATCAATGGGAGCAATTTCCAAACGCCTGAAGGTACCACGTTCATCTGTACAAACAATAGTATGCAAGTATAAACACCATGGGACCACGCAGCCGTCAAACCGCTCAGGAAGGAGACGCGTTCTGTCTCCTAGAGATGAACGTACTTTGGTGCGAAAAGTACAAATCAATCCCAGAACAACAGCAAAGGACCTTGTGAAGATGCTGGAGGAAACAGGTACAAAAGTATCTATATCCACAGTAAAACGAGTCCTATATCCGAGTCCTATATAGGCCGCTCAGTAAGGAAGAAGCCACTGCTCCAAAACGGCCATAAAAAAGACAGACTATGGTTTGCAACTGCACATGGGGACAAAGATCGTACTTTTTGGAGAAATGTCCTCTGGTCTGATGAAACAAAAGTAGAACTGTTTGGCCATAATGACCATCGTTATGTTTGGAGGAAAAAGGGGGCTGCTTGCAAGCCGAAGAACACCATCCCAACCGTGAAGCACGGAGGTGGCAGCATCATGCTGTGGGGGTGCTTTGCTGCAGGAGGGACTGGTGCACTTCACAAAATAGATGGCATCATGAGGAAGGAAAATTATGTGGATATATTGAAGCAACATCTCAAGACCAGTCAGGAAGTTAAAGCTTGTCGCAAATGGGTCTTCCAAATGGACAATGACCCCAAGCATACTTCCAAAGTTGTGGCAAAATGGCTTAAGGACAACAAAGTCAAGGTATTGGAGTGGCCATCACAAAGCCCTGACCTCAATCCTATAGAAAATGTGTGGGCAGAACTGAAAAGGTGTGTGCGAGCAAGGAGGCCTACAAACCTGACTCAGTTACACCAGCTCTGTCAGGAGGAATGGGCCAAAATTCACCCAACTTATTGTGGGAAGCTTGTGGAAGGCTACCCGAAACGTTTGACCCAAGTTAAACAATTTAAAGGCAATGCTACCAAATACTAATTAAGTGTATGTAAACTTGTGACCCACTGGAATTGTGATACAGTGTATTATAAGTGAAATAATCTGTCTGTAAACAATTGTTGGAAAAATGACTTGTGTCATGCACAAAGTAGATGTCCTAACCGACTTGCCAAAACTATAGTTTGTTAACAAGAAATTTGTGGAATGGTTGAAAAACGAGTTTTAATGACTCCAACCTAAGTGTATGTAAACTTCCGACTTCAACTGTATGTATGTGTGTATATATGTATGTATACATATATATACATACAGTGGGGAGAACAAGTATTTGATACACTGCCGATTTTTGCAGGTTTTCCTACTTACAAAGCATGTAGAGGTCTGTAATTTTTATCATAGGTACACTTCTACTGTGAGAGACAGATTCTAAAACAAAAATCCAGAAAATCACATTGTATGATTTTTAAGTAATTAATTTGAATTTTATTGCATGACAAAAGTATTTGATACATCAGAAAAGCAGAACTTAATATTTGGTACAGAAACCTTTGTTTGCAATTACAGAGATCATACGTTTCCTGTAGGTCTTGACCAGGTTTGCACACACTGCAGCAGGGATTTTTGCCCACTCCTTCATTCAGACCTCCTCCAGATCCTTCAGGTTTCGGGGCTGTCGCTGGGCAATACGGACTTTCAGCTCCCTCCAAAGATTTTCTATTGGGTTCAGGTCTGGAGACTGGCTAGGCCACCCAGGACCTTGAGATGCTTCTTACGGAGCCACTCCTTAGTTGCCCTGGCTGTGTGTTTCGGGTCGTTGTCATGCTGGAATACCCATCCACGAACCATTTTCAATGCCCTGGCTGAGGGAAGGAGGTTCTCACCTAAGATTTGAAGTTACATTGCCCCGTCCGTCGTCCCTTTGATGCGGTGAATTTGTCCTCTCCCCTTAGCAGAAAAACACCCCCAAAGCATAATGTTTCCACCTCCATGTTTGACGGTGGGGATGGTGTTCTTGGGGTCATAGGCAGCATTCCTCCTCCTCCAAACACGGCGAGTTGAGTTGATGCCAAAGAGCTCGATTTTTGTCTCATCTGACCACAACACTTTCACCCAGTTCTCCTCTGAATCATTCAGATGTTAATTGGCAAACTTCAGACGGGCCTGTATATGTGCTTTCTTGAGCAGGGGGACCTTGCGGGCGCAGCAGGATTTCAGTCCTTCACGGCGTAGTTACCAATTGTTTTCTTGGTGACTATGGTCCCCGCTGCCTTGAGATCATTGACGAGATCATTGACAAGATCCTCCAGTGTAGTTCTGGGCTGATTCCTCACCGTTCTCATGATCATTGCAACTCCACGAGGTGAGATCTTGCATGGATCCCCAGGCCGAGGGAGATTTGACAGTTCTTTTGTGTTTCTTCCATTTGCGAATAATCGTACCAGCTGTTGTCACCTTCTCACCAAGCTGCTTGGCGATGGTCTTGTAGCCCATTCCAGCCTTGTGTAGGTCTACAATCTTGTCCCTGACATCCTTGGAGAGCTCTTTGGCCTTGGCCATGGTGGAGAGTTTGGAATCTGATTGAGTGTGCTCCTAATCTCAGCTCGTTACCTGTATAAAAGACACCTGGGAGCCAGAAATCTTTCTGATTGAGAGGGGGTCAAATACTTATTTCCCTCATTAAAATGCAAATCAATTTATAACATGCATTTTTCTGGATTGTGTTGTTATTCTGTCTCTCACTGTTCAAATAAACCTACCATTAAAATTATAGACTGATCATTTTTTTGTCAGTGGGCAAACGTACAAAATCAGCAGGGGATCAAATACTTTTTTCCCTCACTATACGTATGTATGTATGTATGTATGTATGTGTGTGTGTGTGTGTGTGTGTGTGTATGTATGTATGTATATACACACACACACACACACACACACACACACACACACACACACACACTACCGTTCCAAAGTTTGGGTTCACTTAGAAATTTCCTTGTTTTCGAAAGAAAAGCTAAATGTTTTGTCCATTAAAATAACATAATGAATGCATGCGTGCACACACACACACACACACACACACACACACACACACACACACACACACACACTACCGTTCCAAAGTTTGGGTTCACTTAGAAATTTCCTTGTTTTCGAAAGAAAAGCTAAATGTTTTGTCCATTAAAATAACATAATGAATGCATGCGTGCACACACACACACACACACACACACACACACACACACACACACAGTACCAGTCAAAAGTTTGGACACACCTACTCATTCAAGGGTTTTTCTTTATTTTAACTATTTGTAGAATAATATTGAAGACCTCAAAACTATGAAATAACACACATGGAATCATGTAGTAAACAAATCAAAATATATTTGAGATTCTTCAAATAGCCAACCTTTGCCTTGATGACAGCTTTGCACACTCTTGGCATTCTCTCAACCAGCTTCACCTGGAATGCTTTTCCAACAGTCTTGAAGGAGTTCCCACATATGCTGAGCACTTGTTGGCTGCTTTTCCTTCACTCTACGGTCTGACTCATCCCAAACCATCTCATTTGGGTTGAGGTCGAGGGATTGTGGAGGCCAGGTAATCTGATGCAGCACTCCATCACTCTCCTTCTTTGTAAAATAGCCCTTACACAGCCTGGAGGTGTGTTGTGTCATTGTCTTGTTGAAAAACATATGGTAGTCTGTTAAATGACTGTACATGTAGTCCCACTAAGCCCAAGCTAGATGGGATGTCGTATCGCTGCAGAATGCTGTGGTAGCCATGCTGGTTAAGTGTTCCTTGAATTCTAAATAAATCACAGACAGTGTCACCAGCAAAGCACCCCCACACCAGAACACCACCTCCATGCTTTACGGTGGGAAATACACATGCGGATATCATCCATTCACTCTCACAAAGACACGGCGGTTGGAACCAAAAATCTCAAATTTGGACTCCAGACCAAAGGACATATTTCCACCGGTCTAATGTCCATTGCTCGTGTTTCTTGGTCCAAGCAAGGCTCTTCTTATTATTGGTGTCCTTTTTAGTAGGGGTTTCATTGCAGCAATTCGACCATGAAGGCCTGATTTGCAGTGTTTAACACTTTTTTGGTTACTACATGATTTCATATGTGTTATTTCATAGTTTATGTCTTCACTATTATTCTACATTGTAAAAATAAATTAAAACCCTTCAATGAGTATGTATGTGTGTGTGTGTGTGTGTATATGTGTGTGTGTGTGTGTATATATATATATATATATATATATATATATATATATATATATATATATATATATATATATATATATAATCTCACAAAAGTGAGTACACCCCTCACATTTTTGTAAATATTTGAGTTTATCTTTTCATGTGACAACACTGAAGAAATGACACTTTGCTACAATGTAAAGTAGTGAGTGTACAGCTTGTATAACAGTGTACATTTGCTGTCCCTTCAAAATAACTCAACACACAGCCATTAATGTCTAAACCACTGGCAACAAAAGTGAGTACACCCCTAAGTGAAAATGTCCAAATTGGGCCCAATTAGCCATTTTCCCTCCCCGGTGTCATGTGACTCGTTAGTGTTACAAGGTCTCAGGTGTGAATGGGGAGCAGGTGAGTTAAATTTGGTGTCATCGCTCTCACACTCCCTCATACTGGTCACTGGAAGTTCAACATGGCACCTCATGGCAAAGAACTCTCTTGAGGATCTGAAAAAAAGAATTGTTGCTCTACATAAAGATGGCCTGGGCTATAAGAAGATTGCCAAGACCCTGAAACTGAGCTGCAGCACGGTGGCCAAGACCATACAGCGGTTTAACAGGACAGGTTCCACTCAGAACAGGCCTCGCCATGGTCGACCAAAGAAGTTGAGTGCACGTGCTCAGCGTCATATCCAGAGGTTGTCTTTGGGAAATAGATGTATGAGTGCTGCCAGCATTGCTGCAGAGGTTGAAGGGGTGGGGGGTCAGCCTGTCAGTGCTCAGACCATACGCCGCACACTGCATCAAATTGGTCTGCATGGCTGTTGTCCCAGAAGGAAGCCTCTTCTAAAGATGATGCACAAGAAAGCCCGCAAACAGTTTGCTGAAGACAAGCAGACTAAGGACATAGATTACTGGAACCATGTACTGTGGTCTGATGAGACCAAGATAAACTTATTTGATTCAGATGGTGTCAAGCGTGTGTGGCGGCAACCAGGTGAGGAGTACAAAGACAAGTGTGTCTTGCCTACAGTCAAACATGGTGGGGGGAGTGTCATGGTCTGGGGCTGCATGAGTGCTGCCGGCACTGGGGAGCTACAGTTCATTGAGGGAACCATGAATGCCAACATGTACTGTGACATACTGAAGCAGAGCATGATCCCCTCCCTTCGGCGACTGGGCCGCAGGGCAGTATTCCAACATGATAACGACCCCAAACACACCTCCAAGACGACCACTGCCTTGCTAAAGAAGCTGAGGGTAAAGGTGATGGACTGGCCAAGCATATCTCCAGACCTAAACCCTATTGAGCATCTGTGGGGAATTCTCAAACGGAAGGTGGAGGAGTGCAAGGTCTCTAACATCCACCAGCTCCGTGATGTCGTCATGGAGGAGTGGAAGAGGACTCCACCAGAGCTTCACAGGTTGCCACTGAACTCCATGCCCAAGAGGGTTAAGGCAGTGCTGGAAAATGATGGTGGCCACACAAAATATTGACACTTTGGGCCCAATTTGGACATTTTCACTTAGGGGTGTACTCACTTTTGTTGCCAGCGGTTTAGACATTAATGGATGTGTGTTGTTATTTTGAGGGGACAGCTAATTTACACTGTTATACAAGCTGTACACTCAATACTTTACATTGTAGCGAAGTGTCATTTCTTCAGTGTTGACACATGAAAATATATACTCAAATATTTATAAAAATGTGAGGGGTGTACTCACTTTTGTGAGATACTGTAAATATATATCTCCCAGCTCTCTCTCTCCCTTATGTCCCTGTGCTCTCTCTACCTCTGTCTGTACTGAGGGCAGGTGCAACAGAAGCTGAGTGATCTACAGTTGGAGGAGCGGACGGTCACGGCCCAGCTCAGTTGGAAGAATGCCCTAGAGGAGGATCCAGTGCTGGTGAACGGCTCAGCGGAGGAGCAGCACCAGGAGTACCAGCCTGAGGAGCTGAGAGTGGAGCCTCCAGCCAGCCAGCCACGGATGGAGCCGGCTGAACCGATAGAAGAAGAAGTAGAGGAGGAGGATAGGCCTAAGACCCCAGAGGCCAAGTCTGATGCCTTCGAAGACCTCTATAACAGCCTATCTTCCACTGTCTGGCCAGTACCACAGGACAACCTTGTGAAGGCAATATACACTGCTCAAAAAAATAAAGGGAACACAAAAATAACACATCCTAGATCTGAATGAATGAAATAATCTTATTAAATACTTTTTTCTTTACGTAGTTGAATGTGCTGACAACAAAATCACACAAAAATTATCAATGGAAATCAAATGTATCAACCCATGGAGGTCTGGATTTGGAGTCACCCTCAAAATTAAAGTGGAAAACCACACTACAGGCTGATCCAACTTTGATGTAATGTCCTTAAAACAAGTCAAAATGAGGCTCAGTAGTGTGTGTGGCCTCCACGTGCCTGTATGACCTCCCTACAACGCCTGGGCATGCTCCTGATGAGGTGGCGGATGGTCTCCTGAGGGATCTCCTCCCAGACCTGGACTAAAGCATCCGCCAACTCCTGGACAGTCTGTGGTGCAACGTGGCGTTGGTGGATGGAGCGAGACATGATGTCCCAGATGTGCTCAATTGGAGTCAGGTCTGGGGAACGGGAGGGCCAGTCCATAGCATCAATGCCTTCCTCTTGCAGGAACTGCTGACACACTCCAGCCACATGAGGTCTAGCATTGTCTTGCATTAGGAGGAACCCAGGGCCAACCGCACCAGCATATGGTCTCACAAGGGGTCTGAGGATCTCATCTCGGTACCTAATGGCAGTCAGGCTACCTCTGGCGAGCACATGGAGGGCTGTGCGGCCCCCCAAAGAAATGCCACCCCACACCATGACTGACCCACCGCCAAACCGGTCATGCTGGAGGATGTTGCAGGCAGCAGAACGTTCTCCACGGCGTCTCCAGACTCTGTCACGTCTGTCACATGTGTTCAGTGTGAACCTGCTTTCATCTGTGAAGAGCACAGGGCACCAGTGGCGAATTTGCCAATCTTGGTGTTCTCTGGCAAATGCCAAACGTCCTGCACGGTGTTGGGCTGTAAGCACAACCCCCACCTGTGGACGTCGGGCCCTCATACCACCCTCATGGAGTCTGTTTCTGACCGTTTGAGCAGACACATGCACATTTGTGGCCTGCTGGAGGTCATTTTGCAGGGCTCTGGCAGTGCTCCTTCTTGCACAAAGGCGGAGGTAGCAGTCCTTCTGCTGGGTTGTTGCCCTCCTACGGCCTCCTCCACGTCTCCTGATGTACTGGCCTGTCTCCTGGTAGCGCCTCCATGCTCTGGAAACTACGCTGACAGACACAGCAAACCTTCTTGCCACAGCTCGCATTGATGTGCCATCCTGGATGAGCTGCACTACCTGAGCCACTTGTGTGGGTTGTAGACTCCGTCTCATGCTACCACTAGAGTGAACGCACCGCCAGCATTCAAAAGTGACCAAAACATCAGCCAGGAAGCATAGGAACTGAGAAGTGGTCTGTGGTCACCACCTGCAAAACCAGTCCTTTATTGGGGGTGTCTTGCTAATTGCCTATAATTTCCACCTGTTGTCTATTCCATTTGCACAACAGCATGTGAAATGTATTGTCAATCAGTGTTGCTTCCTAAGTGGACAGTTTGATTTCACAGAAGTGTGATTGACTTGGAGTTACATTGTGTTGTTTAAGTGTTCCCTTAATTTTTTTAAGCAGTGTATTATACTCTGAAATATCTGTGTCATTTATAATTTGTTCATATGTCTGAGTGCCATTTGTGTGTGTTGTCATGCCATCATGGGGTCTGAAGTTCCTGTTTTTCCTTCTCTTTTCTCAGGAGCACATTAGTCCCATTGCCTTCACCCTTCAGGAGCACGGGAGTCCTACTGCTGAATTTGAAGCAGAGGTCAAAGAAGAAGAAAAAGAAGATGAGGAGTCGTCGTCTAAAGCTAGCACTCCCAAGGTACAATATACTCTCATCATCTTTAGTCATGGGATTCCTCCTCGGACTCCAGACCTTGGTTCAGGTCATTTATTTAAATACTTATTTTCTGTGTATTTGAGTATTTTTAAATAATTACATTTACATTTTAGTCATTTAGCAGACGCTCTTATCCAGAGTGACTTACAGTTAGAGTGCATACATTATTTTTCATACTGGCCCCCCGTGGGAATCGAACCCACAACCCTGGCTTTGCAAACGCCATGCTCTACCAACTGAGCTACATCCCTGCCGGCCATTCCCTCCCCTACACTGGACAACGCTGGGCCAATTGTGCGCCGCCCCATATGACCTACACTACTATAATGTGAAGTATTTTAAAATACTTTCCTATTAATAGCCTACTATTTGAAAGTATTGGCAATATTTCAAATACCGAACAGACCTGGTGCAAATGCATGGGAGTATTTTAATATTGTGTAAATTCTAGTTGTCAATTTGATGAGGTCATCTGAAAAGATTTCACCCCATGCTTCCTGAAGCACCTCCCACAAGTTGGATTGACTTGATGGGCACTTCTTACGTACCATACGGTCAAGCTGCTCCCACAACAGCTCAATAGGGTTGAGATCCAGAGACTGTGCTGGCCACTCCATTATAGACAGAATACCAGCTGACTGCTTCTTCCCTAAATAGTTATTGCATAGTTTGGAGCTGTGCTTTGGGTCATTGTCCTGTTGTAGGAGAAATTGGCTCCAATCAAGCGCCGTCCACAGGGTATGGCATGGCGTTGCAAAATGGAGTGATAGCCTTCCTTCTTCAAGATCCCTTTTACCCTGTACAAATCTCCCACTTTACCACCACCAAAGCATCCCCAGACCATAACATTGCCTCCACCATGCTTGACAGATGGCATCAAGCACTCCTCCAGCATCTTTTCATTTGGTCTGTGTCTCACAAATGTTATTCTTTGTGATCCGAACACCTCAAACTTCGATTCGTCTGTCCATAACAGTTTTTCCAAATCTTCCTCTGTCCAGTGTCTGTGTTCTTTTGCCCATCTTAATATTTTATTTTTATTGGCCATTCTGAGATATGGCTTTTTCTTTGCAACTCTGCGTAGAAGGTCAGCATCTTGGAGTTGCCTCTTCACTGTTGACGTTGAGACTGGTGTTTTGCGGGTACTATTTAATGAAGCTGCCAGTTGAGGACCTGTGAGGCGTCTGTTTCTCAAACTAGACACTCTAATGTATTTGTCCTATTGCTCAGTTGCGCACCGGGACCTCCCACTCCTCTTTCTATTCTGGTTAGAGCCAGTTTGCGCTGTTCGGTGAAGGGAGTAGTACACAGCGTTGTACGAGATCTTCAGTTTCTTGGCAATTTCTCGCATGGAATAGCCTTCATTTCTCAGAACAAGTATAGACTGACGAGTTTCAGAAGAAAGTTATTTTTTTCTGGCCATTTTGGTTCTGTAATCGAACCCACAATTGCTGATGCTCCATATACTCAACTAGTCTCAAGAAGGCCAGTTTTATTGCTGCTTTAATCAGCACAACAGTTTTCAGCTGTGCTAACATAATTGCAAAAGGGTTTTCTAATGATCAATTAGCCTTTTAAAATGATAAACTTGGTTTAGCAAACACAACGTGCCATTGGAACACAGGACTGATGGTTGCTGATAATTGGCCTCTGTACGCCTATGTAGATATTCCATAAAAAATCAGCCGTTTCCAGCTACAATAGCCATTTACAACATGAACAATGTCTACACTGTATTTCTGATCCATTTTATTTTAATGGACAACAAAATTGCTTTTCTTTCGAAAACAAGGACATTTCTAAGTGACCCCAAACTTTTGAACCGTAGTGTATACATAAGTATTCAGACCCTTTACTCAGTACTTTGTTGAAGCACGTTTTGACAGTGATTACAGCATCAATTCTTCTTGGGTATGACGCTGCAAGCTTGGCACACCTGTATTTGGGGAGTTTCTCCCATTCTTCTCTGCAGATCCTCTCAAGCTCTGTCAGGTTGGATGAGGAGCTTTGCTGCACAGCTATTTTCAAGTCTCTCCAGAGATGTTCGATCGGGTTCAAGTCCGGGCTCTAGCTTGGCCACTCAAGGACATTCAGAGACTTGTCCCGATGCCACTCCTGCGTTGTCTTGGCTGTGTGCTTAGGGTCGTTGTCTTGTTGGAAGGTGAACCTTCACACCTGTCTGAGGTCCTGACTGACCTTCATGTCTTAAAGTAATGATGGACTGTCATTTCTCTTTGCTTATTTGAGCTGTTCTTGCCATAATATGGACTTGGTCTTTTACCAAATAGGGCTATCTTCTGTATACCCCCCTACCTTGTCACAACACAACTGATAGGCTCAAACGCATTAAGAAGGAAAGAAATTCCACAAATTAATTTTTAAGAAGGCACACCTGTTAATTCAAATGCATTCCAGGTGACTACCTCATGAAGCTGGTTGAGAGAATGCCAAGTGTGCAAAGCTGTCATCAAGGCAAAGGGTTGCTATTTGAAGAATCTCAAATATAAAATATATTTTGATTTGTTTAACACTTTTTTGGTTACTACATGATTCCATATGTGTTATTTCATAGCTTTGATGTCTTCACTATTATTCTACAATGTAGAAAACCCTTGAAAGAGTAGATGTGTCCAAACTTTTGACTGGGAGTCTGTGTGTGTGTGTGTGTGTGTGTGTGTGTGTGTATAGATAGATATCTCCAAATACTTAATTCCATATGCCTTTGAAAGTAATTGAAATACACTAAATAGTATTTGAACCCAGGTCTACTGGACTCATGTTTGACCACTGGACTGTACTAATCACCTGTATTTCTTCAGCAGGTGGAATCCCCAGAGCCAGAACAGAGACCAGAGTCAACTGAGCCTCCCCATGCTACCCCTCCTGCGCTACCTCCACAGACAACCTCCCCTCCACTCCCTGGACTGGACTTCTTCGAGTCAGACCCCTTCACTGACCGTGAGTTACCCCTCCACCTCTCAAATAGTACAATAAACTAACAGGAGCAATTTCAAACTTGACAAACCTACTGTACAGTGAGGGGAAAAAAGTATTTGATCCCCTGCTGATTTTGTACGTTTGCCCACTGACAAAGACATGATTCTTGTTGTTGGACGAGTTGGATGAGGCGACGGGGTCGGCACCGTTTGACTTGGAAACAACCAGAGGTCCAAAAGATCATGACTGACTGCTCTCCCTCTTGTGTTCATGTTTACATCAACAAAACCACCACCTCCTTATCACATTCCCCCTCATTATTAATGCGGTTAGCAGGCAGTCCTCTCCAGACATGCACACGCACACACGTCAAACTACTCCTTACAGTGAGGGAAAAAAGTTTTTGATCCCCTGCTGATTTTGTACGTTTGCCCACTGACAAGGAAATGATCAGTCTATAATTTTAATGGTAGGTTTATTTGAACAGTGAGAGACAGAATAACAACAAAAAAATCCAGAAAAACACATGTCAAAAATGTTATAAATTGATTTGCATTTTAATGAGGGAAATAAGTATTTGACCCCCTCTCAATCAGAAAGATTTCTGGCTCACAGGTGTCTTTTATACAGGTAACTAGCTGAGATTAGGAGCACACTCTTAATACATTTTGTTACGTTACAGCCTTATTCTAAAATTGATTAAGTAATGTTTTCCCTCATCAATCTACACACAATACCCCATAATGACAAAGCGAAAACAGGTTTTCAGATTTTTTTGCAAATGTATTAAAAATAAAAAACATACCTTATTTACATAGGTGTTCAGAGCCTTTGCTATGAGACTAGAAATTGAGCTCAGGTGCATCCTGTGTCCATTGATCACCCTTGAGATGTTTCTACAACTTGATTGGAGTCCACCTGTGGTAAATTCAATTGATTGGACATGATTTGGAAAAGCACACACAGTCTATATAAAGTTCCAACAGTTGACAGTGCATGTCAGAGCAAAAACCAAGTCATGAGGTCGAAGGAATTGTCCGTAGAGCTCCGAGACAGGATTGTGTCGAGGCACAGATCTGGGGAAGGGTACCAAAACATTTCTGCAGCATTGAAGGTCCCCAAGAACACAGTGGCTTCCATCATTCTTAAATGGAAGAAGTTTGGAACGACCAAGACTCATCCTAGAGCTGGCCGCCCAAACTGAGCAATCGGGGTAGAAGGGCCTTGGTCAGGGAGGTGACCAAGAACCCAATGATCACTCTGACAGAGCTCCAGAGTTCCTCTGTGGAGATGGGAGAACCTTCCAGAAAGACAATCAAGCGTCACGTCTGGAGGAAACCTGGCACCATCCTTATGGTGAAGCATGGTGGCAGCATCATGCTGTGGGGATGTTTTTCAGCGGCAGGGACTAGGAGACTAGTCAGGATCGAGGGAAAGATGAACAGAGCAAAGTACAGAGAGATCCTTAATGAAAACCTTGTCCAGAGCGCTCAGGACCTCAGACTGGGGCGACGGTTCACCTTCCAACGGTACAATTGCCCTGAACACAAAGCCAAGACAACGCAGGAGTGGCTTCGGGACAAGTCTCAATGTCGTTGAGTGGCCCAGCCATATCCCGGACTTGAACCCGATCTAACATCTCTGGATAGGCCTAAAAATAGCTGTGCAGCGACGCTCCCCATCCAACCTGACAGAGCTTGAGAGGATCTGCAGAGAAGAATGGGAGAAACTCCACAAATACAGGTGTGCCAAGTTTGTAGCGTCATACCCAAGAAGACTCTAGGCTGTAATCGTTGCCAAAGGTGCTTCAACAAAGTACTGAGTAATATTTCAGTTTTTTGTAATATATACAGTTGAAGTCGGAAGTTTGCATATACTTAGGTTGGAGTCATTAACACTCGTTTTTCAACCACTCCAAAAATCTCTTGTTAAAAACTATAGTTTTGGCAAGTCGGTTAGGACATTTACTTTGTGCATGACACAAGTAATTTTTCCAACAATTGTTTACAGACAGATTATTTCACTTATAATTCACTGTGTCACAATTCCAGTTTACATACACTAAGTTGACTGTGCCTTTAAACAGCTTGGAAAATTCCAGAAAATGATGTTATGGCTTTAGAAGCTTCTGATAGGCTAATTGACATAATTTGAGTCAATTGGAGGTGTACGTGTGGATGTATTTCAAGGCCTACATCAAACTCAGTGCCTCTTTGCTTGACATCATGGGAAAATCCAAAGAAAATTAGCCAAGACCTCAGGAAAAAAAATTGTAGACCTCCACAAGTCTGGTTCATCCTTGGGAGCAATTTCCAAACGCCTGAAGGTACCATGTTTATCTGTACAAAAAATAGTATGCAAGTATAAAACACCATGGACCACGCAGCCATCATACCGCTCAGGTATACCGCCTAGAGATGAACGTACTTTGGTGCGAAAAGTGCAAATCAATCCCCGCACAACAGCAAAGGACCTTGTGCAGATGCTGGAGGAAACCGGTACAAAGTATCTATATCCACAGTAAAACGAGTCCTATATCGACATAACCTGAAAGAAGCCACTGCTCCAAAACTGCCATAAAAAAGCCAGACTACGGTTTGCAACTGCACATGGGGACAAAGATCGTACTTTTTGGAGAAATGTCCTCTGGTCTGATGAAACAAAAATAGAACTGTTTGGCCATAATGACCATTGTTATGTTTGGAGGAAAAAGGGGGTAGCTTGCAAGCCGAAGAACACCATCCCAACTGTGTAGCACAAGGGTGGCAGCATCATGCTGTGGGGGTGCTTTGCTGAAGGAGGGACTGGTGCACTTCACAAAATAGATGGCATCATGAGGAAGGAAAATTATGTGGATATATTGAAGCAACATCTCAAGACATCAGTCAGGAAGTTAAAGCTTGGTCGCAAATGGGTCTTCCAAATGGACAATGACCCCAAGCATACTTCCAAAGTTGTGGCAAAATGGCTTAAGGACAACAAAGTCAAGGTATTGGAGTGGCCATCACAAAGCCCTGACCTCAATCCTATAGAAAATGTGTGGGCCGAATTGAAAAAGCGTGTGCGAGCAAGGAGGCCTACAAACCTGACTCAGTTACACCAGCTCTGTCAGGAGGAATGGACCAAAATTCACCCAACTTATTGTGGGAAGCTTGTGGAAGGCTACCCGACACGTTTGACCCAAGTTAAACAATTTAAAGGCATTGCTACCAAATACTAATTGAGTGTATGTAAACTTCTGACCCACTGGGAATGTGATGAAAGAAATAAAAACTGAAATAAATCATTCTCTCTACTATTATTCTGACATTTCACATTCTTAAAATATAGTGGTGATCCAAACTGACCTAAGACAGGGAATTTTTACTAGGATTAAATGTCAGGAATTGTGAAAAACTGAGTTTAAATGTATTTGGGTAAGGTGTATGTAAACTTCCGACTTCAACTGTACATTTGCAAAAATTTCTAAAGCTATATTTGCTTTGTCTTTTATGTGGTACTGACGAGGGGAAAAAACGATTTAATAAATGTTATACTAAGGCTGTAACGTAACAAAATGTGTAAAAAGTTAAAGGGGTCTGAATACTTTCCGAATGCACTGTATTTATGTAATGAAAGATGAGTCCCAACTGATTCTATTGTCTGTCTTTCCTTCTCTGTCCGTGCAGATGATCCATTTAAAGATGATCTATTTGGAAAGGCAGATGTTTCCGGTGAGTGAGTCTTGTTAACTCAATATAAGTTCAATCAATGCAGCTATGCATGTGAGCCACCAAATCGGATATTTTCATATTAGCCTATATTTTGAATGTAAAAACCTATAATGTAGCTGATCTTCATCAACAGATCCGTTTGGAGGAGACCCATTTAAGGGTACAGATCCCTTTTCTGCTGACTCCTTCTTCAAGCAGTCTTCGACCGCCCCCTTCCCTTCTGCTGACCCCTTCACCCCCACCGACCCCTTCAGTGGCAGTGCCAGCCTAGTGGAGCCTGACCTGTTTGCAGCTCCGCTCAACAACGCTGCAGGACTGGACCCCTTCAGCTCCAAACCCAACAACAAGGCAGCCAGGGACCCCTTCAGCACCAAGGTCAACAACGTGGATGCGGATCCGTTTGGATCCAAGATGGACTCCCTGGCAGAGGCAGACCCGTTTGGCTCCCAGGGTACTGCAGGCCCGGATCCCTTCAGCTGCTCCCAGCCAGGCTCTGAGCTCCCCACTGTGAGTGGGGCCATCGTGCTGAACTGTCTATATGCCTCAGGAATACTCATTCAGGCAGTTCCCCAATTTCCCCCCCAGTTCCTCCCCTTGCACCAGCACATTGTGTTAATTATGCTCCCAGATAGACCCAGTCTGTGCATGGTAATGAAGAATTACTGTGCACTTGTTCCTTCTGTCCTTAATTATTCTAGCTAGGTGTGCACTTTTTGTAGGGTTAGAGTTGTATAACTGACATATGTGTTTCCCAGAAGGATCTCACTGCAGCAACCAATGACCCTTTTGCACCTGGAGGCACTGCAGGAAATACTGGCTCTGACCCAGGTAAGACTCCAGGGATGGAGCCTACCTCTGGGGAGTGGGTGGTAGTGCAGATGGTAGTACCCTGTCTGGCTAAACTGTGTGTGTTGTTAAACAATGTCTACACATTGTGTGTCCTTCAGATCCATTTGCTGCTGTGTTTGGCAACGAATCATTTGGAGTGGGATTTGCGGACTTCAGCGCCCTGGCCAAGGTAAAGTCCTGATTGGGTTCTCTAGTTGTCCTTGGTGTGTACCATCATGGCTGTGATGTGAGGAGAACTAGGGATCACTAGCTATTAATAGGGACATTTGTTTAACCTCAAGTAGATACAGTGAGGGGAAAAAAGTATTTGAACCCCTGCTGATTTTGTACGTTTTCCCACTGACAAAGAAATGATCAGTCTATAATTTTAATGGTAGGTTTATTTGAACAGGGAGAGACAGAATAACAACAAAAGAATCCAGAAAAACGCATGTCAAAAATGTTATAAATTGATTTGCATTTTAATGAGGGAAGTAAGTATTTGACCCCTCTGCAAAACATGACTTAGTACTTGGTGGTAAAACCCTTGTTGGCAATCAGAGGTCAGACGTTTCTTGTAGTTGGCCACCAGGTTTGCACGCATCTCAGGAGGGATTTTGTCCCACTCCTCTTTGCAGATCTTCTCCAAGTCATTAAGGTTTCGAGGCTGACGTTTGGCAACTCGAACCTTCAGCTCCCTCCACAGATTTTCTATGGGATTAAGGTCTGGAGACTGGCTAGGCCACTCCAGGACCTTAATGTGCTTCTTCTTGAGCCACTCCTTTGTTTCCTTGGCCTTGTGTTTTGGGTCATTGTCATGCTGGAATACCCATCCACGAACCATTTTCAATGCCCTGGCTGAGGGAAGGAGGTTCTCACCCAAGATTTGACGGTACATGGCCCTGTCCATCGTCCCTTTGAATGCGGTGAAGTTGTCCTGTCCCCTTAGCAGAAAAACACCCCCAGAGCATAATGTTTCCACCTCCATGTTTGACGGTGGGGATGGTGTTCTTGGGGTCATAGGCAGCATTCCTCCTCCTCCAAACATGGCGAGTTGAGTTGATGCCAAAGAGCTCGATTTTGGTCTTATCTGACCACAACACTTTCACCCAGTTCTCCTCTGAATCATTCAGATGTTCATTGGCAAACTTCAGACGGGCCTGTATATGTGCTTTCTTGAGCAGGGGGACCTTGCGGGCGCTGCAGGATTTCAGTCCTTCACGGCATAGTGTGTTACCAATTGTTTTCTTGGTGACTATGGTCCCAGCTGCCTTGAGATGATTGACAAGATCCTCCTGTGTAGTTCTGGGCTGATTCCTCACCGTTCTCATGATCATTGCAACTCCACGAGGTGAGATCTTGCATGGAGCCCCAGGCCGAGGGAGATTGACAGTTCTTTTGTGTTTCTTACATTTGTGAATAATCGTACCAACTGTTGTCACCTTCTCACCAAGCTGCTTGGCGATGGTCTTGTAGCCCATTCCAGCCTTGTGTAGGTCTACAATCTTGTCCCTGACATCCTTGGAGAGCTCTTTGGTCTTGGCCATGGTGGAGAGTTTGGAATCTGATTGATTGATCGCTTCTGTGGACAGGTGTCTTTTATACAGGTAACAAGCTGAGATTAGGAGCACTCCCTTTAAGAGTGTGCTCCTAATCTCAGCTCGTTACCTGTATAAAAGACACCTGTGAGCCAGAAATCTTTCTGATTGAGAGGGGGTCGAATACTTATTTCCCTCATTAAAATGCAAATCAATTTATAACATGCGTTTTTCTGGATTTTTTTGTTGTTATTCTGTCTCTCACTGTTCAAATAAACCTACCATTAAAATTATAGACTGATCATTTCTTTGTCAGTGGGCAAACGTACAAAATCAGCAGGGGATCAAAAACTTTTTTCCCTCACTGTAAGGAGTAGTTTGACGTGTGTGCATGTCTGGAGAGGACTGCCTGCTAACCGCATTAATAATGAGGGGGAATGTGATAAGGAGGTGGTGGTTTTGTTGATGTAAACATGAACACAAGAGGGAGAGCAGTCAGTCATGATCTTTTGGACCTCTGGTTGTTTCCAAGTCAAACGGTGCTGACCCCTTCGCCTCATCCAACTCGTCCAACAACAAGAACCTGTTCAAGGAGGACAGCCAGCCTAGCAGCCTTGATGTTCCCCCAGCCTTGCCCCCCAAGACAGGAACGCCCACCAGACCTCCCCCTCCACCCCCAGGTCAGTCCTCCTGCTGCTCCCAACTCTGGAAAGCTAATTTTCTTTCATGCTGTTTCTAGACTCTATGTTGTTGTTGCTTTTCTGCTTCCAATTGCAAGTAGCAGAATGGCATTGGTATTCAAACATGGAGGTTTCGAAGTCCAGAAGCCAAAGGCACAATCCTAGTCATATTAGCAACCCATCCTAGTTGTTGTGTCTTTAGATTCCCCCTCTTTCTAAGTTTCTAACAGAGATTTTCATCTCTGTCACATATGGAACCGCTATCAGGTGCGCTGTTTAGAATGTTTTCCCAGGTGCTCTGTTTAAAATGGTGTTTTCCAGCTAATTGCATTTTGGAAAATGTTTTCAAATAGGGTTGCATGTTCTGTTAAGATGCATTACCATCATCGAAATGTGATTTCTGTCATTCTGAGCACAATGGTTGGACGCCCTAATGGGTTATGCACCCAATGCATATGGGTCCGGTAAATTTCTCAAATGGCCGATTTAATAAATAAAAATCCCGATCACGTTGTCCCGCGCCACATTTTCCTAACGGAAACCCTGGCATCTGGTGTGTGTCTGATGTTTGTGTGTTTTTGAATCCAGGTAAGAGAGCCGACATCTCCAGGTCCGAGACGTCGGACACGTTCCACAGAAGGGGGCCCTTTCTGCCCCAGGGCTCAGGAGACACCCCTTTCTCCCAACCCGCCAAGGATGCTGCCCAGGACCCCTTTGCCCCATCCTCACCCCGCCAGCCCGCACGGGACCCAGACCGATTTGCCAGCTTTGACAAAGTGAGAACCTCACCTGCCCCCTCTCCTCCTCCTGACTCCGACTAGGTCGCCCTCCTCTGTTTCCTTGCTCACAAGCCATCCATCAAATAGCAGTCTCAGCCTCCATCCATAGCCAAACTCTCAAATTACATACAGTACCAGTCAAAAGTTTGGACACACCTACTCATTCCAGGGTTTTTCTTTATTTTTACTATTTTCTACATTGTAGAATAATAGTGAAGACATTGAAACACATATGGAATCATGTAGTAACCAAAAAAGTGTAAAACAAATCAAAATATATTTTATATTTGAGATTCTTCAAATAGCCACCCTTTGCCTTGATGACAGCTTTGCACACTCTTGGCATTCTCTCAACCAGCTTCACCTGGAATGCTTTTCCAACAGTCTTGAAGGAGTTCCCACATATGCTGAGCACTTGTTGGCTGCTTTTCCTTCACTCTGCAGTCCAACTCATCCCAAACCATCTCAATTGGGTTAAGGTCGGGGGATTGTGGAGGCCAGGTAATCTGATGCAGCCCTCCATCACTCTCCTTCTTGGTAAAATAGCCCTTACACAGCCTGGAGGTGTGTTGGGTCAATGTCCTGTTGAAAAACGAATGATAGTCCCACTAAGCCCAAACCAGATGGGATGGCGTATCGCTGCAGAATGCTGTGGTAGCCGTGCTGGTTAAGTGTGCCTTGAATTCTAAATAAATCACAGACAGTGTCACCAGCAAAGCACCCCCACACCATAACACCTCCTCCTCCATGCTTTACGGTGGGAAATACACATGCGGAGATCATCCGTTCACCCACACCGCGTCTCACAAAGACACGGCGGTTGGAACCAAAAATCTCCTATTTGGACTCCAGACCAAAGGACAAACTTCCACCGGTATAATGTCCATTGCTTGTGTTTCTTGGCCCAAGCAGGTCTCTTCTTCTAATTGGTTTCCTTTAGTAGTGGTTTCTTTGCAGCAAGTTGATCATGAAGGCCTGATTCACACAGTCTCATCTGAACAGTTGATGTTGAGATGTGTCTGTTACTTGAACTCTGAATCATTTATTTTGGCTGCAATTTCTGAGGCTGGTAACTAATGAACTTATCCTCTGCAGCATAGGTAACTCTGGGTCCTCCATTCCTGTGGCGGTCCTCATGAGAGCCAGTTTCATCATAGCGCTTGATTTTTGCAACTGCACTTGAAGAAACTTTCAAAGTTCTTAAAATGTTCTGTATTGACTAACCTTCATATCTTAAAGTAATGATGGACTGTCGTTTCTCTTTGCTTATTTGAGCTGTTCTTGCAATAATATGGACTTGGTCTATTACCAAATAGGGCTATCTTCTGTATTGGCTCAAATGCATAAAGAAGGAAAGAAATTCAACAAGTTTAACTTTTAAGAAGGCACACCTGTTAATTGTAATGCATTCCAGGTGACTACCTCATGAAGCTGGTTGAGAGAATGCCAAGAGTGTGCAAAGCTGTCATCAAGGCAAAGGGTGGCTATTGGAAGAATCTCAAATGTAAAATACATTTTCATTTGTTTAACACATTTGTGGGGTTACTACATTCCATATGTGTTATTTCATAGTTTTGATGTCTTCACTATTATCCTACAATATAACAAATTGTACAAATATAGAAAAACCCTTGAATGAGTAGGTGTCTAAACTTTGGACTGGTATTGTACCTACCTGAGGAGCATTTATTAAATCCTTAAGGAAATATAGATGTATTTTATACATTGCATTATTTTAAATGCATTCCTTTGTTTTGCTAAAGAGAAGTCCCTTCTATGGTTTTCTGTAAATATTTTGTATATTCATTCTTCCTTTATGTATCCCTTAGTCCTTTATTGTCAATGTTATGCTTCTTTATGTGAAGTTTATTTATATTTATAAACTGGGTGGTTCGAGCACTGAACTGGCTGACACCCGTGGTGTATCAGACCGTATACCACAGGTATGACAAAACCCTTTATGTTTACTGCTCTAATTACGTTGTTAACCAGTTTATAATAGCAATAAGGAACCTCAGGGGTTTGTGATATATGGCCAATATTCCACACCTCCTTGGACCTTATTGCTTAACTTTAATTACATTTGTTTATTTCTAAATTGAACTTTAATTCAGACTTGTAATTGATGTTCCCTCAAATAACTTGCACTGCCTTAACTTTACTCCTTTAATAGTGTAGCTGTAGGTATGTATTAATAAACATATTATAATATATTTAAAATGGATAACATTTTCACTGAGTGACCTTAGTCACCACTAACTGGACTTCAGGCACACACCAAATCTTCCTCTTCATGACGCATAGCCTTCAGGAGCCCCTGGTTGGCTGTGGATGGAAAGGCTAGACTGCTTGCTTTGGCTCTTGTGATGTAAATGTAGTTAGCACACCCACAGAAAGGACAAAAGGCTTGACCGAGCTCCTACTCCTCCTGCTCCCTCTACTGCCTCCACCCTGCATGACCTGCACCCTGCCCTGCACGCACTTTGTCCTTGTGTCTGATTGGCTGGCTCCCGATGACCCTCTACAGATCTTCCTCCATCACCCTCTCACTCTGACTGGAAGCACTCCTCCGTCTGCATCCCACCATTCATCCTGCCATCACCACTCACGCAACCAAGCACTGTGGAAGAAAGATTTCTGCGCTCTCTGGGTCTTTACTCATCTCTTCCTCAGTCAAATTATCTCAATAAAACATCTTATGGGCCCCATGTATATCCATATTCACCAGGTTGATTTACCACAGATTGCTGATGTTTGCAAATTTTTACGTTCTATTATGATGCATCAATTCTGATGTAATCAAATCCCGGATTGAATTATGACTTGAGCTGTAAAAAATAAACATAATCGGTTTCTTCCGAATTCACAAACCTAGTTTTACTTGCTTCGTATAAGCATTTATGGATGTTGGTTAGATCTGTTGTATTTGATCAAGGTAAGATGTTACAGTATTTTGATATACTTTGAAGTTACTTTGCCATTTTCCCACAATCATGTTACATCCATCACCAACCATTTATATTAAATGTGAATAACTGCATGTTAGACAAGGCTGGAACATCTACACGTACTTTACCATCCAATTCAACAGATCTATTGACACAGTAAAGTAAACGTAGCAGTGCTATGTTGTTCATAACCGCCTGTATACTTTTTCTGAGACATTTACGCCATCTACAGTATATTTTGTCCAGGTTGTAAATCCACTGTAATTCAATCTCCTGCTGTACTGTCAGACTGTATCCCATGATTGATTAATGGGTCACAACTGTCGAAGTCACTCAATTCATAATGAGCAATGTGAATCAGGACCTGCTTTCTCTCTCTCTTTCTACTAACCACATCTCACTCTCTCTACCAACCACATATCTCTCTCTAACACATCTCTCCACCACATCAACTTTAGTGCTAAGAAATATACATTGGCAATCTCAGAGCCAATAGTCAGTATATTGCAGTACTATACTGTATTAATTTGTGTTCACATCGGTATAGATGGGACACTGCAGAACCAGGCGTGCTTCTCATCGTGTGTGCTCTAAACACTATTATGAACTGGGTGGTTTGAGCCCTGAATGATGATTGGTTGACACCCATGGTATATGGGGCGGCAGGTAGCTTAGTGGTTAAGAGCGTTGTGCCAGTAATCGAAAGGTCGCTGGTTCTAATCCCCGAGCCGACTAGGTGAAAAATCTGTCGATGTGCCCTTGAGCAAGGCACTTAACCCTAATTGCTCCTGTAAGTCGCTCTGGATAAGAGCGTCTACTAAATGACTAAAATGTAAAATGTATATCCGACCGTATACCACAGGTATGACAAAACAATTTTTACTGCTATGGCTAAGGGCTGTATCCAGTGCGTCAAGCGTAAGAACAGCCCTTAGCCGTGGTATATTGGCCATATACCACACCCCCTCGGCCCTAATTGCTTAAATATACCAGATTTCATAATCCCACTGTCTAAAATGTGCATGATGTGTCTGTTGCTGTGTGAAATTGACCTGTGAATGCTGTACTCCTGTCACTTGCAGACATGCTTTACAGCTGTACAGGGATTTCAGCCACTCAATTGCCCCCCTATCACTGATCTGGAGCTAATACATGTGATGTATGTTCATGTTAAACATTTATAATAGGAAATTGCAACCGTTCGCTTTTGGAACAGACAAAAAGCTCTATTGAAATGCATAGAATGGTGCAGCTTACCATAAACAATGGATGTCAAGGGGATCAGTATGCTGCTGCTGCTGCAGTGAAATGGCTTAATACAGGACAGTTCAGAACCTGCTGAGGTCCTGTAAGTGTGTGTCAAGATGGGGGAGGTTGAGTGCAGTGGCCACCATCGGGGGGGAATGTAGAATATGCTGCGTCTGAGGTGTTCTGACGGGTTTGTGTGTGTGTGTTTCTATGTGGTGTGAAGCAGCAGTACCATACTGAGGAGGACATGATTGAGTGGGCGAAGAGGGAGAGTGAGCGGGAGGAGAAAGAGCGCCTGACCAGACAGGCACAACAGGAGCAAGAGGATCTGGAGCTGGCCATTGCCCTGAGCAAGTCAGAGTTCTCCTGAAAGACTCCCGGTCGCCCTGTGTGACCTATCACTAACCAAAGGAAGGAGGGAGGGGTGGGAGAACTGAACTAAACGGCCTACTCGGACCCAATGAAGAGATGTTGAGTATTGGCTCCTCCCACCCATTAACCCCCTAATTTTCTCCTAACCTCTCATTTTGTTTCGCTCATTATTGGCATTTTCAGTTTGTTTTCATTGGTGTTTGGCCAAGTGGTGGGTATAGAACTGTGATATTCTCTGTTAGACTTCAATAGCCCTCGTACAGTAAATATACATGGAGATTGTTAAGTATATCTATACAGACCTAATTGTTAATAACTAACTGCAAAAGTTCTGCCCCTGTTTGCAATGCTCTTGTCTAGAAGCCTGCTCAGACCCAGACCACCAGATAGTATTGAGCACTTATGGTAACCATTTCTCCCTGAGATTGAATGCAAGAGTGTTGAGCTTTAAAGTTATGAACTACAAAAATGGCTAACACAACATGCCTTTTTTTCCTGTCTTCCCACTTGTTTTTTCTTTTTGAAAATATGAATTTTATGATATGATTAACTCTAACAAGATACTAAGAGTAATGTTCATCTAATTAATCTGGGTGTAAACCAATGTCAAATTGTAATCCATATGTGATTCATTTGGCTATACACCAGACATGTACAATATGTGGTGAATTAGATTTCATGTCTGAGTTGAGGATTTGCTCGTGCTTGTGTAAAAACAGTTATTCTTAGAGATGACCTGACATATGTCCTTACGTGAGTAGCCATTTTATGTATAGAGTAGCGGAAGTCAAACAGTGCAGAGGGTAGAAAGGGAAAAGAGGAGATCCCGCTTCAGATAAACACTGTTAATCCATGCATTAGGTCATGGTGGTTGTCATGACTACTTTGACTACACTTAACTTGATTTGAATTTGTGCGTATATTTCTAATCACCATACTATAGGTTGTTCACCTTTTTCTCAACTCTTCCTCTCTTCAACGTGCCCTTAAATTCATCTTTATATCCCAAACACCAGGCAGTGAACAAGACTCACATGCTCATTATCTGTAGGGAAAGTAATAATGATCTTGTAAAAACTGTATAATAACTACCAGGTTACTCACTCCGTTAACCTCACTCTGTGTCATCCTCCAAATACTCTCTATTCATTCTTAAAGGTTTATAGCAGTACTGAGGGTTGTACATTTGCTAAAAATAAGTAAACCAGTAAAACCACTATTTTATGTTCAGTTATGTCCAGACCTCTGCATGTAGCCCCAAATGTAGGCTGCTACCCACCCAACACTACCCACCAATAGTCAAGAGACAACTATTGACCACAAACAATGATTGTGTGGTTCATGAAGTAATGTTGTTTGAACAAATGAGATGTCAAGATTTTGGAAAGTAGGTTGGTTGTACAGGAAGATGTTTTTAAATGTATTTTAAGTTGAAAAATATGTAATGATTAGAATTGTTAACTAGAAACTGGATACAGGCTGAGTGTAATACACACAGGAAGAGTAGCTGCTGCCTTGGCACCAACTAATGGGGATCCCTAATAAATACAAATACATATACATGTTGTGTGTGAAAATACTCCCTACTAGAATAGCTGGCTTCTGTAAATTGTCTGATTCTGTCACCAAAATCTACAATGTCACCCTGTCTCACCTGTTTAGAGATACAATAGTTTAGCCATGTCTTCTGCGTCAGGGAGTTATGTAACCTTGTTATAACCAATAGGTATAGTTTATAACTAGGCCCCAATTTTCCTGCTCAGGAAAAACTCCTGGCCCAACTATGGCAAATTCTCCCCTGTATATACGCTCTGCATTTTTAACACCTAGCTTCAGTTGAATACAGCCATCAGTAGGGGGTTCAGTTGTAAAGCAAATGGCTGCTGCACATGTTAGCATTCTTAAGCATCTTGTTTTTTTTATGTTTTGTGTTTCACTGAGGTGATCCCACCGTGATTGACCGCATTTTAAAAACTGCCTGATGAAAGTATCCTTCGCCTTTTTGTACAAAGGCTGTTCTTCTGTCTGTGAACTTCAGTCACTTGAGGGTTTTACTTAAAAAGCCCTTTTGTGTTGGTGAGGGGAGGCAGAATTGGAGGGGGAGGGGGGGGGGGGGGGGGGGGGGGGGGGGGTAAATGTAACTTTAAAACATGTTACCATCTCAAAGCATACCATAGCAATGTTTTTTTGTTTCCAGATTAAAAGAGAATACGTATGTAATTAATCAAGAGGGCTATACTGTGAAAGTACACCGTTGACAAGGGAATAGCGAGATTCAAGTAATTTGGGCTATTTGTTTTCTGACCAATGTACAACTCATGGACCCTTTTCCTGCTTTTCATCCTGTTTTTTTAGGTTCATCAGTAGAGACCATTCTGTAAATGAGCACTGTGGTCAGTTAGGACTTCCTAGTGTTGTTCATTCAAGAAATGTTTCTGTTTGTAAATACAATAGAGTTGTCAATTCTCCAGAGACAGCTGTGTTCCTTTTATACCATCATCTAGTATTTAAAGGCTGTCAGATACTATTGATCATCATGTAATTTGTATAGACTTCTCTATTTTCAAATAAAAAACCACTTGTTTTTCTAAGCCATCTACCTAAAGGCTTTTAAAAACGGGCTTATTGTAAGCCTATTTGAGTTGTCATTTTTTAACATGTCAGTAATGGTCAGAATATACTAAGTGAAACATTTAATTGAAAACAGAATAATAAATATAAACCTCTCAAAGAACACTGGACTCTGTTGAAAATGTTTTTTTGTGTGGGGATGGGTGTCAATACAGCCTGGTCTCATAGACTAGATGTAACATGGTAAAATTAAATCCGGGACACTCCAAAAATGTGTATGTTATGTTATGTTTGGTATGGTTACATAAGACAGAAGGTTACTTTATCCAAAAACGAAAAGTGGGTGGTTGGTCGTATAACGCAAATGTCTAGCAACGCAAATTTCTAGTGTTTGAAGCTCATCGTGGAAACTTTTAGCAAATTAGCATATTTTCAACTACTAACTACTTTTTAGCTACTTTGCAACTACAACGCATGTTAGCTAACTCTTCCCCTAACCTTAAATCTTTTTTGCTAAACCTTTACCCTAACTCCTAACCCTAACCCCTAGCCTAGCTAACGTTAGTCAGCTAACTAACATTAGCATTAGCCACCTAGCTAACGTTAGCCACAACAAATTGGATTTTGTTACATATTACACATTTGCAAAATCATACATATTGTGCATTTCCCAAATTGTAACATATTGTATGTTTTGCAAATTCCTAACTTATCCTGCATTTTTCAAATTCGTATCTTATACAAAATGGATGATGGACATCCATAAGTTAATACATACCATAAGAAATGTAACGTATCATACTAAATGGAGTCTCTAAATGCTTAATGCTCTGAGACCAGGTTGGGTCAATAAAAACAGACAGCCATTGTGTAGTAACTGACATGTGTATTACCAATCTACTACAATGATAAATGTGAAATGATGCATGCCATCATGGTGAAAAGCCAAATGACTGCCAATTACCATTTGTAGACTAGCAGTGTGTACTGAGCGTCATCATGTAATTGTACTGTATTCCAACGAGTGGGCGTTCAGTTCAGTTCAGTTGTCACCACCAGCCAGACATCCCCTGGAATTTGGAGAGCACTAAGACTTAGTAGCAACACTACTGAGCCACATTCGTTGCACTTTAAACACGATCTGATTAATAGTGATGAGAACATCCACACCTTTTTAAACTAAGTCAGGAAGGAGGAAGGTATAGTTCTCACAAATACACATGTAGCCTACTGTACTTTTATCTCTTACTTTCTGTAACACTCGCCGTTGACGGTCATCACCTGGGCACAGGTAAAACCCAATGTCCATGTAAGGATAATCGGGCCCTGCACTTTTTCTGGATATTCTGCACGTTTGCAGTATTTCAGTGCGTTGGAATGAGTTTTATCACTGGTTGGAGACGCAGCGTGAAGAAAAATGACAAAGGGTGAGTAACAAAATCCACGTAACTAGGCTAGTTGCAATAGCCAAGGGTTTTTCCGAAGAAACCCAGCAATCTTTTATTTACAATATACAGCATCCTAAGCATGTTGTATTTGTGGTCACAACAGTGATTGGTTTATGTAGTGCGACATTTTGATTAACCTGTCTGTAGCTAGACGAATTTGATAAACATTGAGTGGTTGTGTAACCATACTGATACAAGGGACCCAAACTTTTGTATTTGTTAGAAATTAGAACGTTATTGCCAGGTGTTATTTTAGAATTAAGATGGAGACCGCATGAAGTGGGAAATGTAATAGACGTATTAAAAAATTACCACACAAAAATAGATTTATGACTGTTTCTACCCATCAATTCACACTAAAACTTTCAAACCTAGGAATAGCTTCTCTAATGTATAATCTAGGAGTAGTTTCTCTAATGTATAATCTAGGAATAGCTTCTCTAATGTATAATCTAGGAGTAGTTTCTCTAATGTATAATCTAGGGAAAGGACATTTGTAATCACAGTACCACCATGTTGCTCTTTAACATGACATGCCATCACTAGTGGTTAGGCCTACATCTGGAGATACATGTACAGTAAAGGAAGTTCAATGAAGATGGGGTAAAATTACACTAACTATAAAGGAATTATTTTGTAATAACAATACATCAAATATGTATAGGCAGTTACCGAATTTCTACTACTGTTTTCTTAGAAAATACAAAAGGAAAGAACTAGGTGCCCAAACTGCTTACTAACTATAGGCTACTAACTAAGTAGCTTGTTACAGTTGTATAGGCACGGGCCCACCCACTGGGGAAACAGGCACACCCAATAATTTTATTTTGTGTTTTAAATGGGACATTATTTGTCTTATTACCTAAACATGCAAACACCATCAGATAGAATTCATAGCTAGCAGTGCACTGGAATGACATTCAGATGAACTGGAATGACATGAACACTCATGGGATGGGTGGCCAAAAATAACTAACTGAAAGCCCCAATAAGCCACGGATATGACCAAATTGAGGCATATGTCACTGTGCTTCTATGGCTATATGCTCCATGCCACTGCCTATTTAATTTGTTCATTTAGCAAACAAGATGGCTCATAATCCAGTGCCTTTATCACAGTCAGCACATCTATATTTAAGCTTTAATTAGCTTTAAAAAAGCAACATTTTCTCTGTCTCATGGCAAAATGTGTAGAGTAGCATGAGATTAGCTATAAAACTGCTATTTTCCCTCTGCCTCATGTCAAAATGTGTAGAATTGCAGGAAATTAGCTTTAAAACAGCAGACTTTTTTTCTCAGCCTCATGGCAAAAGGTGTAGAATAGCATGAGATTAGCTATGAAACTGCACATTTTTCTCTCTGCCCCATGGCATAAATGTATAATTATGTTTTCTGGCTATGCTACTGGCTTGTTACGAAGTAATTATACAAGTTGTTCTACTGGTGTTTATTCTGGAGTGAGGCCTATGTAAAAATATGGCACCAGCTACCACTCCCTCTCAGATGATATGCTTTGGTAAGGAAAAATACACTACTGAATATAAAGCTATACTGAACAAAAATGTAAATGGAACATGTAAAGTGTTAATCCCATGTTTAATTAGCTGAAATAAAAGATCCCAGACATTTTCCATATGCACAAAAAGCTTATTTCTCTGATTTTGTGCACAAATCTGTTTACATCCCTGTTAGTGAGTATTTCTCTTTTGCCAAGATAATCCATCCACCTCAGGTGTGGCATATCAAGAAGCTGATTAAACAGCATGATCATTACACAGGTGGACCTTGTGCTGGTGACAATAAAAGGCCACTCTAAAATGTGCAGTTTTGTCACACAACACAATGCCACAGATGTCTCAAGTTTTGAGAGAGTGTGCAATTGGCATGCTGACTTCAGGAATACTTACTAGAGCTGTTGCCAGATAATTGAATGTTCATTTCTCTACCATAAGCCACTTCCAACGTCGTTTTCAAGAATTTGGCAGTACGTCCAACCGCAGACCACATGTAACCACGCCAGCCCAGGACCCCCACATCCGGCTTCTTCACCTGCGGGATTGTCTGAGACCAGCCATCCAGACAGCTAATGAAACTGTGGGTTTGCACAACTTAAGAATTTCTGCACAAACAGTCAGAAACAGTCTCAGGGAAGCTCATCTGCATGCTCGTCGTCCTCACCAGGGTCTTGACCTGACTGCAGTTCGGCATCGTAACAGTCTTCAGTAGGCAAATGCTCACCTTCAATGCCCACTGGCACACTGGAGATGTGTGCTCTTCACGGATGAATCCTGATTTCAACTGTACCGGGCAGATGGCAGACAGCGTGTATGGCATCGTGTGGGCAAGCAGTTTGCTGATGTCAACGTTGTGAACAGAGTGCCCCATGGAGGCGGTGAGGTTATGGTATGGGCAGGCATAAGCTACGGACAATGAACACAATTGCTTTTAATCAATAGCAATTTGAATGCACAAAGATAGCATGACGAGATCCTGAAGCCCATTGTCGTACCATTCACTCGTCGCCATCACCTCATGTTTCAGCATGATAATGCACGGCCCCATATCACAAGGATCTGTACACAATTACTAGAAGCAGAAAATGTCCCAGTTCTTCCATGGCCTGCATACACAGAAGACGTCACCCATTGAGCATGTTTGGGATGCTCTGGACGTGTACGACAGCGTGTTCCAGTTTCCGCCAATATCCAGCAACTTCGCACAGCCATTGAAGAGGAGTGGGACAACATTCTGCAGGCCACAATCAACACCCTGATCAACTCCATGCGAAGGAGATGTATCGCGCTGCATGAGGCAAACTGTAACTCAGTAAAATTGTTGCATGTTGCATTTATATTTTTGTTCAGTGTACAAACCAATGAACTGAAATAGAAATAGAAAGTAAACTAGAATAGTAAATGTAGATTAGCAACTACAGGAGAGGAATTGGATTACCATTGGCGATCTCAGCATTGGTAAATGAGACTAATCCCCTAGTGCTTAGCTTACTGTATATTCTGTCTGGTATACTGTGACCCTAGGGACACCATGCAGGCTGAAGAAATCTCAGCCGACCCCAATGGCTCCCCAACACTGTAAGTTTACTGTACATGGAACAGTTTCTGTGAAATATATATTTCTCATTATGTCAAGGCATTGAATGGGATCTGATTCATTTAGTCATTCATAACAGCATGGTTTTGCTTCTAGGTTGTCCGTCATAAACAGTCCAGAACTTGACTCCATCCACACAGATTTCAAGTAAGTTATCCCTTCTGTCAATTTCTGTACCCTAGGCATGTTTGACAACAGAATTCTATTGATAGACTTTCGTTGGGCAAAATACATATTACATTTTGGTTAATCTACCCCTGCACTGAAAATATTTTTCTGTGTCAGGATTTCTATGGGTTACAATATTATGTTACTCACACAACAGTCCCTATTCAAATAGTTTCCATCCCTTGTGCTCACCTTTTTTTCTAAATGGCCTAAATTTTGTCCCCCTGTTTCAGGTTACAGTTACCAGACAACAAAGATTCACTCAACTCTACAGAACCATTGAACACGTAAGTCTCAGAGTCAATGGCTGATGGCTGGGTGATATACAGGGTTGAGTAGTTAGAGCAGGGGTGTCAAACTCATTTTAGCTCAGGGGCCACATGGAGGAAAATCTATTCCCAAGTGGGCCGGACCGGAAAAATCATGGTATATATAACTTAAAAACAACAACTTCAGATTGTTTTCTTTGTTTTAATATGATCAACATACAACATAAAGCTGGAGCCTGAGGACAGTGTGTCCAAAATAGTACAAGCACAACATCACTATTAATCATAAAACACGTCAAGTTTATTTGAAAATTCTAAAGAAAAAGAACACACAAACACACAATGCCTCAGTGATTAACAGAACTGTTTCACAGATCACAGAACTATATCAGGGTGTCATTTCTCAGGCAGAAATGTAGATAAAAATAATGAAATCCTGTTCCCCAAACAAGTGCAAGAACCACAGAGTCAAGAATAGGTTAAATATACAAATAAAATAAAATCAATTAAAAACAATAGCACATCAACATAAAAACATATAAACATAAAGCTGGAGTCTGAGGACAGTGTCCAAAAGCACAAGATGACTATTAATCATAAAACACCTCAAGTTATTTGAAAGTTCTGAGGACAAAGAACACACAAACACACAATGCCTCAGTGATTCACAGAAGTATATCACAGATCACAGAACTATATCAGGGTGTCATTTCTCAGGCAGAAATGTAGATAAAAATAATGAAATCCTGTTCCCCAAACAAGTGCAAGAACCACAGAGTCAAGAATAGGTTAAATATACAAATAAAATAAAATCAATTAAAAACAATAGCACATCAACATAAAAACATATAAACATAAATCTGAAAGCGTTGCTCAAACTCCCGTAACAGTCCCGTTATTTTATCTTTGAACCGCTTCATGTCTGCCACATGTTGGGTCGCGCACACATTTTTCAGACAGGGGAAGTGAGCTGCATCACCACCGGCAAGTTGCGTCTCCCACAATGACAGCTTCAACTTGAAAGAACGTATGCTGTCATAATACTGCGTGACAACTTTGTTGCGCCCTTGCAGCTGTTTGTTCAAGTTATTCAGGTGCTCTGTAACATCCACCATAAATGCAAGGTCCGGCATCCATTCTGCGGAATGAAATTCTAACACTGGTTTGCCCTTTTCTTCCATGAACTGTTCAATTTCTTCTCGTAAATCAAAGAAACGCCTCAGCACAGCACCTCGGCTTAACCATCTTACCTCAGTGTGGTATGGCAGGCCATAGATGTGGTCTTTCTCTCTGAGAAGGCTGTCAAACCGACGGTGATTCAGGCTTCTGGATCGGATGAAATTAACAGTTTGGATGACCACCTTCATGACGTTATCCATCTTTAATGACTTGCAACACAAAGCCTCCTGGTGCAAAATACAGTGAAAAGTCAAAAAATCACGTCCTCCATTTGCAGATTGCACTTTCTCTCTGAACTTTGTCACAACGCCTGCTTTTTTCCCGATCATTGAGGGCGCACCATCTGTAGCCAGGCTGACAGCGCGGGACCAGTCCACTCCGACCCTGTCCAGCGCGCCGACGAGTGCGGTAAAAATATCAGCTGCTGTCATTGTATCTGTCATCGGCACCAACTCCACGAACTCCTCGGTGACGGTCAATGTGTCATCAACTCCGCGGATGAAAAAATGGCCAGTTGTGCAACATCTGTAATGTCCGTGCTTTCATCAATTGCAACCGAAAACGCAATAAATGACTTTACTTTTTGCTTCAACTGGCTGTCCAAATCCACTGAAAGATCGGAAATCCTGTCTGCAACTGTGTTTCTTGTCAGGCTGATATTTGCAAAAGCCTGCCGCTTTTCAGGGCACACAATCTCCGCTGCCTTCATCATGCATGTTTTTACAAATTCACCCTCACTAAATGGTTTTGAAGCCACTGCGATTTCATTAGCAATGAGGTAGTTAGCTTTCACTGCAGCGTCACTGATGTCTCGGCTGTGAGTAAACACAGACTGCTGTTTCTTCAGACCCGCCAACAGTCCATTCACCTTCTCTCATCTCCACTGTCCTTGAAAGTTGTCATATTTGTCGGCATGAAGACTCACATAGTGGCGACGAAGGTTATATTCTTTCAGCACTGCAACATGCTCTGAACACACCAAACATACAGCTTTCCCATTCAATTCCGTGATTAAATAGGATGACCATTTTTCTTGGAACACTCTGCACTCTGCGTCCATTTTTCTCTTTTTTGACAGAGACATATTGGGGCAATGAGGGTGCCAAAGCACATAATGTTAAAAGTAGAAGCCGTAATAAATATCGCGGGCAAAACAAAGTAGCTCATTGGCTGCACGTGCTTGACCTACTTGCTCTGCCCCGGTATAAACAGTTTGCTTGCTTAACACAATTGCTATTGCGCCATCCAGTGGACGCAATTGGAACAGCAGTTTATTTAATTGAAAAATTGCAGGGCATTTTTATACTTACATTTTTATTTTTTTTTATTTTTTATTATTTTTTTTATCATCTCGCGGGCCGGATTAAACCCGTTTGCGGGCCTGATCCGGCCCGCGGGCCGTACGTTTGACACCCCTGAGTTAGAGGAAAGGGTATTGAAAATCACCAGTAAGCGGGAGGGCAATGACATTTCTCCTTCCTGCTGTTCAACATATTAATAATTCAGATAAGTACGCCATTAATGCTGGCTATAATCTCAGCTCCGGTCCAGGCAGGGAGGAATCAAGAGGAAGACCAGACTATATTCTCAACCGTAGAGATATCATTTGATTTCAATGCCTCTCACCATTCCGCAGCAACTGGTCGGCTTTAACTCTATACATGTGAGAAGGAGGCTGTTGTTGTGACCACACAGATTTATTGACATCACATGATTTTGATATCCGGCAGGCATTTCCACCATGAAGAGAAAGAGAGGAGGGTCATATTGCCTTACAGGTGTAGAGATGAAGATAAGATGTGGTTGGTTCTACCTTTGGCACAGTGTGTCATTGGGTTCCTTAGGTTATGCCATCAGTATTTCCTTGGGCTACACTACCTCTGGTCTTTATTTGTTCAATATTGTATGACATCGATATTTGATCATTCCTAAGGTCTTAAACAAGCAGAGAGACTTTACTTAGACCTTACCACAACTGCCGACACAACATTTTTATCTCATTTCTTTGAGGAAATAACTGCTTAAATATGGATTTCGTGGGAGGTGGAGCTTTCCCTAAAATGAATTGCTTTCCCATGATAATTTATTACAGAAAGGAATGTAAATTCCCTGAGTCAAAAAGAGCAGGAGCCTGAATTTAACCCCTAGATGCTGTCCTAATGCTCATATATGTAAACACTTCAACTGATACAGATCTCAGAGAGCAAGATAACGAAACACTCAATGTAAATTTGAATCCACTTTTTTCAGGCAAGGCTTTGCATCCGGAGGCAAGATGTTCATTGTGTAACATAAATGTATTCATACATCGAAGAAGATGATCCACCCACACATGACCCTAGTGTGTACTGTTGGTAAACTCTGGCATCGCTCAATGAATAAAATACAAGGACAGGTTTCTTGTATACCCTATGGCTGTCAGAGGGGTGGAGATGCAGAGGAGTGACGTATAATGGGGGCAATGATACGCTGGTCTGATGTGTCCCTGCTGCACTGCCTGCTGAATAATGTTCCCCAGAGGAAACTAACTAACCTTGACTGAGGCAAAGTCGTGTGTGTGTGTGTGTGCATGTGTGTGTGTGCCTGAGCTGACCTCTTTGCGCGTGTCTTGAGATTCACAGATTTACCATGTTGTAGATCACTCCTCCTCTATGACCTACATTTAGACAGCAGTCTGAGAGCTCATTCTGATAAGTGGCTGGCTATTTCCATGGGTCATTCACTTCCAGAGCGATTGGCTGTAGTGTAATTGCTGGATCTCAGTGGTACTCATCTCTCTCTCGTTACACAGTGTTCTACTGACTCTGTAATAGGGGGAACCCGAGGCAGTGCGTCTGTGCGTCTGTGCTGCTGCTGCAGAAGTCAGCCTGAGTCACTGCAGTAAAGGCTTCCTTCTTAGCAGGACTCTTCCTCTCACCGGCATAAAGTCATTGTACATCTCTGTCTGTCTTGCCGAGGGATATTGCCGTCTTCCATTCAAGATATTCAGGGATCTGAATTAGTTCTGCTGGGTTTTTTTTGCGGTCGTCTGAGTGCAGTAGCCTATCGCCTTTGGTTGATGTTATACTCAGGGTACCACCTTTCTGTGGTGCATAGTGAATGTTTTGGCTTATGGTTTTAGTTTTGTATCATTTGACTCTAGTCCTGTGCAGCTAGGCCAGCCCTGCTACTGCATCAGCCTATCAGAGAAGAAACTGCAGTGTGTAGCGTGAGTGTGATGATGGGAAGAGGTGGGACAGGAGGAGGAGAGTTAAGGGACTGTGTGTGTTTGTGGAGGCGGAGAGTTGGGGGGTGGAAGATGTTTAGTTTCTCTGTGTGATAGTCATCCCAATCTTATTAAGGGCTGCGTTCTTCCTCCCCTCTCCTGCCTGCTGCTGTTGCCAGAGGGATTGACTGTGTCGCGCTGCGCAGCTGGAAAGGCCTGAGCCAGATAGTCAATTCTCTTCTGCGTTTGCTGTCGCTCTACCTCCCTCTAGTACTCTGTCTGCCAGATGAAAATGTCAGGAGAAGCAGAAACTCTATCAAACGGGTAAGAGTTATGTAGATACTGCTGCATGGTGAAGTGATAGGTACTGACAGTGTGTTGAAGTAAACAGAGAGATGCTGCATTTGTGGTTTTGTGTGTGTGTTTGAATGTGATATACTGTCACTAGTAATAATTTCTACAGTGATTGAAACAAGAGAGGGTTCTCAAGTTAGATGTATCCGGAAAAACTAGACAGGTCTATTTTTAAAGATCCACCTCTTCTCTTTTGTCTGATGATTTCATTGTGTTTAGAAGCAGCTTGTTTTACTGCAGTATTACTTTGTTGGCATTTCTTGACTTACTAGTACTTTAATTCAATGTAAATTAACACTGGTGAAAGCTTTCAGGAGGAATGCAGATAAAGCAATGTTGTATCAGTGTGTGTGTGTGTGTGTGTGTGTGTGTGTGTGTTTGTTCGTCTGAGTGAGTATGTGTGCATGTTTGATTACCTCTCAGAGCAATGATCTCTATTGTGCAATTTGCCCTCCAGAGAAATCACCATTGCAGAGTTGCTGACTTCAATTAATTAATTATCTGGACAATGTATACTATGCGCAACCTTTCAGGAAACAATAGCCTCCATTGTGTGTACATTATAATGCAATTTCTCAGACCCATCTATGCCCCTTTTGAGTTTATGGTTAACAGTCTTTATAAGTGTGCAATGTTAAACTACGGGGGACTCCAAGCTAGGCTGAAAAGATGGGCTACAGAGAATGTCATGTCTTTGTTTTTACAGAGACCTGGCTTACGGACAATACACTTGACTGCTATTCAACCAGAAAGCTTTTCCATTTTCCATATGGGTCAAACGGCGACTACTGGTAAGAGTAGGGGGAGGTGTATGTTTCCTCATCAACAATTCCTGCTGTACCGAAGTTGAAACCATCTGGAGCTCCTGTTCACCTGACTTGGTGTTTCTGATGCTAAAATGCCGACCTCACTATATGCCAAGTGAATTAAAATGTGTTATTTTCACAGCTGTTTACATACCGCCAAAAGCGAACATCAAGGTGGCACTCAGCGATCTGTACAAGAGCATTAGCCAGCAAGAATCCTCTCATCCGGAAGCAGTCTTTATTGTCACAGTTGATTTTAACCAAGCACGTTAAAAAAAAAAAAAGTTCCTAAATATCACCAACATGTATCCTGCCCCATGAGAGGAAACAACGTGCTGGACCATGTATATACAAACATCCGTGTCTCGTACAAAGCCATCCCCACCCTCACTTCGGCCAATCAGAACACGTGTCTCTGTTCCTACTCCCTGCCTACAAGAAGCAAGTCAAGAGGGAGCCACCATCACAGAGAATAGATAGGTGCTGGACAGAGGAGGCAGATTCAATGCTGCAGGAGTGTTTTGATAATACTGATTGGAATATGTTCAAAGATTCATCCACCCAGGACTCATCCATTAACATTGAGGAATATACATTGTCACTCACAGGCTTTATTAGGAAATGTGTTGATGATGTTGTACCCACAATAACAATCTGGACATAACCCCAACTAAAAACCCTGGCTGAACGGACATATCCGTACCATGCTGATAGCCCGAACTGCAGCATTCGGCGTACAAGGCAAGCAGATACAAGCTCCGCAAATCCATTATGGAAGCAAAAAGACAATACAGACTCAAACTTGAATTGATGTTTGACAACTCAGACTCACAACACATGTGTCAAGGACTACAGACTATCACGGACTACAAAGGCAAATACAGCTGTGTGGTGCCCACCCAAGCCTCCCTCCCAGAGGAGCTTAACACATTCTATGCTCGCTTCGAGGCAGACAATACTGAGCCATCCAGAAAGACTCGCTGCTCCGGACGACCAGGTGCTTTCGTTCTCCGAGGCTGACGTGAGGAAAACTCTCAAAAGAACATCCCTGGCTGCGTCCTCAGTGTGTGCTGACCAGCTGGCGGCATCTTCTCTGACATCTTCAACCTGTCCCTGTCCCAGGCTGTAGTCTCCACCTGCTTCAAAGAGACTACCATCGTCCCAGTGCCCAAGAAAAACAAGGTGACATGCCGAAAATGACTATCGCCCCGTCACACTCACCCCAGTCATCATGAGGTGCTTCAAGAGGCTGGTCATGGCCCACATCAAGGCCATCATACCAGGTACACTGGACCCAGTCCAATCTGCCTACCGCTCCAACAGATCCACGGAAGATGTAATTTCCATCGCTATTCACACGGCCCTAACACATCTGGACAAGAGGAAAAGCGCTGTAGCCAAAGCTTTTCATTGGCTACAGTTCAGCATTCAACACAAGTTTTCCCTCCAAACTCGACACCAAGCTCACAGCCCTGGGTCTGGACAGCCTCTGCAACTTGATCCTGGACTTCCTGACACCTCCTCCACAATGACCTTTTAAAATGATTTTTTACCCCCTTTACTCCCCAATTTTGTCATATCCGATTGGTAGTTACAGTCTTGTCCCATCGCTGAAACTCCTGTACAGACTCGGGAGAGGTGAAGGTCGAGAGCTGTGCGTCCTCCGAAACACAACCCTGCCGCAAACATGCACTCACTCGCACACACCCACACAGATGTATATACTCATCCACACACTCACACACACACATTCATGCTACACACACATCACAACTGCTGCTACCAGACTTATTATTATTGCTAAATACTGCACAATGTAAACATTTGCCCCCCAATCCCCCCTTCCCCAAAGCACGTGTAAATATTGCACTATAAATTGTGCCTTCCTGTATTATACTTATGCTAAAATGTATATTCTATTCTACTGAGCCATTTACTTTGTGTTCGTATTCTTATCTTTTATTTCTTATTGTTGTTGAATTGTCAAGAAGAAACCTGCAAGTAAGCATTTTGTTTGGACGGAGTATGCCATGTGTATCCTGTACATACGACTAATAGAACTTGAAACATGTCCTACTTTAGCACTTTTGAACAAGTATTGTCTGATTTCCATCTGTACTTTCTTCTGGACAAGTTTGTTATCTTTGGTCTGATAAACAACTAAACCAACTCTCCAACATAACAGCCAAGTAATTTTTTGATGTGCGTCAGCAGGTTTTGTTTATTCAATAAGAAAAAAAAAATCTTAAGGTCCAGAACAGTCAAATTCATGTTTTTCATGAAATGTTATGATATTTGGATGAAACCAAATCAAAGTAGGACTACCAAAGTATGAAAAATGACTGTTGCTTCTACATTGATCAAATCAAATCAAAATATATTTGCCACATGCGCCGAATACAACAGACAATGAAAATTAGCTGTTCAGGAGTCTTATGGCTTGGGGGTAGAAGCTGTTAAGAAGCCTTTTGGACCTAGACTTGGCCCTCCGGTACTGCTTGCTGTGCGGTAGTAGAGAGAACTTTGATCATAGTTTTATCATAAAGTTTCTGGTCTCCCCCATGTCAAACACTTGGATTCAGGAGGCGGGATTATTACGTTTTTTTTGTAGTGATGTTATGTTTGATACCAGAGTTCTGAGGCATGCCTTGAAAATTTTACTGCAGCGTGTCAGCGAAGAGGTTTCCCATATTCATCTAAGGCAAATATACTTATAGGTTTCCGCTTTCATCTGTGTCTGGCGTTAGCTAGTTACTGGTTAGCTAGGTCTTCAGCCAGCATGGAACAAAAGCGGGGGAAGGTTTTCCCAAAACTCGGACGCAGTTGTCATGTCGTTACATCAAGAGACATGCAAAAGGGGGGGATTCATACAAACTGCTTGACATCATTGATAGTCATGATATACAGTGCCTTGCAAAGGTATTCATTCCCCTTGGCGTTTTTCCTATTTTGTTGCATTACAACCTGTAATTTAATTGGGTTTTTATTTGGATTTCATGTAATGGACATACACAAAATAGTCAAAATTGGTCTAGGGAAATGAAAAAAATAACTTGTTTCAAAAAAATAAATAACGGAAAAGTGGTGCGTGCATATGTATTCACCCCCTTTGCTATGAAGCCCCTAAATAAGATCTGGTGCAACCAATTACCTTCAGAAGTCACATAATTAGTTAAATAAAGTCCACCTGTGTGCAATCTAAGTGTCACATGATCTGTCACATGATCTCAGTGTATATATACACCTGTTCTGAAAGGCCCCAGAGTCTGCAACACCACTAAGCAAGGGGCACCACCAAGCAAGCGGCACCATGAAGACCAAGGAGCTCTCCAAACAGGTCAGGGACAAAGTTGTGGAGAAGTACAGATCAGGGTTGGGTTATAAAACAATATCCGAAACTTTGAACATCCCACGGTGCACCATTAAATCCATTATAAAAAAATTGAAAGAATATGGCACCACAACAAACCTGCCAAGAGAGGGGCGCCCACCAAAACTAACGGACCAGGCAAGGAGGGCATTAATCAGAGAGGCAAGAAAGAGACCAAAGATAACCCTGAAGGAGCTGCAAAGCGCCACAGCGGAGATTAGAGGATCTGTCCATAGGACCACTTTAAGCCGTACACTCCACAGAGCTGGGCTTTACGGAAGAGAAAAAAGCCATTGCTTAAAGAAAAAAATAAGCAAACACGTTTGGTGTTCGCCAAAAGGCATGTCGGAGACTCCCCAAACATATGGAAGAAGGTACTCTGGTTAGATGAGACAAAAATTGAGCTTTTTGGCCATCGAGGAAAACGCTATGTCAGGCGCAAACCCAACACCTCTCATCACCCCGAGAACACCATCATCGGCAGGGACTGGGAAACTGGTCAGAATTGAAGGAATGATGGATGGCGAAGTTCTTGAGGGAAACCTGTTTCAGTCTTCCAGAGATTTGAGACAGGGACGGAGGTTCACCTTCCAGCAGGACAATGACCCTAAGCATACTGCTAAAGCAACACTTGAGTGGTTTAAGGGGAAACATTTACATGTTTTGGAATGGCCTAGTCAAAGCCCAGACCTCAATCCAATTGAGAATATGTGGTATGACTTAAAGATTGCTGTACACCAGTGGAACCCATCCAACTTGAAGGAGCTGGAGCAGTTTTGCCTTGAAGAATGGGCAAAAATCCCAGTGGCTAGATGTGCCAAGCTTATAGAGACATACCCCAAGAGACTTGCAGCTGTAATTGCTGCAAAAGGTGGCTCTACAAAGTATTGACTTTGAGGGGGGTGAATAGTTATGCACGCTCAAGTTTTCTGTTTTCTTGTTTTATTTCTTGTTTGTTTCACAAAAAAAAATATTTTGCATCTTCAAAGTGGTAGGCATGTTGTGTAAATCAAATGATACAAACCCCCCAAAAATCCATTTTAATTCCAGGTTGTAAGGCAACAAAATAGGAAAAATGCCAAGGGGGGGTGAATACTTTCGCAAGCCACTGTATGAACATTGTCTGGCAGTCAATATATGTAATGTACCCAGACCTCAACCTGTTTCAACAAAAAATGTCTAAGATGGACTAGCTAGCTAGCTTGATAAACAGTGCTGACAATTACTTTTGGGCTAGCTACACAAATTATATAGCCAACATTTGGTCTATATTGATGCTTTTACAATAACCAAACAATTTGTGAAACAATGACAGGATTGGATGTATGCAATTTTAATGTTGTTTGAGTTGCTTTATGTCTCAGCAAATTTTCTTGACATTATCTCACTGCAACACTGCTCACATGCGTCATAAGCGTTTTCAAAGAACTGTCAGTCATGGTGAGCTCCCCGCCCACTTAGTCTGTCTTTTCAGTCATCGAGGTAGTTATCGGGTAAAATATTGTGGCTGATGTTTTAGTCACTCAAAAGGCTATTTTACATGGGAATCAGAATGACTGTTCGGGACTTTTAAAGGTGTTTGCTGATTGTAGCAACTGATTGGAAACTGGGCCTTATGGAGACTCAATGTGTGGTAATATTGGCACCAAGACTGTCTGTGTTGCACTGACATTCATGACTGTGTGTTGTAGTGAGCAGGAAGTGAATGACCTATAAGCTGCTCATAGGGTAGAAGGATGGTATGGTCATCCCCATGTCATTAGCCTGTGAAGGGAAGGAAATAAAGGTCTGTTGTTCCATATGGAACCTAATGGATTCATTATAGTTTTTGAGAGATTTCAAGCATGGTCCAGCATAAAGAGGTCCTCTGTATCACTGATCTGCTGGAATGTAAAGGGATGGCTGTCAGTTAGTTACCCTCATTGTAGAGATAGGCCAGCCTCCATTGTTTGGCTTAATACATTGAACCCAATTTGCTGGGAAGACATTTTGTCGACCTTGGGGTGGTTTTGGTATCAAAATAGTGTGGCATAGGACCATAGGGGTTTTCAGCCTGTTGAACATCAGAGCCCTCAGCCTAATGGTTGCTGTTTCTGTCTGGGTATAACTCTGGACCCTATGTGACCGTTTTCTTGTAATCTCTTTATGAAATGAAACTGAGGGCACACTCTGGTTTCAAAGGTACCTACTGTACCAGTAAATATCTGTTGTAAACAAACCTTTTAAACAATTAAAGTGCATAGTGCTCTATTGTTTAGTGCTCTTGTTTTTAATGGTAGGGAGCCTTGACATCAATATTTGTTTGTTTGGGATGAAGATTACTCTATATTAAAAGATTTGGTGAACCCCCACTTATTTTGATTAAATCATCCATTTTTTCATGCCGAGCGAATGAGAAAGCTGCTCACTGAAGAAGCTGTGGGAAAAAATCCAATAATCTTGTCAGATGAGAATAAATGTGCTTTAAGATGATAGCAGTAAAATAACTCTCGATGGTAGCTAGAACAGCAGAGAAAACAATGCAGAAGCCTGCTCAGATCAGGTGAGAGACTAGGACAATATCATGACCTGCACTCCTCACAGAACATTTGGAGGTGTTCTGTGTTCCTCTTGCCCTACTACTAAGAACAGAACAGGGCACTGCAGCAGAGTTGCCTGGGAGAGAAAAAAGAAGTGACGTGGCTCTTTTTTAAGATATCCGTTACTGTAAATAGACAGTGAAATGCTCCTTTGTAGTTAAAGCTATGTCATGCTACTCTATATAGAGCTCATAGTCATTTCACCTAGTTCTTGACATGAACAAACATGATTTTGTCCTGGGGTTCATTCATAACATAATAGAACACATTTAGGTCCACTGGGAAGTTGGCAGTAATAAACTTCTTTCATTCGACAATGTAAACCTAATTTATCTCAGAGGCAAATTATTTACTTGTTTGAGGGGACGTCAAAAATAGAATGTGTTATTTTAACATTTAGGTTCTGCACTGAGGACCAATGGTAGGTATTGTCCAAGACCCATCATTATGTGTTAAAGTAACATACTTATTTGACCAACCCTTCATCTGTCTCTTTCCCATTTCCTATTTTCTGTATCTCAGGTCCCAGAAGTCAGACCTGTCTGTGGCCCTGGAGGACTGCATGGCAGCGCTGGACCTGTTCCTGAGGAATGACTTTGAGGAGGCCCTGTCCAGGCTTCGCTGCAGGTGAGAGAACTGGACCCTGGTCGTGTGGGTCGACACAAGTGGCAGGTGGTAATACTGTGTGCTACTTTCACAAACACCAAATAGCACTGGCAAGAGGCCTGGTTTCCTGATCAGATTGCGCTTCGCCAACTCCTTTCTTGTTCATTGTCATGTCATAACCTGGGGGACCAGGCTAGGCTGGTGCTACAGTACAGTGTACACTCTGTGCTAGTTTCATAAACTTCACCTCTCCTGTTTGACACCCCTTCAGCATTGTGTTCAAACACAGCATCATCAAGTTTCCTATTACTCTCTGTGAATTCTCTCCTTCATTATCATGACCTTCTCAACATACAATCTTTTCTCTTCTTTGGCCACTCCCAAACCACAGTTTCTCTCCAGCCCTCCCTAGTGTTACACAACTCAATGGATATACAGTACTTAGCTAATCCCTCCCAGTTTCCATGTTGATCTCCTCTTTTAGTTCTGAAATGGACATGGTAGCCGAGTCAAGCTTTAAATTAAGGGAATATTTACCCCAAAGGGTAATCTTGTCAAACCTGCCATCGCCCAACCCTCTTGCTCTTACCACGCAAGGCTTGGCATATTCTGTCAGCTGTTACCCTGGGGCGAGGCGATGGGAGTGATGGTAGACTGAGTTCTGTTGGCAGAGCAAAGGTATAGGCATTTAAACTCCCCTCTGGCTTCCTTTGTTTGCTACCGGTATTCAAAGAAAACCTTTGTGAGAAAAGCCTCCACGTCATCAGCATCCTAGTGTGTTGAGCATAGGTTTACACAGTACTGTGTGAGAGAACAGTAATAAGAGAAAATCTATTAAATGAAAAAAAAAAACCTGTAGTTAAAGCCTGTGGTGCTGAAATAGCAGTGCGTCTCTCTTTCTCTCTCTCGCTCTCCCTCCTTTCCTCTCCTCTCCTCCCTTCAGGCTGATGTACTGTACTGACGCAGTAAGCTGGGCCAGGTATAGTCCAGAATCTCTGCAGCACAGCACACACAGTGGCAGGCGTTCTCCTTTATACTAAACCCATGTAATAATGCAGAGAGTATGTTTATACTGTGGTTTGCCTTTTTTCATATCACAGAATGCTAAACACAGCAATATATATTTGCTGAAATATACATTTGATCAAACAGCAAGATGATCATAAGCTACTATATGTTCATAGTGAAAGAGACAAAGGCTTGCAGTTAGATCTGTTTTTAAAAAAGGAAGGCACTGCAATGACATCAAAACAGACAGCCTTTTAATTTCACAGCTTTATATTCGGATTAGACAGATTCTGCATTGCCTGCTGCTCTCTGAAGCTACTAGTTAGCTGTTCAAACATGCAGACTGGGCAGGAACAGCAGCATGCCTTATGTAATTGTCCTGTCCCAATGAAGTACTTGGTTGCTAGTGTTTTACACTAGGTGTGGAAGTGTTGATCTAGTATACATAGTAAAAAGTAGGGGAGGGGCTGCTATACTGTGCAACACGTAGAAATGGAACACACATGTTCAGACAGAGGGTGTAGCGTCACCACCTAGCATGTCTCCATCTCATTGGCTGTCCACAATTCAGGCTAAAAGGCAGAGACACGATGGATAGCAACTTACACTATAAATCGTACTACTCTGAAGACAAGAGTAACCAGCTTAACAGAGCTCCCTCATTCTAATGCTTTATTCTTAGGAACTGTGTCAGAGCAATTTGACCACACTTACAAACAACTAAAGTTGCCTTATGTTGGCACTCAACGTGAGCGCTGTCAGGTTGTGGAATTCACGTGCATGTGCATGATGAGACGGAACACCTCTCTCCTGCTGGCTGGCTCTTTTTAAGGTGGTGTTTTTTTTTTGCAGAACATTAGATTAGATTTACCCATGATGGTGATTAAGCTTCAGGAGTCAGGAGTGCAGGCCCGTCACAGTCTCCACTGGCCCTTGTCCATCTCCGTCTCCACAACAGTCAACAACAGCAGACGGAAGGCAGGCAGGCAGCAGGCACAAACATCCCAATTCATGGCCTGTTTTTACCATGATGCTCTTTTTCCTGACTAAATAGCTCCTGATTTGTCTCCCCTTGAAAAAAGACACTATATATACAAAAGTATGTGGACACCCCTTCATATTAGTGAATTTGGCTATTTCAGCCACACACGTTGCTGACAGGTGTATAGAATCGAGCACACAGCCATGCAATCTCCATAGACAAACTCAGTGACTTTCAATGTGGCACTGTCATAGGGTGCCACCTTTCCAACAGGTCAGTTCGTCAAATTTCTGCCCTGCTAGAGCTGCCCCGGTCAACTGTAAGTGCTGTTATTGTGAAATGTGAAATGTCAGGCATGCAGACATGCGACATTCCAGTGAAGAGACTCGCACCAGCATTGTCCCATCCTGCCACTGTGACTATGGTGGGACCTGCTGAGAACAAGTCAGACCAGCACTCCTGGTTGTGGAATGTTAGTGTCACAGTGTGACATTCAGGGAATTCACATGGGCCTGTTTCCAAGGGAACATATTGTAACTTAAAGGAGCTGGGCTTTTAAAGAGTGTTTGGTCAGAAAATACATTAAATATACTACATATTGAATATCAATTATTATATACTTATACTTTGACAGTAAGGACATCCATACTTGTGCTCCTCCTCTTCCTTTGTTTTGAAGACATACAAAGGAATCTTTTTTGTTGAGCCATCTGACTGCATTTTGCGAAGGCAACAATCGCTGCTAAAAATAGAGCTCAATATTTCGGATTCTTTTTTTCTTCCTTCCCAGAATCAAAGACAGCATGTACCATGCGCTCACATACGCCACCATACTGGAGATGCAGGCCATGATGACCTTTGACCCGGAGCACATCCTGGCAGCGGGCAACACCATGAAGGAAGCTCAGGCAGTGTGTCAGCGGTAAGGCTAATTTGTAATGGGTCTTTACTAAAACAGATCTTCAAAGTTATTGTATGTATTTATTTCATTTAGAGGCAAAAAAAGCAAAAACAAACGCTTTGGCTCAGTGGTAAGGCTCCCCTATAAGATCAGTCAATCATGAAGAGAGGAACCACATGATCTGATCAAGTGAAACCACTTTGTGAATTTTGTAACACGTGTTTGTGACTAAACAAGACACATTTAACTCATTAACTCCTATTATGAAGAACAACAATATACAGGGGAAATCCATTTGGTTCTGGAGAAACCCAGCCATTCCAGTGGGGAGAACCTCTGGCTGTTTTGGGAGATGTTCATCCTGGTCTGTGGTGGCTGGTTAGCTCCATGTTCTGTGAGATAATCACAGAGCAGATATCACCCAGGTCCTATTAGATCTCGCTGGCTGGTGGAATTTCAGAGCGGCCTGTAACAGTGAGTGTGTGAAAATGTCCTGTACGGACACGCCTCTCCAAAGGGTGGGACACACACACATACAAACTCCAGGACTGGGCCTGCCACACCGTCTGAGGCCCTGGGGGCTCAGGAGGAACCCCATGATCAGGACTCTGTGCTAATCTGAGCGATGCTCTACATCTTATCTACACAAGCCATGAAATGTGTCTGGGCCACACTGATTTGCATGAAGTGTAGATATCTACGCAAATACAACTTTTACAGGAGGTTTAACATTATCCCATGGATCACTGATTCACAGTGGTTACAGTAAACCACTCATTATATGCTTGTATCTCCCTTAATCCATATCATTCATGTAATTCCCAATACTGAAACATGATCTGAGTTAGCAATACTGTCGGTCAATGTCTGTCAATGAATGTGGTTACTATATGTCACCGTTTTTCAATATCCAAGCACAAGAATGTGTTGAATTCCCAGTTTCTTAGCACACATCCACAGACTGGTGTTGAATTGTTGTGAACCAACTATGCTATGTCTGTCTCATCAAACACTGTAATGTTGGATTTCGTGTGAAAATAAAATGTAATTAAGTTCTGTATGTAATCTCTCCCAGGTTCCGCAAGAAGTCAACCTTTAGCAACAGAAACTTCACAGAAGGTTAGAACATACTTACTTCAGTACATTCTAACTTCAGTACACACTAAGACACAGACATATTGTTTTACCACAAGCCTCTTATCTTATCACTCTTATCATTGTTTTATAGCTGTGGATTCCTAAGTAAATAAATAAAACCCTGCTACTGTAAAATATACTCTGTTTTTGAGAGATGTTTAATTTATTACATTTACATTTTAGCAGATGCTCTAGAGCGACTAGAGTTAAGTGCCTTACACAAGGGAACATCAACAGATAAAAAAATTCACCTAGTCAGCTCGGGGACTCAAACTAGTTACGTGGCCCAACACTCTTAACCACTAGGCTACCTGCCAACCTATTACACCTTGATGGTTGTTCAGTACTTGAGAATACAGTTTAAAATGTGTTTCTTGTCTGTGGGTTTACTGTGCAGCCTCCTGCTGATGTAATGGTTTCAGGATGTCAGAAGATAATTGTGCTGTCATTTTCACCTCAGAGGAACTCCATGCTGAAGTGTGCTATGCAGAATGTCTCCTGCAGAGGGCAGCACTCACCTTCCTTCAGGTAACCCACTGCTACCACATCACCCACTGACACACACGATCTCTCCGCAGCACTGATACAGATTTACAAGTTTATGATATTGAAATTGTTCTTTCCCCCTTTTTCTGTAGGATGAAAGCATGATCAGTTTCATCAAGGGAGGAATCAAAGTGAGGAATAGCTACCAGACATATAAGTAAGCACTCTTGACGTAGTGTATGGCCTTTATAGTGCATTCCCCTGATGTCTCAACTCATTAAAAAATTTTTACCCCTTTTTCGTGGTATCTAATTGGTAGTTACAATCTTGTCTCATCACTGCAACTCCCCAACGAGCTCGAAGGTCGAGTCAGGCGAAGGTCTACTCATGCGTCCCCCGAAATATTACCCGCCAAGCCGCGCTGCTTCTTAACACACTGCTCGCTTAAACCGGAAGCCAGCCGCACCAATGTGTCGGAGGAAACACTGTTCAACTGACGACCGTAGTCAGGCGCCCGGCCCGCCACAAGGAGTCGCTAGAGCGCGATGAGCCAGTTGTGCCCACACGGCTCCCGGTCACAGCCTGGGATCGAAGGCGCCACTTGGGAGGCCCTCTCAACTCATACTATAGTAAAGAATGTACATCTGTGGTCCTCTGTAGCTCAGCTGGTAGAGCACGGCGCTTGTAACGCCAGGGTAGTGGGTTCGATCCCCGGGACCACCCATACACAAAAAAAAAAAATTATGCACGCATGACTGTAAGTCGCTTTGGATAAAAGCGTCTGCTAAATGGCATATTATTATTATTTATCTGTATTTCAGAGAGCTTCATACGGTCCTCCAGTCCTCTACCTACGTCCATGGTGACAATCATGGGCATTTTGAAGGTGGGGTCAAGCTTGGAGTGGGAGCCTTCAACCTGGTAAGGGAACTGCTTCATGTCGATAATGTTTGTGGTCCAGTTTGCTGGGCTGGTAGATTGTATAGAAGGACCATTTTGGTGTGATGGTTATATAACAACTCAGTGTAACTCAACGCATTGCCCTGATTGGTACAATATCTGTCTCATCTTCTCACTCGTCCACTCCTGTGTTCTTGGGTTGTGTACAGATGATCTCCATGCTGCCCACACGGACCCTCAGGTTGCTGGAGTTTGTGGGTTTCTCAGGAAATAAGGTAGGTTTCCTACTGTTAACCTGGTGGCCCAGAGATTACGTGTGTGAGATGCTGAGCTGGACTGAACTGGGCTGGATGGACTGTGCTAAGTCCCCAGTGTCCTGCGTTGTGTGTGTCTGCAGGAGTTTGGCTTGCAGCAGCTGACGGAGGGCTCAGCAGGGCAGACTTTCAGGTCCTTCCTGTGTAACATGCTGCTGCTCTGCTACCACACCTTCATGAGCTTCATCTTGGGTGAGAGACAGATTGATGTTACCACACATCAAAGGTTACCGCACTGACCTTTTCAACTGCCAAAACAAGCTCTATAGCCTAGTCGCATTCTGGTTGGTGGTCTCGCCAGGAAAGGGAAACCCTGATCATATCTTGCACGAATGGACTAAACTAACATTAAATAACATTGTATTTTTCTCCTCACGGCTTGCAGGCACTGGGGAGGGGGATGTGGAGGATGCAGAGAAACTCCTTCAGCCCTATCTCAAACAGTATCCTAAGGTCAGTGAGGACATTTGTATAGTTTATAGCAGTACAGTAAAATCATATTCCAATTGTATTGGTTTTGTGAAACTACTGCGAATTATTTGGTGGCCTGTACACACACTCATTCCCATCAAAACAGTTCATAGTGAAACAGTGTTCTATACCTTTGTTGTTTTAAGGGATCTATCTTCTTGTTCTTCGCTGGTCGAATAGAGGTTATCAAAGGAAACCTGGATGCTGTAAGTGTGGATCAATGATTTTGACTACTACCAAAATTATTTTTGTGTTTAGACTACAAACCATCCGTTTTCATGTGTGTGTATTTGTGTGTACCAGGCTATAGAGCGCTTTGAGGAGTGCTGTGAAGCTCAGCAACAGTGGAAGCAGTTCCATCACATGTGCTACTGGGAGCTGATGTGGTGTTTCACATACAAAAGGCATTGGAAGATGGCCTACTTCTATGCTGATCTGCTCAGCAAAGAGAATACATGGTCCAAGGTGGGACATTCTGCAGTTATTGTATTTGTGCATATCACTTTACTTTACTTTACTTACTTTATTGTCCCCATGGGGAAATTTTGTTGCAGTGTCATGTACACATTTAAAGTGGCGTTAAATACAAAACAAGATTGACAATACAACTTTCAATAACAGTCACGCACCAATAAAAGTAAGAAATAAGAAATAAAACATTTAAAACATTTAAAACAAAGACTAGCCTGCTGGCCTTACGGGGTCAATGGGAACATTTGCCAGAGCTATTTAAGAGGGATATCACACCTGGCACAAATGATTGTCTCGTTCTATTTTTCCTGCTGAGGGGTGCCCTATACCTACGCCCAGAGGGGAGTAATTCAAAGTCCAGGTACAGGGGGTGACTTGGGTCTAAAATGATTTTGTGAGCCTTACGGAGGGCCCTGACCTTAAAGATCTCATCCAGGCCTGTCTGTTTGTATCAGTTCTATATAGTGCAGTATGAAGGACATTACATCTGTTTCAGTACAGTAATGGTTGCATTATCTTGCAGGCACATGCGACAAAGTCTTAACAGAATATAGATTTGCTTGTTTTACAGCTTTTAATGTATTCCACTTAGTCTCTAGAGGGCAACATTTATGATGATGCCTAAAGAGTTTCAGTAGTAACACATGCACAATTCCCTCCAGGCAACGTATGCCTATATGAAAGGTGCCTACCTCAGCATGCTGACCAGGGAGGAATGCCAACCATTCGGGGAGAGCGAGGTAGCGCTGTTCAGGTAGGTCACTGCAATAAACAAACCCCTGTGTCACCATTATGCTTTGTACTCTATTCATTTCTTTCTACACAGGGATCTTAGATAATCAAGTCATCCTATCCAAATGAATCAATATATTATATGTATCCATTGTCTATCCATTCCAGGCAGGTACATGGGCTTAAGCAGAAAATTGCTGGAAAGTCTTTGCCAACTGAGAAGTTTGCCATCCGAAAAGCCCGTCGCTACCTGACTGAGAACCCAATAACGCTACCTGCACCTCCTCTGGTTAGTATTGCATGGTTTGACAGCATGTTCACTATTACATTGTAATTATAGTGTAATATAATACTACTATTATATTGGTGTGGATTACTGTGATACCCGGTGGCCTTGTCTGTCCTCTGCAGGAGATGATGTACATCTGGAACGGCTACACAGTCATCGGTAAACACAAAGACCTCACGGAGGGCATGCTGAAAACACTGGACGAGGCACAGGCAAAACTTGACAATAGCCCAAGTAAGTAACACAAACGTGTGTCCCCCTGGAGAGTTGGTACTGCCTCTACACATTCATTTAGGAACAGCATTAATGATTGGATTTAGGCAACTCCTTTCTTATCTAGTGATTATCATGTTTAGCAGCACTGCTTAGTAGAGTGTTGTGTGTGAGAGTGATGGGGCCTGAGTGTTGTACGTTGTGTTCCTCAGGGACAGAGTTCTCCATAGACGACCAGTGTTTGGTGAGCCTGCTTAGAGGTCTCTGTCTGAAGCACCTGGGACACCAGGAGGAGGCTGAGGCCTACTTCACCCTAGTCCTTTGCAAGTGAGCACCACACACACACACACACTCGCACACAAACACACAAAGTCGCACACACCAATATTCAGAACACACTCAACTTTTCACAATATGACAGTAGAAGAGACCTACTATTTTACTAGTCCTGTGTAGCTCAGTTGGTAGAGCATGGCGTTTGCAACGTCAGGGTTGTGGGTTCGATTCCCACGGTGGGCCAGTATGAAGAAAATAAAAAATTATGCACTCACTAACTGTAAGTCGCTCTGGATAAGAGCGTCTGCTAAATGACTAAAATGTAAATATACCTTGCAAAAGTAATACTATTCCTTACAAGTTTAGCAATTACCTCCTTTCTTGTTTCAATCCTGATCTCTGCTGTATTTTTCTCTTGTCAGTGAAACACAGATCAAGTTCGATCACTACTTGGTTCCCAATGCACTGCTGGAGCACGGGCTGCTGTGTCTGGAGCAAGGGAGGAAGGAGGAGGGAATCAAACTACTGGAGACAGCCAAGTGAGTGTCTTGGTCCTTGCGCAACATAATTATCTCAACCCATCCCAATACAACATTTCATTGAAATTCTGAAACCTGACTTGTTTACAAGAATTCTATTAGTATGTAAAGTAAAATCATCTGGCCAGGCTTTTTCATTGTTCCCCAATATTTACAGGCAAAATTACAAAAACTACTCCATGGAATCACGGACACATTTCCGAATCCAGGCTGCTTTGCACAAGGCCAAGGCCACAGGAGAGAATGGGATTCACACCATGCCCTCCAGCCCATAGCTGGTGTGGGCAAAACAGGGCCAAAGTCCAGCCATCCCACAGTGCACAGACCAATGCCGCAGGGATGAGGCAGAGTACCAAACCACCCACTACCAGCAACAAGCATATGACTGGCCAGCCACCGAGCTCTCAGAAAGAACCGCAACACTACACAAGCATAATGTACACTGAACGGTCAAAAGCATACAGAAAATAGTATTTACTCAGACAAAGAAAATATACGCAATATATAGAAAATACCACACTGCTGGATGGAGATGTACAGGGTCTCATCAGTCTATTGCAAAAACCTATGATTAGATACCCATGCCTGAATGTTCACCCTCTAGCATAAATACATACATTTGCTGGTAAACACGTATTTTCACACCTGTCACAAGGGTTTCTGCAACATATTTGAGTGGTTAAAGGTATTCTCATGGGTTTTGCCCTCTGCTCAGAGCTAATGACTAAAAGCACTGTGGCCAATCTTGGACAACGTCTGTCTTGTTGACCGTGTTCTATGGCAGATAACCTCCTGCCCTAATGCCTTTATCTCTGTGCTTCTACGACTGGTTTGATTTGTATATTTTCATTTTCACCCTTCTCTCCCCACTCTGAACAGCTCAAGGGACATTTTTGCACATTGGATCAACTGAACCACTTTCTGTGAAGGAATGCATGACCAATCCAACTGAATTTTTGTGGAAATAGTGCCCACTGACATCTGCACAAAGTTAAATCATCCAGCCATACAAACACATTGCAGGAATACATGTGTGATGGTAGGGGGTTATTTTGTCTGTGTTTATTTATTAACTGCAATGGCGCCTTTTACAAAATTGTCCCATTTTAAGTGGACAGATGAATGTGTCTTTTAGAAAGGCAGGCTCCTTCCTTGTTCTCTTCATGTGGACACAATCCAACAGTACTTGAACTCAAACAAACAAGTCTTTCAGATTGACACAGGAAAGCCAGGCTGCCAGTTCCATCTGTAGTGAGTGAAGCGTTGACAACCACTAGAGCCTTCCATATATAAATATACAGCTCCAACATCAACATAGACAAGAATGGCTTACAGGGAGTTGTTGTACATTAACAGTGGTGGAAAAAGTACTCAATTGTCATACTTAAGTAAAAGTACAAGTAAATGCTATACATCAAATTCCTTGTATTAAGCAAACCAGATGACACAACTTTATTTTTTTTATTTTATTTTATTTTATTTTACGGACAGCCATGGGCACACTCCAACACTCAGACATAATTTACAAACGCTTTATTTGTGTTTAGTGATTCCACCAGTAAGGATGACAACGCGTTATATTGATAAGTGCGTGAATTGGACAACATTGCTGTCCTCCCTGAGCATTCAAAATGTAACGAGGACTTTTGGGTGTCATGGAAAATGTATGGGAGTAAAAAGTACACATTTTCTTTAGAAATGTAGTGGAGTAAAAGTAAAGGTTGTCAAAAATATAAATAATTAAGTACATATACCCCAAAAAACTACTTAGTTACTTTACACCACTGTACATTAAATAGTTACGTTCCTGTGTAATAAATGTGCTAATAAACTGTGTATGATCAATGTTATTTGTAATTAGAAAAAGGGTTACTTTTTTTCATGTTCTATGATTAGTTAAACTCTGTACAACAAAATGAGTATCCAAACCTAAGCATTAGAGTGGTCTCTTGAGTTTAAATGTTGGAATTAGAGCTGATTTAGCTGTTCATTCTTAGAATACGTTTTGGTGTAAAAGCAATTGACCAGGAGTCAATTTAGATTTCTCTAAAGGGTGAAGGAAATATATAACTTAATTTATTTTAAATATAGAGATGTTCTAATTTGGGATGTTTACATTTACATTTAAGTCATATGTTCTAATGATTAGGTCAGACATTTTCTTGTTTTGTTCCATTGTTTTCTTTGAATTTACTTATATAAATAGTACAACAAATCTTAGTGGCTCAGTGATGTTGAGGTCAGAATATTATATGGGGCATGGCTACTGAGCAGATTGACATTCCTGGACCTGTACATACTGAATGTTTGTTTTGTAATTTAAGATTAAATATGTAACTCAAATTGAGTATGGTTATTTTTTTACTCTTGTACTACCCCTTTGCTTTTGGATAATTTGATGAACTGCACTGAGCTGCTGTCTGGATTTCAAATCGATTATTGTTTGTGATAGTCCATCACTTTTTTGTCTTTCATGTAAAGGTATCAAGTAAAAACTGCCAAACTAGGCAGCCACGAACCAAACACGATATGTACTGTATAAGGCACATTCAACTGAACTTCTTCCCCCCTCTCAACAAAAACATAATATAGGCCTTTTATACCACTACTACTATGCAGTTCAGTTGAATGTGCCTTATACATGTTGTGGTTGGTTCTTGGCTGCCTAGTATGGCAGTTTTGACTATTCTTCGTCCCTTGATACCGTTACATGCAGACGCAGTTATGCAGAAGAAAAACGCCATCAAACAACTATCTGTACATACAAACTGTAATTCATGTTAAACATTACCAAAGATTATTTTAATAATTTTAACAACACAAAGTGATATCATTTTAACAACCATCTGATTGGTGAGATGGTGGAGAGCTTCCTTAATACAGATCGCAGTTGATTGGTCGATGCATCAAGGGGCGGTGTTTCATGTTCCATGGGCTGGAAAAGCCACTTTCAGAGGGTCTTCAAATCTAAAAAGAAGAATTTGTTTTTAGAACACTAATGATTAGGTTTGTTCAATTTGAGCATAGGCGTTGTGAGAGTTGTTCTAGCTAGTGATTAGCCTAACGTAGCAGGCGTAAAATAAACGAATGAACAACCGTAATCATATTTAGATGGTCGTCCACGCGAGAGTGTTAATCAGCTAGCCAGGCTCTTTGTGTGCGTATGTTTTGTTTGTGTTGAACAAGAACAGCTCTAGTGGGTTGTTAGATTATTTGCAATGTGTTGATTTCGATAAGATTGCATAGTGCATACGGCGTGAATTTTTACTTAAAGGTTAGGGAAAGTGGCCTGTAGACGTTGCAAAGCGACAAAGAAATAAGGAGTTTGAAGAGGAAATGGGAAATTGTCTAAAATCTCCAACCTCGGATGATATTTCCTTGCTTCATGAATCACAATCGGATAGAGGTAGTTATGCTGACGGGGCAGATATAGACCAGGAACCACCGCCACCATACCAGGTAGGTCACCCGAATTAGCCAGCTACGTTAGCTAAAAATGTAACGTTAGCTACAGTACTTGCTTGCTAGCTAGGACAGCTATTTTTTCAAGGTTCGACATGCAAAGGAACTTGGTGCTTTACGTGGCGCTGGCTACCCGAAGTAAATACAAACAGCATGCTATAGCTTGCCAGCCAGTTATGTTTTTCAGATGTTCATGTAAACAAACAGTCATAATCAGCGGACTTGGCAGGTATATACAGCCTTACATTGTTTATCAATGCTGCACACAACCATCAACTAGCTGTCCTATTAGCTGTCCTCTTTGTTCTTGTTCTATTTCTACAGGGATAGGGTGTCATAAATTGACTGTTGCTGCAGCCTTTATTTTTTATCAGAACGTCATGTCGTCCTCCATTAGAGAACGTCATCGTGATCACATAGCACTGACCCAAGGGACTCAGGCAATCCAAAATTATCTAGCAATGCATTTTATGAAAACAGCCTAGTATTCATTCATACTCTACAGCAAAAAGAGACTGGAGCTGCTCATACTGCTGGAAGTGTTGAGGGAGAAAAGACAAAGGCTGGCTTTTTTTGTTTTGTTTTTGCTCAAGGGAGAATAACAATATACCAGATATAGGCCTAGACCAAAAACTACAGAAGCTCTCACCTTTGCTTTTTGCACAATAAAGAAAGATTAATTCAAAAGCAGAATGTTAATCAGAACCTGTAAGCTTCCTGGTACAGGCAATGACAACAGCCTACATTGGAGAAAACAGATCAAACTATTATGCCAATGAGAAAACAGCACAGTCTTTGTGCTCCCTCATTTTTATGACCAGGTTATTTCTCAAAATATTGATTCCTTTTCTGTAATTTGCCCATGTTATGTTAGACTTTAGCCGGGAAGGAATGCGTGTCACCAGGTTAATGCCCCATCTCAAATGAGAAGATAAGCATGTTATGCACAGAACTTGAGAACTGGAGGCCCCCTGCCGAACCCTTCCAGTAAAGCGCTCCCATGGCTGTGGCTGACGCGGGCCATGGCTTGCCTTACCAGACTATTACAAGACTGTAAGACATATGGTAAAAGATAATATAAAGTCAGATCATATACAAATTGCATAATGATGCATACTTATTCCTAACCCTGTTCAAGAAGTAATTTTCCTTGTAACTTATCTGTTTAGATTTTCCACTAACCTACATTTAGAATATGTAATTGTTCAACAAAAAAAAGTACATTTCTAAACAACTTACCATTCAACAGGTAGAACTAACGGCTCGCACACATCGCAACGAATGTGGAGCTAGCATTTGTCTTCCGATCTTTCAGTACGCTGTGTTTTAGGGACAACCCGCTGTAGAAATTTTTTCATGTAAAATCGGTGCACACTCTGTTTGCAAATTACATTGAGGTGCTAAGTTCTCTATTGTACACTATAGGTGTGTCTGAGACCTGAAGTTGACTTCCTATGTCAACGTTATAAGGGAGTACAGAACCGAATAAATAAGTAATTTTTATGTCACCAAAATGCAAAGACCTACAATACCCATGAGACTAGTTAAAAGCCAAGGGAAAACAACCTCTTAACCAGTGGCATCTGTACAGAATAGACCCTATAATAATACAATAGTAAAGAACCAAAAACATTTTATACTCAGTAGCACAGAAACGCAGATTTACACAAACCCCAGATCCTGTGTTTTTCTGATGGAAACCACCACCTCTCTTTTTCTCCGAATTTCTGTGTTTACTTGAGTCCAGGATCAGGAATTAATAAAAAGGGCTGGAATTCAACAGTCTGGAGCTGTTTTCCTGTAACATTCTGGCAGGCAGCGTTGTGCAATATCCTGGTTATATAGCTGAGGCGCTTGTTGGATTTTTCAACATTAAGAGGCTTGTTTGAATCTAGGGCTGGGTGATATCTCAATTATTTATTTATTTTACTTATGGGCGATTCACGATGTCAAAAATAAATAAAACGGTCAGCAATATTTATATGAATTCAGGGCTTGTGAAATTATACCTAGGCTAAAATATAAGCCTTCCACAACCATGAGACCCACTAATAATTTAATTATTTAATCAAAATAGTTTAACCTGCTTTTTTGCTATAATCACTGATCTGGCTTTCAAGTCTGTCTATGAAAATGCCTATTTGAACCGCGGCTTGAACAAAGGACGGCCAGAGACCCACTTTAGAGCACGCATCATTTCCAATCTAGACGCTTGCCTTTGGCGCTCGCCAAGCATTTGCGATAGTGTTTTCTTCTCTTAAACAGAGACCTGTCCATGCTTGATATGTTTGGACAGCCTTGGAGCTGCACGTCTCTGGGCTATTTTCATTAAACTACTGCACAATTCCTCTAAGTTGCAAATGTCTATAATCATCAAACCTGCAGAGTAGAAAGCTGCCAACGTTCACAAATTATCCTAGGTTTATGGGTTTACTACATTTTTGCCTACAATAATCTCAGGCAAGAAATGTAAGAAATCACTTTATTAGACTAGGATTATTTCTTTAGGGAATAAATACCATTTGACTCCTACAGTTCTCAGCCCAGCAGTGAGGCTGTTAACACCAAGAACAGTTGTATTTTCTTTGTGGTGAATAATACTGTAATAAACAAGACTAACACATCCACCTTGAATACTAGCTCAAATTAGATGTTTATTGGGGAATTGTGTTTCTGTAATCACCCTCCACTTCACTGTGCGCTGAGGAGGAAGGCTCCCCTACTATGTGCTATGTTACTCTGCTGTCTGTTGTGAGAGGAAGCGGTGTGCAGAGTGAGTGGTAATTTGGAAAGCAGCTGGCGAATGTGCTGACTCATCGCTGTCTGTCTCGGCCAGTGGAGAGGGCGATGGGATTGGGCCATATTGAAAAGCAGGTCCCATCACTGTAGCTACCGTCATCAGGTTCCCTGGCAT